GTGATGCTTAGAGGTTGTGTGCTTGATTGTATAAAGTGATGCTTGGTGGAGGTTGCATGATTGTATAAAGTGATGCTTGATGGAGGTTGTGTATTTGAATGTATAAAGTGATACTTGTTGGAGGTTGTGTGCTTGATTGTATAAAGTGATGCTTGATGGAGGTTGTGTGCTTGAATGTATAAAGTGATGCTTGGTAGAGGTTGTGTGTTTGATTGTATAAAGTGATGCTTGGTTGAGGTTGAGTGTTTGATTATATAAAGTGATGCTTGGTGGAGGTTGTGCGATTGCATAAAGTGATGCTTAGAGGTTGTGTGCTTGATTGTATAGAGTGATGCTTGATGGAGGTTGTGTATTTGAATGTATAAAGTGATGCTCGGTAGAGATTGTGTGTTTAATGGTATAAATTGATGCTGGGTAGAGGTTGTGTGTTTGATTGTATGAAGTGATACTTGGTGGAGGTTGTGTGTTTGATTGTATAAAGTGATGCTTAGAGGATAATGTGCTTGATTGTATAAAGTGATGCTTGGTTCAGGTTGTGTGTTCGATTGTATATTGTGATGCTCTGTAGAGGTTGTGTGTTTGATTATAGAAAGTGATATTTGTTGGAGGTTGTGAGTTTAATTGTATAAAGTGATGCTTGGTTGGTGGAGGTTGCATGATTTTATAAAGTGATGCTTAGAGGTTGTGTGCTTGATTGTATAAAGTGATGCTTGATGGAGGTTGTGTATTTGAACGTATAAAGTGATACTTGTTGGAGGTTGTGTGCTTGATTGTATAAAGTGATGCTTGATGGAGGTTGTGTGCTTGAATGTTTAAAGTGATGCTTGGTAGAGGTTGTGTGTTTGATTGTATAAAGTGATACTTGTTGGAGGTTGTGTGTTTGATTGTATAAAGTGATGCTTGGTAGATGTTGTGTGTTTGATTGTATGAAGTGATGCTTGATGGAGGTTGTGTGGTTGATTGTTGTATTAAGTTATGCTTGGTGCAAGTTGTATGTTTGATTGTATAAAGTGATGTTTTTGGCAAAGACTTTGAAATACTTGTTTTCAGTCTTTTCAGTAGTGAATTCTTCAGAGTTCTTGTAAGTGTGAGTGTTGATTTTAATATATCACTGTAAAGCTTGGTCTATATATCACATGTTGCAGAAATACTTATGAACTCGGAGCAGTGATAACATGGATAGCAACACATATTATATTTTTATGAATATAATTTTGTTGTGTTTGTTGTATTGGCAGCCAGGTGTGTAGTTGTATAGTGACAGCCTAACAGGTATGACAGTACCACCCTGAATGAAGCACTGTTAAATCACACACTGATTTGTAGCTCACATCCTACCCAAAACACACACCTCCAACATAATTAGTGCCCCACCAAACTCTTACATAGGAACAAGGAATTCTCAGATGAGATATAGAATTTCTAGTGCTTATGTTAAAAATTCAAGAAAATTGAGGTCTATAGTGAAAAGTAGTGAAAAAGCAAAGAATGCAGGTGAAATATTTTTGAGAGGGAGGATGTATTGGATTTATGTTACAGTATCTTATATTTCCTGTTATGTGTGTTTAGTCAGTTGTAAAAAAGTACATGTTTCAAAATAAAGCCCAGACAAAAGCTTGGTTATCACATCAAAATTGACTGCTGAAAAAACACATCAAAGTAAAAAATACCTTTAATGAAATTATTTTGTTTGTACTAAAATGATATCATTTACGAATTTATAATAGATATCCAAACATCGAAGTATGCCGATTTCCTAACTATAAGTGATACATCAAATTTTTGGAGTTTAACAATTTCATTTTTTCAGTCGCAACTTTGAAAAACTCAAGGTAGATGATCACAGTAAAATCTCAATGAGGAGATATCGAATTGACTCATTAAATCACCATATATGGACAAAGGACCAATTTTCCTGTCAATTAAAATCTTGCAAGATTGAAGGCTCATTAATTACCATGACAAGCAGTACGCCCCCTAGTCTGAGAAGTTTTTGTAGATTTAGCAGTTATATCATGTCATGATGTTAGTATTTCCACACAATTCACTGGTGGTCAAGGCATAACATTTTTCATGTAAACTTGAAATATATGATAAAAACCAAATGGATATTTTAAAGTCACCTTGTAGATGAAGGTTGGGAGATGAAAAATTTTTTCCTTCTCTTCTTGTATTCACTTTAAATACACTTTTCCATACAAGTTTATCACATAAGTCCTGGATGCATATATTACATGATAATCTGCAACATGTTCACATGTTTAAAATTAAGCTTTAGCATTAGAAAACATGACTTTTGTTTATTACATGATAATCTGCAACTTGCTCACATGTTTAACACTAAGCTTTAGCATTAGAAAACATGACTATCTTTTATTACATGATAATCTGCAACTGGCTCATTAGAAAACATGACTATCTTTTATTACATGATAATCTGCAACTGCCTCACACGTTTAACACTAAGCTTTAGCATTAGAAAGTATGACTATCTTTTATGACAAGAAAATCTACAACTGGCTCACATGTTTAACACTAAGTTTTAGCATTAGAAAGTATGACTATCTTTTATTACATGATAATCTACAACTTGTTCACATGTTTAACTGTAGCCCTGAGATACCCTTCACGTTGATTTTCATAGCTGTTTTGTTTGTAACCATTTCAAATTGATGCATGATCTGAAATGTATTACTTTATGGAACCCTAATACTCATTTATCAGTTTGATTTTCAATCATGAAAACTTCATAACTTGGTAATCCAAGATGTGGAACCCTTGCCCAATTAAAATTCATCTACTGTTTTGGTATAATAATAGTCTACATTGTATCACTGACGCAGACTCTGACCTGACTTCCTCCAATGAAACTCCTAATATATCTAGATATATCAGATCTTAATAAATTGATTTTCGCTAGATTTTCCATGTTTCCCTCTGGACTGGCAGTCCCACTGTGGATATATTTATATCTCTTTCAACGTGACATACCAATTTATTTAATATATTTTTGACATTTAATTAATTTAAACTGATTTAGAAGCATTATTATGACAGATTTATTACGGTTATCCAAAAATTGATCCAGAAACTATGGATCTTCAAAGAATTATTTTTCATTCATCAAAATCCCTTACTTTAGATCTGATATAGATTATAACATGTAACATTTAGTATAAAGAGCACCCTGGTACAAATGGTATATTCCTGGAAAAATACTAAATAATAGACAGGTTGATGACAATGGTAAACATATTCCTGTTCAAACAGGAATGGAGATGTTGAGCCTTCCAGATGAGGACATCCACATCTTGGCACATCCAAGTATTTTGTTGGATTGTACAGAAAAAGTTGTCTAATTGTCTAAGTGGAACACTTTTGATACCTTGTAAGTTTTCTCAGTTGATCATGGGATTCATAAGTGTTGCACTTATTGATGTGTTCCATTGAGAGAGCTGGTGTTCCACTGAAAGAGGTGTTCTACGTCACATGTTTTACAGGATATAAATCTACTTATTGGAATAATGATGGTTTGAAGAATGCAACCATTTGTATCAGCAAATTCATGTATTCTTTTATTTTGATACAGTGCTTACTCTTAATATTGAGGCAGCAAGCTTTTCATTATTCTTCAGCTAATTTTATTGAAAAGTGTGCATATTTCTCCAATGATTCAGCCCTCTATAATAAATTAGGGTAATTAGAATTCTATGTCTCTACTTATTTGATATGAATGAACAACTTGATCCCTGTCAGAAAACATCTGTCAAACTTTTGACATATTCAACAAAAGTATCTATCAATCCTACAAGTCAACATTTTGAAGTAAATAATAGCACTTTTACATGAACATTTATTAGAAAGGCAATATATTTGCTAGAGAGAAGTGTTCAGAAAATAAAAGTGTTCACAGAGAGAATAATGTCTACTTGAGAGAGGTGTTAAGGAAAGAAAATGTTCACAAGAGAGTTATTACCGAGAAGTGTTCACTGGTGATGGATGCTCATTAGAGAGTTATGATAAGACGAGAGAAGTGTGCAGTACAGTGAAGTGTTCAGAACTGAGAAGTATTTTCAAGAGACATGTCTTGGTCAGATATATGTGTTTGTCAGAGACAGAAGTGTTCATGATGGTGCATTTTACAGTACATGTATGTGTTTACATCCTGTAGGGATGTTTACACTCAAAAGACACACTGCTGTAGGCTAGTTGATTGGTCAAGTAGTGCTTGAGAATAGCCCTGTAGATGTGGAAGTATCACAATTGACATGCCTCCATTCATTTAACATGGGAGCAGTAAGAACAGAAGATAAATAGAATGAAATAATAAATAACAAAAAAACAACAACATTTATTTCCATAAATAAACGACAATGAAGACAACCTGTTTAATTATTTGAGGGACATTTTCTAAGTTGTTTTCATGAAACTGAAGATTATGCTGGTAAAAAAATAAACAGAATTAATTTCTAAGCATTTTTTATGTATATGTTGTGCCATTTTTTCAAAGTGCCCACAGCCACAACATTTGTAAATGTTCATCACTACAGTAACTGATGATAACTTGTATTAGGGAATTGGATCTTACTTTTAGAGATGTGAATCACAGTTTTTTATGTAGAGATGAGTAAAAGAAGATGGTTGTTTAATTGAGAGAAGCTCTTATTGACTGATAATTATCTCATAAATCTTGTTTATTGTCTTGTTTTTACACAATATTAGTCATTGTGTTAGCAGTTAGCTTCCTTGAGATGTTCCTTGAAGGAATGTTAAGTCATGTGTGATGTGTCAGCTTAATTCTTCTGTTCCTTGATGTATCAATGTTTTGACTCTTTCCATATCAACTCATCAATTAGCTAATATTGATATATCTATTAATTAGTCTATTTTTCAATCCATATAACTGTCAAAATCTTTATAATTCCACATTTTGCAATCTCTTGATAGTTTAATTTCTCTATAATTGTTTGTTAAACATAATTCATTCTATATATTTGCAGGGCGCTTGCATCCAGTAAGAAACATTGGAACATTACAGTCCACTGTACGAAGGGTCGACGTGATGGACTGCACTCTTCGCAAGTTGATGTGTGCAAGGAACACATTGATGTGATGCCTATTGTAAAGACTGCAGCATATGTAGCAAAACAGACCTGTCAGTACATGTTCCAAGATAGACGCTGGAACTGTTCCTCTATAGAAAGTGTCCCCAAAATGACTAGGGATCTCAGCCTTGGTAAGTATAAGTTGCAGCACTGAAGCATACTCATCAGAACAATTTGGATCTAATTATAGCTTGACATTGTGAGTTTGTTTGATGGCTTGACAGTGTGAGTTTGTTTGATGTCTTGACAGTGTGAGTTTGTTTGATGGCTTGACAGTGTGAGTTTGTTTGATGGCTTGACAGTGTGAGTTTATTTGATGTCTTGACAGTGTGAGTTTGTTTGATGGCTTGACAGTGTGAGTTTGTTTGATGGCTTGACAGTGTGAGTTTGTTTGATGGCTTGACACAGCTAAATTAGGATGATTGCTTGAATTTGCTTGTATTTGTGTGATGTCTCGACAAAGTGGTTTAGGTTGATGGCTTGATGTCAATGCTGTCCCTTAGGCTCTATAACAATCGGATGACCAGAGTTTAGGAAATTTTAGCTTACGATTTTAAACTTTACAGTTTAAATTTGACATGAGAAAAGAAACACAAATTTCTGAATTTCACTTTGCAGGTACAAGAGAGCAAGCATTTGTGTATGCTGTATCATCTAGCTCCTTGGCCCACACAGTTTCCCGTGCCTGTGCCTTAGGACACACACTCCGCTGCGGCTGTGGCCTGCTACCCACAGAAGCACCCACAGAGGAATTTAAATGGGGAGGCTGCAGTGATGATTTAAGATATGGCATTTCATTTACTAAGACTTTTGCCGATGCACCATTTTTAAAAAGAAACAAAAAATCCTCAATGAATAGACATAATAACATGGTGGGAGTACAGGTAAAGTAGCAGATTTCATATTCAGACACATTCACTTGTTCTAAGAGTAACAGCAATTCGGGAAAGTTGCATTTATTTGCAATTTTGATATGGCTTTCTGTAAGATTCTCATCTGTAATCCTTTTGATTTTGATATGACCCATTGCCTTTATTCAAAGTTTTTGTTCAAGCATTTTTTGTAATATTTAGGTTCATTCAGATACGCATTAAGAACAATGGCTTTTGTGATGGTTATAAGATTACAGGCAATTTACACAAAGTCAGTATAAGAAATCCAAATCCCAAAAACAATTCAAAACATAAGTATAATCAATGCATTAACCCACCAATTAATAAATACAAGCTTCCAATATTCCTCTTTTAAAGTATAATTTTGGAGAGCAACTGCCTCATGGTTCCCCCATTACATGAAAGAGAATAAAGTTTAATTCTTATTTTTAATGTTGAGCAGCTGGGTGTATTCAACAATGCATCTATTTGAAGTTAAATTAAGTTTAAGACATTAAAACAGTCTAACTATGGGAGAATGGTAAGATCAGGGGTTAGATCAAAGAAATGGGTCAATTTATTGATTCAATGTCCCTATATTATTGCCTGCTTTAATAGCAGAGATGTGATTTCACATTTTATGTGGTGATTTCTACTCTAAACTAAGACATATAAAATTAGAATTCTGTTTTCTTGAAGTTAGGGACTGTGATTTAATACACTTGCAGCTATAATTTCTTTGAAAATAACTTCAAGGTGTTGCAAAAATAACTTGTTTATTGACAGGCTTTAACTAAATAAATCAAGTGACCAATCTGTCCAAAGTGCATGACATTTCCAGTCCCCAATATATTCCCTCTTCAATGACTCCAAAATCCATTTCTAGTCCCCGATATATTCCCTCTCCAATGACTCCAAAATCAATTTCTAGTCCCCGATATATTCCCTCTCCAATGACTCCAAAATCCATTTCTAGTCCCCAATATATTCCATCTTCAATGCCATTTCCAGTCCTTAATTTATATCATCTCCAATGACTCCAAAAGCCATTTCCAGTCCTTAATTTATATCATCTCCCATGACTCCAAAAGCCATTTCCAGTCCCCGATATATTCCCTCTCCAATGACTCCAGAATCCATTTCTAGTCCCCGATATATTCCATCTCCAATGACTCCAAAAGCGCGCATTTGTTTTTTAAGAGTATCGCGTGAATGTAACTTTGATTCCCTGGATTATAAGATAATATTCTAATTAAAGGTATATATCATTTTAAAGCTGTTTCGATGAAGTTTTTATGACTACACTCCGTTCACGATTCTTGCGCGTTCTTTTTAAAAAAAAAAAGTTTTTTACCAAAACATCTGGCAAATATTCCCTGTTGACACGTTACATTTTGAATTATTTTTCGTCTTTAAACGCTCATAACTCAAACAATATATGACTATTATACTTATTTTTCATCTTGATAAAGGTAGATGGAAGTTTTATTTCAAAGGATGAATTTTAGTAAGCGTCCCATATTGTGACGTCATAGAGTTTGAAAAATAGAATCTGTTGACAGCGACCTTTTTTGCTCATTTTTTGTTACCTTCAACTTTTCAGGTGTCCATTAAACAAAAAATACGAGATCAATTTTTAATAAATCATACATGATTATTTTGCTCTTAATTTTGTTCGCAAAGGTATGTGTTTTCTGTTGTATGTGGAAAAGTGGAGGACGAAAGGTTTTCAAAATTCATTAAAATTGGGCTAATTTACGCCATTCGCCTATTTAAAAGCACAGCAACACGTATATTTATTTCACCTAAAATATCAATTGATTCGTGTTTTATGATGCTCCGATCCCATTGTTAATACATATATGATATCAGAGTTATTCGCCTTAAATATTTTGAGATATAGAGGCAAATGTGGAGGACGAAAGGATTTCCATATGTGTACATTTTTCTCAAAAGACGTCACATTCTGTGGTGTTAAAAAGCGAAAATGTGTAATAATGCGTGCGCGACCTTTTTGCGACACGTCATTACATTAAAGATAATTTGCAAGCAAATAACCATTTCCAGTCCCTAATATATTCCTTCTCCAGACTAAAATTTCAAGTCCCCGATAAATCCCCTGCTCAGAGTTAATTTCATGAAAATAAAAATCATATAAATTCCAGACTTTGCTTTTCCAAATAATGTATGTTTTTGTCTAACATTTTGTTCATAATGTACCATAGCACAATACAAATGTATTACGTTTAACTAAACCTTTTTTTATGCAAATGCAACATCACAAAATTTATGATATAGCATTGAGCCATCTTTTGCCAGTGTACCGCCTTAATCAAATAATTTGCCTGGATACTTTAATATTAAACTTATTTCAGGTGATAGACAGCAGTTTGGGCACAGCATGCAAATGTCACGGTGTATCAGGATCATGCGCTCTAAAAACTTGCTGGAAAGCACTTCCTGACATGGAAAAAATAGGACACAAATTAAAACATAAATATGCCTATGCTGTGGAAGTTGAAAGTAGGCGTGTTGGAAGGACTAAGAGATTGGTACCAGTTGATCATGATAAAATAGACATTGGCAATGATGAGTTGATATATTATACTACATCACCAGATTATTGTGGGCCAGACCCAAAGACTGGCTCTGTCGGCACTGCAGGAAGGTAAGTAGAACATGTTCCTGCAACACTGTCTGCACTGCCTTTCCAACCTGAGACATTACGGTTTAGATTCATCATTGTTACATTGTGACAACTTTGGTTAGCAACAAGATTAAAAAGAGTTCTCCTGTATAAATGGTTCTATCATGGGCCCAGTTTTGTTTCCTCTGGTAAGGTATTAGTTTGTGGCATAAGGGACTTGATGAAACACTAGTCAATATGCAGCTTTGACAATGATGACATCTAATTGAGAGCAGATGGCTAAACAGGTTCCTTTCTGTATTTCCTTTCAGTATTTCAGGAGAGACATCTTTCTACTCATTTATTGCAAAAACAGTATCTACCTGTACTTCAATCAACCTGCTCATATTTACATTGTACTATCTTATTACTTGTACTATCACAAGTAATGTGTTTTAAGACTAATCAAAAAGTAATATTTAAACAATGTATTTCAAGTTCTATCATGTATCCTACCAACATATGATAACTGGTTCATAAATACAATGAGAGTAATGTAGTTCTTTCTTTATTTGTAGGCGGTGCATCAAGGGCGATGGAGGGTCTGGGGGTTGTGATAGCATGTGTTGTGGGAGGGGCTTTATCACCCTAAATCTACTGAAGAAGGAGAGGTGTGAGTGTAAATACTACTGGTGCTGCTACGTGAAATGTAAAACATGTAGGAGATATGTTGAGATCCATAAATGTAGATAGGAGTAAAATATGGAGTCAGAATTCAAAAGCAAGATTTAAGACAAGATTATCAAATATTCAGACCTATAACTGTATAAGAACTTGAATCGGGAAAAACATGCATGTTTAAAATGTATGCTTTCAACAGATCAAGATGTAAATATACAAATACATTGTAAGATATGAGATTTACTGTCAGAATGTATTCATACATTGTAAGATATGAGATCATACATTGTAAGATATGAGATCTTCTGTCGGAATCTACAAAATACATTGTAAGATATGAGATCTACTGTCAAAATGTACACATACATTGTACAATATGGCAACTACTGTCAGGATATACACAATTGTATGGTGTGAGATCTACTATCAGAATGTACAGATATAATGTAAGATATGAGATCTACTGTCAGGATGTACACATACACTGTGAGATCTAAAGTAAGATACTGTAAATTGATTAATTGAATGTTTCTTTTTCAAAATTTGGAATTCATGAATAACATAAAGTGAAAATTTTCTTGGTGAAAACCTTGTATAAGTACTTGTGAAAAATGTGCATGCTTGTTCATGAACAGAACATGTATGAAATGTTAATTTATAAAAATACATTAAATCAAAACAAGAAATATTAAAAATTAGTCAAGTATTACATGAATATAAGAGGTGCTTATATAGAACCTGAGAGCTTATGGGGATGGAAAACAAGCTTTTTCAAATAAAATGCATGATCTGGAAAGGCAAAAATTAAATGCTTGGGATTTGTTCATATGTTAGATCCATTCTGCAATATTCATTCAAGGTCCCTTGGAGATTCCCAGTCAACCAGTTTGCAATGTTTATAGATTAGATCTCCAAGTTGTAATGTTCATAACTTAGGTTTCGCAGGTTGTAATCTTCATAAGTTAGGTCTCGCATGTTGTAATGTTTAGAAGTTAGGTCTCATAGGCTGTAATATTCATAAGTTAGGTCTCCCATGTTGTAATGTTTAGAAGTTAGGTCTCATAGGTTGTAATATTCATAAGTTAGGTCACGCAGATTGTAATGTTCGGAAGTTCATATAGGTTGTAATATTCATAAGTTAAGTCTCACAAGTTAGGTCTTGCACGTTGTAATGTTTATAAGTAAGGTCTCAAAGGTTGTTATGTTGATAAGGTACAATTGTATTTCCTCCAGGTTTTAAAATTCATAAGTTAGATCCTCATGTTGTAATGTTCAGCCATTTAGATTTAGTATGTATACTAAGTATTTATAATAATGTGTAAATAAAAATGATTTAGTTTTTGTACAAAAATAAAATACAAAACAAATACTTGTAACCATTGTAAAATAGCCTAGTCTATGTATTGGGTTACTTAATAAATGTAACATCAGTGTTTTCACTTGTAATATTCAGTGAGATTACTGCTCTGATCACTTGAATTGCAAGTATATGCAGTGATTATTCACCAAATTTTATATGGTGCTGTAGAGTAATATGTATTACACTTTTCTTCTTGTTTCCTGGTTTATTTGGTTATCATGGAATACAGTATGCCGTCATAATTTCATAAACTCCTGATTGCCCTGGTCTCTTGGCTTGTTTAAGCACTTTGTTCATACTTTTACAACTGACTACATAATGTTTAAGATTTGAAGAATTCCTGCCTCATGCTCTAACAGTTACATCAACTCAAAATGTTAGTTACATGCAGAAATCTATATGTCAGTTTCAGCTGAAAGAAGGCAGTTATTCATCAAATTAGAATGTTATATGCTACTAACTGTAGATGATGTACATGATGTATGTGACTATGTAAACCACAACATATTTACAAAAGACTGATAACCCATCACTCTACTGACCAAGCAACAGAAAATGTTTGAGAATGTTAAGAAAACTACATTTTCAATCTCTTGTTTGTAGAACTGTTGTAAGTTGACAGAATCCTATGCTATTACAATGCATGTAACTAATCCTCATAAACTTGACATGATCAATCTACTTGGTACATGTCTTCAATTCAATTCAATGCCAAGTGGATTCAAAGTGAAGCTGAAAGAGTGAGGCATAGATCAACACTAACTAGTATTTGTATAGTGATATAAGAATTGAGAAAATGTGTACTTTTTAAGCCGATATACTTTAATTGAATTTGTTTGAAACAAACACATGTTTTACTTTTATTTGAATTTTCTGATCTTTTATTCTTGAACTTAATAAAACTTAATATGTTTTCCACATATATATGTAAAATGTATATAAATTGTAAATAAAGCAAAAAGTAAATCAAACACATACTGTTCATTTTAATAAATTAAGTTTGAATCACTAAATGTAAATCATCACACATTATGTTCCTACTTCGACTAAAACAAGATACATTGTGTAAATGATCTTGAGAGAACCATCTTGCTTTTGTTCTCACAATAAACCAATTCAAGTGTTCAGAATAATTAGAGTTCATGTAATTCTTTTTTTGTGTCACTGTGTGATGTGTGATATTAACACCCATATCAAAATAATGAAAAGAACATCAGTACTATAATTTCTAAAATTGTATTTCACCATTCACCAAAATATTCATCTCTCGATACAGTTGTTCAATTAAAGAGTACATATTTGAGAAAGTTTTTCCCACAGCATAAAAAACCCCAAGATGTACCCTGATTGTATCTCTTAGTTTTCCCAATCACTTAACTATAGGCATAACAAGTTAACAAACTTATCAAGTTAACACTTAACTAAATTCACCTTTGTTAACTATAAGCAGGTAGTCCAAAACTCTCAGGCACAAATTCTTCTAGGGAATTCAAAATTTGTGTCACTTTATCCCGGAGTTGTGATTGGTCAGCTTGTTTATCTGGTATCCATATACACTGCATGCCTGCATTTATTGCACCCAAGGCTCCATTGTTGGCATCTTCAAATACTAGACACTGCAATATATTTAGAAAGTACATATTGTTGGCATCTTCAAATACTAGACACTGCAATATATTTAGGAAGTACATATTGTTGGCATCTTCAAAGACTAGACACTGCAATATATTTAGAAAGTACATATTGTTGGCATCTTCAAATACTAGACACTGCAATATATTTAGGAAGTACATATTGTTGGCATCTTCAAAGACTAGACACTGCAATATATTTAGAAAGTACATATTGTTGGCATCTTCAAACACTAGACACTGCAATATATTTAGAAAGTACATATTGTTGGCATCTTCAAACACTAGACACTGCATATACATATAGCAAAGTACATATTGTTGGCATGTTCAAACACTAGACACTGCATATACATATAGCAAAGTACATATTGTTGGTACATGGTATCTTCAAACACTAGACACTGCAATATATTTAGAAAGTACATATTGTTGGCATCTTCAAACACTAGACACTGCAATATAGTTCATATTGTTGACATCTTCAAATACTAGACACTGCAATATATTTAGAAAGTACATATTGTTGGCATCTTCAAACACTAGACACTGCAATATATTTAGAAAGTACATATTGTTGGCATCTTCAAATACTAGACACTGCAATATATTTAGAAAGTACATATTGTTGGCATCTTCAAACACTAGACACTGCAATATATTTAGAAAGTACATATTGTTGGCATCTTCAAAGACTAGACACTGCAATATATTTAGAAAGTACATATTGTTGGCATCTTCAAACACTAGACACTGCAATATATTTAGAAAGTACATATTGTTGGCATCTTCAAACACTAGACACTGCATATACATATAGCAAAGTACATATTGTTGGCATGTTCAAACACTAGACACTGCATATACATATAACAAAGTACATATTGTTGGCATCTTCAAATTCTAGACACTGCAACATATATTGAAAAGTACATATATATTCAAACGTATCTCATACTTGAGTGGGTTTGGGGTAGATATCACCCGGGAATATATATCATATCTGAGGAGCGGGCAGGATATATTATGTATATCCCGCTTCAGGGCAAATGCGGGCAGATATAATATATCCATCCTGCTCACGGGAATTTTTCAAAAGTTTTAAAATTTTTTAAAAAATTAACATTTGAAAGTTTAAAATTTGTTAAAAAGTTTAAATGTTACAATTTCATTGTATTGAACTAAAAGGAATATTACGAAAATGTTAAATACAAATTGTACTTTTACAGTATAGGCCTATCTTGTCATTTGAAAAAGGTGGAACCCCAAACCCACTTAAGTATGAGATACACCAGTTATGTACGATCGGTTTTGGATAAAGGGTATATCCCTCGGGAAATATTTATATCTCCCCTTGGTCCCTTCGGTCCCTCGGGATGATATAAATATATTCCTCAGGATATAACCTATATCCAAAACCTCCCAGTACATAACCCTTATATATCCAAACACAAGAAACTGCAATAGTGCAATATACACAAGGGTCATGCTGTTTGAGATTTCACAGTTTGGTATCGTGATTGTATTATACAGTTCGGTTATGATTGTGGTTTTCATGGACTATGTAACATGAGCGAACAGATATGAAATTGGTCCAAAAATCAGAAAACATTCTGAGTGTGTCAAATTGTTTTATTGTTGTAAGTATTCACAATGACATACAAAGTGGACAAGCATAACTCTTCACTAGTACTCTGTTTCAGTAATGTTTATTGATTTTCTTGTTCAATGTTCATGTTTTTTCAACACATAAAGTAACTTGTCTACTTTTGGCAAAACTAGCACAGTACTTCACTAAACTGAATCCTTTTTTTATTCAGAAACATAAGTTCATCAACTTTGACAGGAGACAATATGGCTCAAGGGCGAACGTAATACCTGGAATGTGCCTGCCTCGTTGGCAAATTCAAAGCATTTGCTGTTCGGCTTTTTACCGTAATACTGTTCTATGAACCAATAGGATCGCGCGATATATTTAGCATAGATTACTTCCGGGTCAATATGCCAATGAAATTTATCAACATTTCCGCTTGACTCCTTATATACACTATGATGTGGAATATTAAGAGCCATTGGTCTTGATAAATGTAATTTACCTTATCTGGAATTGGTTTCTCATCAAATCTCTGAGCTGCGACTAGAAAGCAATCTGGAGCTGGTTTCCCATGTATCACATCTGGATCACTACTACTGAGAACAACATGGTGAAACAATTCAAATAATTCTTGGTGATTTCTGGTTTTTAATTCATAGTTGAATTTGTTTGAGCCAGTTGCTATAGCGATTGGAATGTTGTGTTGTGACAGGTGACGTATCAATGTTTCTGCACCTGAAAATTAATCAGATTTCATTCAATGAACGTTATATAATATTTTATTTTTAATGAAGTATGTAATTCTATTATATTTTACCCAATTTTCAAGCAAAATGGTTTGTCCTAATTTTCTAGCAGAACAGTTCCCTTTAACGATTTATCCTGAATGAGTACCTGGCAGAAGCTCACAGTGTGGAAAAAGTCTCTCCTGTGCTTCATGCATTTGTCTCAGATATTCCTCCACAGTTATAGGAAGCTCTAACTCATCTGAAATAATAACAGCATTCTCTATAAAACTACCGGTAATATCATTATTTGTATCAATATGTGAACACCTCTCTATAATACAATTACTTTTAGCTGGTCCCAATGGTGTCTGCATTAAACAGGTTTTACTGTATAAACAGTGATTTGAATTCAGTCTAAAAAATGATACTTAACAGCAATTTTTAATACCTTTTAAAATAAATTTGGAATAATATTATGACAAATGAAGAAATCTTTTTTAAAAATTCTCTAAACTTCATAATTGTTCATAACAAGGTATAGACTGTTCATTTTGAGATGTCAGAGGTATTACTGCCTTGGGGTACTAAAATGCAATTTTAATATGTGAAATCCATAGCTTTTGAGAATCTTTAGTTGGCACATATCATGCAGACATTTTTAATGGACATTTGTTTTCAACCCCAACACCCTGAATCCACCAGTATCTATCTCAATTTTGCCAAGAATTGCAATTGGTATTTAAAAAAAAATGAAAAATTAATTTGCTCCACGGGTAACAAATTATTTCAAGTTTCCTGGTGAATGTCGAGTCTCACATCATACAAATGTAATTTTAGGTGATCTGTCTGCATGGTGTGCATATGGCTTTCTTTGGAATACCTAACATGGCAGTTTTCAGGTAGCTTCTTCAAAAACTTAGTTTTTCCAGAACTGATTACGAATGTATAAAATAATTATATACTTACTTATTAATATTTTTGCTGATTCTTGTTCTTTCTTTCCCATTTGTTTTGCTTTGATTTCCCATGTGAATGTTTTCCCATATTTTTCACATAATTCATTGGAGGCTACAGTGTATAGTCTTTCTGTATCTGGAAAACATATATTACTGTTTTTACTTAAAAACAGATATATGAATGTTTACATTTACAAGACAAACATACTTTATTTTGTACCAGAAAATAACCAAAATGTACAGATATAGGGCTTGTTTCTCCCCCCTACACAGGCAAATTACATTGGAGCCTGTACGACCCCCTCTTAGTTAGTATTCCAAATTTTCGACCCATGTACTTACTACTTGCCCATACCGAGACCTGTAACTGCTGGTAATTTTCGACCCATGTACTTGCCCATATGGGATTCTTTACGAGGCTCGTAATAGCTTGTTATTTCCAAGCTCTGTAGTGGCCTGTCATTACACTGCCCATAAGTATCCTTAATTTTTGACCCACGTACTTGCCCGTACAAGGCTCATAATGAGGCACCTAATAGTTCATTATTTTCGATAAACTTTTTGTGATCAATGAAATAAAATATAGAGTACATTTAAAATGACATTTTGATTATATGTAAACGTGGAAAAATATGTCTGAAATATTTTTAAAATATTCACAGCCCTGTATTCATATGATGGATCAGTATAAAGCTCGAAAACAAAATTGTCTGGATACAGCAATGGCAGAGACCATATTTGTCAACTCGTGGAAAACTTATGTTGAAACATAAGAACACGGGAAAGTTGCCATTTTTCAACTTTCAGTTTCGAAACGATAATTTCATGCATCTTTTTGCATATAGCAGTCGTTATAGGCTGTCCTTAATCAGCATATCGATTATTAATTGAAAGGATTCCTTATGTTTTTACTGGATATATCTAACAATCATTTTCTACAAATTTCAGAAGCATCAAAAACGACCTCCCTTATACTCTTAATAACCAGTACACACTCATCGGAGGGCTTGCCCGACCCTCCAGACAAGCCCCTGTGGCCTTACCCAATGTTATCAAAATGTGATATGTGAAACTTTTTTGTTTAAGGTACAGCTGGAAAGTAACATTTTGGTAAAAAATTGCTATACCTGCACATGTTATTTTCTGGTACAAAATAAAGTATGAAGGCATGTGTCAATTTCCTTGCTTTTTTCAGGAAAGTATCATTACATTGTCTTCCTTTAGAATATTTGGTAGGAGTTCAATGGGAACTCCAGGAAATTCTGATATCTTTCTATTTTTCCAAATTTCTTTCAAAGTTTCCAGACAACACAGGAGCTACCATTGACCCATTTCCAGGTTTACTAAAAGTAGACAGTGTAATGATACTTTCCTGAAAAAAGCAAGGAAATAAACACATATGCCTTCATACTTAAATTTGTACCAGAAAATAACATGTGCAGCTATAGCAATTTTTTACCAAAATGTTACTTTCCAGCTGAACCTTAAATTCCAGGCTTAACATTACAACAGTCATGACAGGTCTTGCAACCATTGTCACGGTCATATCTAGGTGCATTCATGCACCCTCTGGGTCTCTGAGGATCGTCTAATGCAAGTCCATACGACAATCCAACGCATTAGAGGCGGTGTTCACCGTCTAGGTCATATCAGGCTTTAACATTACAACGGTCATGTCAGGCCTTGCAATAAAGTATAGCATTGTTACGGTCATATCAGGCTTAACATTACAACCAGGCCATGCGATATAATATAGCAATGTCAAGGTTATATCAGGCTATCCCGATAACACGTACTACAACAGTCATGGCAGGATTTTTGCGAAACTTAAAAACACTTAATAACATGGTGACTGTTGTGCCAGGCATAAGTCTTGCAACATATAGGGTCTCGGTCCTGTGGTCAATTTGATGAAACTCAACAATGCTTTATTGCCCCCTTTATTTGATTAGGGGTTTGATTTATCTCGTTCCAAGACTCTCTACGTTCTAAACGAAGTTCCAAACGAAGTTATAAACGAAGAGGATGGTGTTGGAACAAGATAAGGTTTGACACAGGCAATGGAACATAGAAATAATCCCCCCCCACTCTCTGTACATAAGTAAATAAAACAGGAACTTATCGTAGAAACTTGCAATTTGCCTGTGAGGTTTGATATGTTGTGATATACAACCTTACTTCCTGCGAAAGCTATTTGGATTTTGATATAATAGCTTTCCCACGGAGCATTTGGACAGCTCAATGATCGTGACCTTTGAAATTGAATTAAGTCGATCCGCGGCTTACTTTTGGTCTCTAACTGTGTCTTACATCAGTATCATCAATCCGTGTAAGTATTGGAGCGCTGGAGTACTTCTTTCTTGATCAAGACTTGTAATTGTTAGTCGAGTGAATCGTTTTACTGCCAAATTCCAATATGGCGGTTTCTGCTCGGACATTATCGTAAATCTCCGGAGGTTGTCCGAACCCAACTAATTCTCAAAATTCATTTCGTTCGTTGCATATCTCGCACCTAGCAAACCGCCATATTGGAAATAGGTCTAAAAAACTTTCACTCGATGAACAATTTACAAGTCTTGATCGAAAAAGAAGTACTCCAGCGCTCCAATACTTACACGGATTGATGATACTGATGTAAGACACAGTTAGAGACCAAAAGTAAGCCGCGGATCGACTTAATTCGATTTCAAAGGTCACTATTGATTAGTCCAACAACATTAGACCTAGCCCGTGCCTCGTTTCTTATCTGACATGTGTTATGGCCCGGCTGGCCCCAAGAAAAGTCCTAATAATAAAGAACGCCGTTATTGAGTTTAACGACGTTGAACTAACTATTGATCAGCTGTTCACTTCTCCGTTTGAGAGCTAGACTGTATCCTTCGTCTGAATAAATATTCAGACTGTAAGTCACCTATTGTAAAATGTGGTGTTGTATAAATGTTACAAATAAGTTTGTTAATGATAGAATGATTACCTTATAAAGAACTCACAATATTATTTTTTCGTATATTGTCCTCTTACTGAAGATATTCATAAAATGTACAGACGCTTCTTGTAGCGAAGCCATTGATTAGGTCAAGCCATTTTGGCAATGCCAATTCTCACGATAAACGAGATTTAGCCAGTGACGTCAGTCTATTTGTAAACAAATAACACGTGGAGCGAGAGCAACATTACGGAAGCGTATTGCTAAATTCCATTTGTGCGGGAATTTATTAGATCTAGTCATTTATTATCATTATCCCTAACTGCCCTAATTCACGTCACCATACTAGTCAATGGGCAAAAGGGCAAACGCCTGATTTTTTATCTCGAGTTATGGATTTATGTGGCCTCACTGGCCTATCTGAGGTTCTAAAGCTATGTCTAAGCTACATCTTGACACTAAACTCAATAGGGGCCAACCATCTACTTTTTGAAATAATTGGTCAATTGTGACACTACCCCCTCTCTCTGCAGACACAAATTGAAATTCACAAAAATGAAGACAATTAATACGCCACTTGACTCGAAATTTTCCTTCAGATAACCCAAATGAACGCATTTTCAGAAGAAATGGCATGTTGTCATTGCAAAAAGAATACAACTGCGCCTACATACTAGCTTACTGACTCGTCATGATCACAATTGTGTTGGGACTACATTTATTTTTGAATACTACTTTTTTCTATTCAGCGGAAGTGACGTATTAGGGCATTTTGGCCTAATAGCCACATGGTTGGATGATTTCTGGCTTTAAATTGCGTTTTTCCAATTTACTAGAGTTTTTCAAGTAGTTTTGTGCAGTTTAAGAATATTCTGACAGCAATTATGAAAAATATGGCTACTTCATTACCCCTGGGGTCATTTTTCCAAGAACCCAATGGTTTTCCTTTAAATTTGACTAGTTTTTCATTTACATCATGAAATCCACTGCCTGATGGTGACATTTTTCATTATCGTGTCAAGAAATTGAGTATTTTATTGCATATTGCGATTTTTAGCCAAAATCACTGAACCGTGAACCAGAAAATTGGACAAATTTGGCCCACTTTTTGGCAAAATCTTACTAAAATCATCACTTTTTCATCCTTTATTCCATTCAACAACCTCCTGATTTGAAAAATGATGACAAATTTGATCAGTTTTGACTCTGGACTAGAGAATTGGGACTTTTGAGATATTTTTTAGCTCGAATGTAGTCATTCAGAGTGAACAAATACATCAAAAATTGACACTTAACTCACCAATTTCTGACTGCACCCCCGATATGTACCTTCTTTCTATACTGGAAACCATAAGATGGAAAATTCTCTCTTTATTATGAATAGCAACTCGTTGGCTTCCCCATTTACGACAACAAATGACATTTAGGGGTCACTAAGGACAAAATTGTAGCCAAATATCGTCAAAATCAGTGGTTTTTGGGGTAAAAAGCGAAAACTGCTGATTCAGCAAAAACATTAAATTTGTTCATGAGAATTCCCCTTTTTGCCTCCGTCCAAAATATGTTTCACACTAATAAACTTCAATTCTGGGCGATTCTGAGTAGTTTTAAAAAATTTGGGTCACTTTCACATGTGACTAATAGGCAAAACTGCCCTAATTCACGTCACCATACTAGTCAATGGGCAAAAGGGCAAACGCCTGACTTTTTATCTCGAGTTATGGATTTATGTGGCCTCACTGGCCTATCTGAGGTTCTAAAGCTATGTCTAAGCTACATCTTGACACTAAACTCAATAGGGGCCAACCATCTACTTTTTGAAATAATTGGTCAATTGTGACACTACCCCCTCTCTCTGCAGACACAAATTGAAATTCACAAAAATGAAGGCAAAATTAATACGCCACTTGACTCGAAATTTTCCTTCAGATAACCCAAATGAACGCATTTTCAGAAGAAATGGCATGTTGTCATTGCAAAAAGAATACAACTGCGCCTACATACTAGCTTACTGACTCGTCATGATCACAATTGTGTTGGGACTACATTTATTTTTGAATACTACTTTTTTCTATTCAGCGGAAGTGACGTATTAGGGCATTTTGGCCTTATGAACACATCCTGAAGTTTCGGTGAGTCTGAACATTTCATTATTTTATATCAACTTGTACCCGCCTTATACAAATATTTTTGCTTCTAGTTTAAGGTTCAGCTGGAAAGTAACATTTTGGTAAAAAATTGCTATACCTGCACATGTTATTTTCTGGTACAAAATTAAGTATGAAGGCATGTGTGTATTTCCTTGCTTTTTTCAGGAAAGTATCATTACACTGTCTACTTTTAGTAAACCTGGAAACAGGTCAATGGTAGCTCTTGTGTTGTCTGGAAACTTTGAAAGAAAATTTGGAAAAAAAGAAATTGTGAAATATCAGAATTTCCTGGAGTTCCCATTGAACTCCTACTAGATATTCTTAAAGAAGACAGTGTAATGATACTTTCCTGAAAAAAGCAAGGCAATTGACAAATGTCTTCATACTTTATTTTGTACCAGAAAATAACATGTGCTGGTATAGCAATTTTTTACCAAAATGTTACTTTCCAGCTGTACCTTAAGATGAACATCTCTTCAACATATTCACCAATTTTCAAGGTGAACATTCTTATAATAAACGAGAAATTAATGTGCAAAAAATATCACCGCGATTTCCACTGGAAATATATCAATCATAACAGACCGAATATTATATTCGGTCTGTTGGAACATACTAAAAATTTCTCCATCTAAAATGTCATTCGACTTTTGGGCAATTAATTTAGTCCCTGCCTGCATTTAGTAGTCATATATTGTCATGTGCATAATTTTGAAACCATATCCTAATTATTTCACAAACCCTTTGTTGATTCTGCCATAGTTTCCAATTTGTAAACAGCATTTAGCCTTTTTAATTGGGAACTTTTTTGAAATTTCCAAAATGGCTGCCATGTGATTCCAGAATTAACATGAGTGTGACGTGACATCACAGTTGCTCGTTCCTAGGTAACAACAAGATCACAATTGCTCGTTTCTAGATAGCAACAAGATTTTTGATAAAATGGCACAGAATTACCCTGATTAACACCCTTAAAATCCGATTTTCAAAGAATATATTTGGAGAAACAATAAAAGGTAAGTGGAATAAATTAGAAGATGGTTTCAAGTTACCACAGAAGTCAATTTGAAACTCAAGAATGCTTTCTTTGACTCATAATCACAAAAAAGTCGAGTGACATTTTAGATGGAGAATTTCTTAGTTTGAGAGCCATAAGTTTCAAAATCTAACATGGCTCTCGAAGTGAGTAAATACAACCATTATGCTGGGGAGATCACTGAGACTAAAAATGCATTTAGATATATTATCAGGTTACTCCCGTCGAGAGCTACTAAGATTTTGAAAGTATAGCTCTCTATCGCTAGGATCAACAGCTTAAGAATCCTGACTTCAAAGAAAATTTCAGGGAATTCAGCTGACTCATGTTGCACATTATATACCTGAAAATGTATCCTACATCGCCATCTTTCATTCAATTCAACTATAGAACGTCTCACTGCCCTATGTATCGATCAGGACTTCATTTTATTGGTCGTGTCAAAAGTTTTGGCCAGGTATATTCAATATGGCGGCTTGACGTTTCCCAAGTTGCGCATGCGTCGATAGTATTTCCGTTAACCGCCATATATTGGAAATGGGTATCGAACAAAAAACGATTAGAACTCCTGATCGCCATAGAAGCACATCCGCGATCCTACATGCACGGGGAAAGTAGACACATATGAGCCCATATGTAGGCTACAGTTTGAGACAAACAGCAAGCCGTTGACTGGCGCTGATCAAATTAAGATGTTACAATTCTTCAGCTGGGAGATCCTCACGATGGAGAGCTATACTTTCAAAATCTAACATGGTAGCTCTCGACGTGAGTAATTATCAGGCAATTTAAAAGAAGACAAGATCTGAACTATATTACCTAGCAGAAGTCCATCCATATCAAAGATCACATGAGAAACAGGCTTGTTTCCGGAAGTTGACATTTTGAATGACCTTGGGGTGTCACTACGGTAATTCATTGAAGAAACTGAATAAGTGTGAAGGTGTAAATACCGTAATCCAACACGAAATTCGAAAATTCTGAACACTACTTTGCACATATGCCGTTCGTGCCCCCACCCCGTAGTGTTATATATCAAAATGTACACTCACTGCATGTGAGTTAAACTGTTTGGTCTGCAAGACCACGGGACATATTTAGCGTAGTGAAACCTTGAACTTGGCCAACACCGGAAGTTGCAAATTTTACTGGTAAGATATCATTTCTACCTTATTCAAGGTTTTACCACAGTCGATTGTAGTTTGATTTGGACAAGAAGAATTATAATTATTCATTAGAAGAATAGTGCCCTGAGTGTGAGGACGCCAAAAGAACTCCAAATCATTTCTTCATAAAATTCCACAGGAAGCTCTTTCAACACCTGACATCTAGAGGCTATGGAAAGGGTTCGGGCGTACAGCGTTTAAGTGGATTTTGATTGAACGAGAAATGTGAAATGCAAGTCCTGCAGGCCCGTGCAGACGTTCATGAAGTTAACCCCGTGTATCGTGAAGTCAATAAACTCCTTCTGTGACGCCTTTCAGTCTCGTTATTTCGTGCTAATTTCTAAACTCTTCTGTATTTAGCCAATCAGAACACCAGTTACAAAACGCGACAAAGATTAACATAAGAGAGGGTGCAATACCATGGGGATATTAATATTTTAATTTCTTTTCTTCTATTTTGATTGGTCGAGAATAACGACTTATTAGAAATTCAACCAATAGCAAGTCAATCCAGCGAATACAAAGATCAACCTGATATACTGAGATATCTGGACTTTGAGACCATCGTCTGGACTTTGCAAGTCTTACAAGCAAAATGGAGAGTGATTTCGCTGAGTCTGCCATTGGACAGTTTAGCGATTTATTTAATGACCCTGAAACGTGAATGTAATGATATTTGATCTTCATGAAACGTGAATGTAATATTTTGATGATGGACGTGAAACGTGAAAGTAATTCTGATTAGTAATGTGCGACGTGAAAACGTGTTACCACCTGGCGTGATTATGTGACAAAACCCCCTTTCCATAGGCTCCATCGAGATCTATTGCCTTACCTGAAATAGACTGAGCTTCTATTCTGCCACAAACCCCTTTTTAAAAGTTAGAGAATTGTTATTTGTTTGTGCCCAAATGCTTTCCACTAAAGCGCTTTGTGCGTTTTTTCTGGTGTAATTCCAGCAGTTGCTTTCAATGGGAAATTATTTTTACTACAGGGTGTTCAAAAAAAAACGCAACCCAAAGAAATCGCGATATCTTGGAAAATACTGATCCAATTATGTTCATATTTTCAGGAAAGAAAGAAGAGACTATGTATGTATAGCCCCTTTGTTAGTTAGTTGTAAAACATGATGTCTTGGACATTTGCTCAAAAGACAGTTGTACTAGCAAAATACGAAAAACGCGAATGGAAAATAACTATATCTTGGAAAATACTAATTCAATTATGTTTATTTTTTCAGGAAAAGAAAGAACAGACTGTGTATGTATAGCTCCTGTTGTCAGTAAGTTGTAAAACATGATGCCTTGGACACCTGCTCAAATGACAGTTGTACTAGGAAAATATGAAAACGCAGTCAGAGGTGACTGCCACAGCAATAAATCCAAATAACTTTCTAACCATGGTGTTTTGGCACTTCAGATTTGGCACAAATTATCCTCATTCAATATGTGGTGAATTTGTGGAGTTTCATCAAAATCACTCCTGGGACTTTATAGTCATGTGTGGCGAAGTTGAGCCTCTCTATCTTTTACAAAACATGAAACCAAATGTAATTTAAAATATTAATTTATTATAGAAAAGTTTAAGTCCAAAATATAAATTCAAGTTGTTACTTACAGTTGTTGATCTGTCCGAGTTCACGTAACGAGAATCTGAGGTTTCAATGCTAAAAATGCCTCTTTTATAATGTTAATTTTGAGGTGGGCAGAGCTGAAATAAGAGGTCTTATCCAATAAAATATGAAGAAATCTCATTAACTAAAATTGGCCGAAAAATGAATGTTTAATTTTATAGAAAGTCAATAAGGAATAGTGATGATTTTCTGCCCACGAATCTTGGATGTTTACTGAAAGTTTGAGAATTTGGCAGAATTTGGTGGGAAAGGAATGCCTAGACAAAACCTCTGAATCTCGTCCCGTGAACTCTGGATGTACAATCCAATTATCTCATTTAACCTATTAGTTCATTAAAGTCCGAAACAAGTATTTTTATGTACATTTACAGGGTGATCCAGAAGTAACGTCAAAGATGTTGTAATTTCAAAAGTATTCATCAGATCTTCATGAAATTTGGTATACATGTACCCACAACATTTCTGAGTTACCATCTCAAAGATTGGAATTCAATCATTTCATTGGTTGAAATTATGGTTGCTATAGTAACCCGATATCGCGTAACCCGGGGCAAATTACTTAACGTGTAATGCGTAATCTCAAAATATCAACAAGATCTGAAATTGTTATATCCTCAACATTTTATTTCACAACAATATAAATCATACTATTGCACAGTTACTAATAATAGTTCATTCTACATAATTGCCACCATTTGCAACACATTTCTCATGTCTGGATACCCATTCCTTGAACACAGAATTAAATCCATTAGAACTCATTCCTTGTAGGGCTAGTACTACGGCATTTTTCAATTCCTCACAGGATTGAAAATTATTTCCACTAAGGTTTCTTTTTAGTTCCCCATACAAATAAAAGTCACTGGGGGCAAGATCAGGTGAATAAGGGGCATGTTCAAGTTGTTGAAATCCAAGTGTTTGGACTGTGTTGCTGATCAGGATTGCAGTGTGCGTAGGGGCATTGTCCCAATGCAAGATAAACTGCTGCAGATGTCCGGGACGCTTTTTCCTCAGGGAACGTTGAAGATCACGCTTCAGAACCTGAAAAACAAATGTTTAATGGTTGTTAAACCAGTTGTTTCATTGATTGGATTTGGATTTGAATCATGGCCATGGAGTTATAATTATATTGACAGTGAACAACATTTAAATACTTTAATTTAAAAATAAAATTCACAGTATGATGTATTATTAGAACAAATGATATCTTACCTTTGCAATGTAAACGGCATTAATTCTCTGGCCAATGGGAACAAAATGGGTTAACACCATTCCTCTAATGTCAAAGAATGTCACAACCATTTGTTTCTTTTGTGGAATTCCTGGTACTATTTTAGGCTTGGTTGGTGTTGGGGAGTTGTCATGTTTCCACGATGAACTTTGTTGCGTGGTCTCTGGGATGTAGAATGATAGCAATGATTCGTCACTCGTAATGATCTTGTTAAGAAAGTCATCTCCATCTCTCCGATATTTTGCAAGAAAGTCCCTTGAAGCCTTAACACGCCGGTCTTTCTGCTCCTGTGTCAAGTCATGCGGCACCCATTTAGCAGACACCTTCTTTAACAGACAGTTCTTTGTCAGTATCCGTTGCACAGTCCCATAGCTCAGATCGTGTTTTTCAGCCAATTCTCTGATAGAAATTTGCCTATTGTCCATAACATCAGCTTCAATTGCTTTGATGGTTTGATCATCGAATGACGACACTGGCCTGCCTCCTCGCTGCTTGTCTACCACTTCATCATATCCACTGGAATACTTGTTAAACCACCTGTAAATGTTTCTCTCAGCAATGGCAGCTTTACCATATGCCTTCTTTATCTGTCTTATAGTCTCTTTTACACCTTTCCCCAACTTTACACAGAACTTAATGTTTGTTCTTTGCTCTATTTTACTCTGACTTGGCGCCATCTTGAATTGGATGGGTTAGTGTCCTTGGTCATGTTAGTATTTGTCATGGATGATGGAAGCAATTCAAAGAAATTGAAAGCTTTTTATGAATGCCTATTGTGACATCACAACTATTACATATTTGTTACCATGGCAACAAATATAAAAATCATAGAAAACAAACAATGAACATTTTCAAATGTTACTGACTTTTTAAATTAGAGAAATTCACAAAAACGTTATGGTTTCTCTTCAATTTGCCCCGGGTTACGCGATATCGGGTTACTATAGCAACCATAATTTCAACCAATGAAATGATTGAATTCCAATCTTTGAGATGGTAACTCAGAAATGTTGTGGGTACATGTATACCAAATTTCATGAAGATCTGATGAATACTTTTGAAATTACAATGTCTTTGACGTTACTTCTGGATCACCCTGTACATGCTAAAAAGTACACAGTTATTAATGTAATGTGATACAGATTATATAGATATATACATTTATAAAGTTTATACACTAATATATAGGTTTTGGTTAGTTATGTTCAAGATCTTTAAGGCTAATGAGTTTTTACTTTATTTATAAAAAACTTGTATTTTTCACTGTTCTGCCAACAATTATGAAAACATATAAACATTGAAAGAAAACATTGCAAAGTTTCTCATCATATATCATTGTCTATCATTTTTATCTTAACAAGAATTCTGCCATTTAATTGGTTAAAAATCTTATCACATTTGGTAACACATAAAAACTACTTCAATCTGAAGCTAAAATATAAGAAATTAAATGGTTAGTACTACAAAATATTACTCTAAGTTCAAAGATTACCCAAACAACTGTTGTAATACAAATATTAAACTGGCAGATTCAATAATAAAAATAACGCAATATTCATAAACATGTATACATGGAAAGATCATGATGACATTAACTGATGTACAGTGAAATAAGTAGAGTGACCAGTGAATTCAACTGTGACTTCGTCACACATGGTCAAAATGCCTTCTTAACTCTCCCTGAACCAGGGCGTTTGACTGTGATTTGAAAGCATTTCAACCATGACAGTGAAGTCCCTGAGGTGATTTTGATTTCACTCTACAGAGCCAAAACATTATGGTTAGGAAGTTATTTAATTTTTTTGCGGTTGCAGTCACCCCTGACTGCATTTTTCGCATTTTGCTAGTACAACTGTCTTTTGAGCAGGTGTCCAAGGCATCATGTTTTACAACTAACCATTGTCAGAAGCTATACATACACAGTCTCTTCTTTATTTCATGAAAATATGAACATAATTGAATCAGTATTTTTCAAGATATAGCAATTTCTTTGGGTTGCGTTTTTTTTTGAACACCCTGTATTTTAAAAAAAATCCCACCATTTAATTAAAAAATATTTATAGTTTGTTTGGGCATTTTCAAAAAAGGAGATGACATGGCAACTATCCCCGGAGATACTGAATTGTGATATTACCACAGGCTGGTATCGAAAAATTTGTCCGCAGTGACGGAGCATGCTATTTTGCATAGAAACACTAGGAAATCCACACAATTTATTTTTTAATCATATGTTTTGCTATATCAAAGAAAATTACTGACTCCATGCAATGAATATATCATTTGCGGGTAACTTTAACTTCTGTTTTAAGTCTAACAACGCTAAGAGTAAGCTATTGAAAACGGCGTTGGAGTATCATACTCCAAAATGTACCATTTCTTTTTAATGGTATAATATAGCGACACAATAATATTTTTTACATATGCTTTCAGCATAACTCTGAAGGTATTAATGATATCTTGATGTATTGGGTATTTTTAATTTTTTTTATAAAAAATAATAATTAATTTTTTGTCCGCTGTGACGGAGTAGTTTCAAATCTGAAATACGTTAAGAATTTAGATTTATAATATATCTCTTTACAACTACACTTTAGAGGAGCGAGCGTGTGAAATCTCTTTCGTAAAGTATTCTGAAAAATGAAACGTAATAATAATACACAATTCAAATTCTGAGATGTATATACGACCACTCTTTAAGCTTCTTTTCTCAGTTTATACTGCAATCCAACTTATGCATGGTAACTCATGAAAATGATAGTCAACTTCATTTCAGTATAGGGTATTTGCCTTTCGTAGTGCCTTCTGTGGATCCATCGGCCTGACATGGTCATTTTTTATGGTAACTTGATTATTTTAAGTAAAATGATTTGTTGAAGATGAAGCTAAATACATATAATGGTATGGACTGTGGATTGTTCTACCCTCTTAAGTCATTCCAAAAGGTAAGTTGAGTGTATCTTGAAATATGAAAATGCAAAATTTGATTTTAAGATTGTTCTTTATTTGAATAAGAGTTATGGCTATCTGATGCAACTACAGTAAAACATGTGTACAGTGAACACATACATGTATGGAGCCCCAAAATGTGTTCCCAGTTGGTAGATGTTCACTCCATAGAGGCAATTTCATACAGAGGTCAGAGGAATATTTGATAAGAGGTGTTCACTAGAGAAAGATATTCATTGATACAGGTTTTACAGTGCAGCACGTTTACCAAGACTTTTTTATAATTTTAGTTTATGCAAAACGATGAATTTCAAATAATTACAAATTAAATCTGTATTGGGATCATCTTATATACAGTAATATTATGTGGTAAAAGGTTATACATCTGTCGGAATGCAGGATGTCTGTGCGCTATTTCGAATAAATTCATATTAGCCTTATTTACACTACACGTGACATTCCAAGACGTCTTGGCGAAAACATATTAGAAATATTATGTTGAGTTTACACCATGTTGATTCATGTTGATTTCAGTACAAGATTCCGAAAAATGCTGAGAGTGGTCGTAGTTATATCTTAGATTTACATTACCCCAGATCTCCCAGAGGCTACTTGTCATAATTTAAGAAAGTGATTTGTGACGTTCTCTCTTCTAAGGGTACTTTTAAAAGATATAATTTAAATCTTAAATTCTTAACGTAGTTCACAGTTAAAACTGCTCCGTCACAGCTGACAAAAAATGTAAACATTATTTTTTATAAAAAATATTAAAAATACCCAATACATCAAGATATCATTAATACCTTCAGAGTTATGCTGAAAACATATGTAAATATTATCTTGTCACTATATTGTACCATTAAAAAGAAATAAAAGAAATGGTACATTTTGGAGTATGATACCCCAGCGCCGTTTTCAAAAGCTTTTACTCTTAGCGTTGTTGGACTCCAAACAGTTAAAGTTACCTGCAAATGATATACCCATTGCATGGAGTAAGAAATTTTCTTTGGTATAGCGAAACATATGAGTAAAAAAATAAATTGTGTGGGTTTCTTAGTGTTTCTATGCAAAATAGCACGTTCCGTCACAGCGGACAAATTTTTCGATATCAGCCTGTGATTACACAGCTAAATGGAAACCATACATTTTAGGCACACCAGCACATAAACCTTGATTCTGGAATCTATTTTCCCATTTTGACTGACCTTACTTTTGATAGAAGGGTCTTCATTATAATTGTTTCCTAGATTGTCAGCTTCTCCTTTTCTGTTTGTAACATTTGCCTTTTTGTTGTTTTTCAGAGAGATGTAGAGATACACAATGTAATGAATGTTGTTGAACCTTTATGAAGTCCTAATTAACATGAACAGTATATGCCTAGATGTAAGTAATACTAGTTATTCGCAAATGTAACCTTGTTCTTCAATGTACTGTACATATCTGAACTCACCAGCCATGACATGTTCTTTTACAAAATTACCTACAGTATAGTGAGCCATGACATTTTCTCAAAAGAACATATCTGTAGTCTGTACTGAGACCCCTGAATACCCCTCAGGGTATTCTAGAGAGTTTACATATATATGCTAAAAGATTAACATGTGCATTGTATCTGGTGTTCTATAGTGATTAACATATTTATGGAATAAGAATTAACATGTGCAATGTATCTAGTGTTCTATAGTGATTAACATAACTGCTCTAAGAATTAACATGTGCATTGTACAGGGTGTCCAAAAAAAACAGGACCGTAAGAAAGTTGAATAACTTGGTCAATTTTGCATATTTTGCCTTGAAATTTAAGAATTATTTAGTTCATCCAATGTGAATTTTGTTCTGAAAGTTTGATGATAATCTGTTTATTGTGTCAAAAACTACAGTCCTTCACAAAACATGCTCAAAGTGGGCACTTCTCCTCTCTATGCACAAACGAATCCTGCGAACAAAGTTGTTAATGACCCTTACTTACTAAATATTGGGTAGTTATTGCCCTCTTAAGATTGTTAGGGTCCTGTCAGTATACACACTGGCTTTGAGAAATCCTCAAAGATAAAAATTTGGGGGATTTAGATCAGGCGAATGAGCTGCCCATATGGTTTGCGTTCTGCAACTGATGAGCTGGCCACCAAAGCATTGCCTAAACCATTTCAGCATATTATTTGCAGTGTTGGGATGGTATTGGCTTGTTGAAACCACTGCTTAATTATCTCCTTAGATGTCCCTTCTGGTGCTTACTGACCTCCAAAACTTGGTGAGAACTTACTGGTCCTTGTTCATGGTGATAGCAAGTCCCAAGTCACCTTCGAACCAAAAGGGACTGATGATTCCATGTTTCCTCATTGCCACCCAGGGAGTGCATTGTTCAGAATGCAATGGGTGCTGTAACACTTCAACAGGAGGATGTAAGCCCCAGCAGCAATTGTTCTTGGAACAAACTTGTCCATTCAGATAGACATGACGTGTAGGAGGATCATCAACAGCTTTGTTCGCCGGATTGAATCGTGCATAGAGATGAGATTTGCACATTTGGGGCATGTTTCGTAAGGAGCTGTAGTCTTTGACTCAATTGTTAGATTATTACCAAACTTTCACAACAAAATTCACATTGAATGAACTAAATAATTCTAAAATTTCAAGGCAAAATATGCAAAATTGACCGAGTTATTCAACTTTCTTACGGTCCTGTTTTTTTTGGACACCCTGTATCTATTGTTCTATAGAAATTAACATATCTATGGTATAAGAATTAACATGTGCAATGTATCTAGTGTTCTTAAGTGATTAACATAACTGGTCTAAGAATTAACATGTGCATTGTATCTGGTGTTCTATAGTGATTAACATATTTATGGTATAAGAATTAACAGGTGCAATGTATGTAGTGTTCTATAGTGATAACATAACTGCTCTAAGAATTAACATGTGCATTGTATCTAGTGTTCTATAGAAATTAACATATTTATCCCATCGAACGAAGTTCGTAGGGATATAGGGAACGCCTCCATCCGTCTGTCCATCCGTACGTACATAAGTAGTTGAGTGATTTTGTTCATGTTTGGTATGTGAATACTTTAAGCATGGCCCAATGTCTAATGACATTTTGGGAAGTAGGTGGCCATTTTGAAAAATGGCCGCCATTTTTTGGTGTGCTATTTTACATTTTTTACAATAACTCAAAAAGTAGTAGAGCGATTTTGTTCATATTTTATATGTGAATACTATAAGCATGGCACACTGTCTAATGACACTTTGCGTAGTAGGCGGCCATTTTAAAAAATGGACACCATTTTTTATGTTTTTTACTATAACTTGAAAAGTAGTGGAGCGATTTTGTTCATATTTGGTATGTGAATACTTATGAAACTTGCACACTGTCTCATGACACTTCGCATAGTAGGTTGTCATTTTTAAAAATGGCTGTCATTTTTACATTTTTTACTATAACTCGAAAAGTATTGGAGCGATTTTGTTCATATTTGATATGTGAAAACTTTGGGGAGTAGTTGGCCATTTTGAAAAATGCCCACCATTTTTGTGTGTGTTATTTTACATTTTTTATTATTCTTCAAAAAGTAATAGAGCGAGCATTTACATGTATGTGTGTGCGATTTTTAAATTTTTTTATATGTGACGTGACTACTTAAAAGCATATTACTTCTTCTGATGACAACTTGGCTAGTGAGCAACCATTTTGAAAATGGTGGCCTTTCTTAAGGATGTTATTTTACGATATTTGCTATATATTTTGTTTGTAAAAATGCCAGCCATTTCTGTTCGATGGGATTCGCTACGCTTTGGCGTTGCCATTGTTCTGGTTATGGTATAAGAATTAACATGTGCATTGTATCTAGTGTTCTATAGAAATTAACATATTTATGGTATAAGAATTAACATGTGCAATGTATCTAGTGTTCTTAAGTGATTAACATAACTGCTCTAAGAATTAACATGTGCATTATATCTAGTGTTCTATAGAAATAAACATATTTATGGTATAAGAATTAACATGTGCAATGTATCTAGTGTTCTATAGTGATTAACATAACTGCTCTAAGAATTAACATGTGCATTGTATCTAGTGTTCTATAGAAATTAACATATTTATGGTATAAGAATTAACATGTGCATTATATCTAGTGTTCTATAGAAATTAACATATTTATGGCATAAGAATTAACATACATGCATTGTATTGAGTGCTCTATAAGAATTTAACATGTGCATTGCATCTAGTGCATGTTCTATTGAAATTAACATATCTATTCATATAAAGTAATTAGCATATCTATGCTATAAGAATGAACATTTATCTTGGGTTCTATAGGATGTATAGAGTCATATATAGGAATTAACATACCTAGTGATCAGTAGGAATAAATGAGGTGTCTAATGAAAAGGAAACATTACTTCATGTAATTAAGTCGGAGCTACTGTATATATTGATGATTGTTAAAGCAGTTAGGAAATGCATTTAATTCATCGGTTTATTGTATAAGAGATAGAAACATCCTAGAAAGCTTTTATTAAATTGTATGCCGTGAGATTGCATTGTGGATATAGTTTGTGCAGCAGCAGTTTGTTTTATAATAATCACATTAGTTCACTATACATACGCTGATAAAACTAACTTCAATTCAATATAATCTCACTCGTAAAGTAGCAGCATAGGCAGCAGTACTTCAACACACTTTGAGGATATTTATACAGGTTTTATTATGAAGGGAATTAATAGCATTCCATTGTCTGAAATTCTAATTGATTAAGTGAAACAAATTCATAAAAACAACAAGATTGTGATAAATGCATACATGTATTACAATCTAAAATCTCAAGATCACAAACTACTTCTCTTTAGCCTCATAGTCATACAGATTAGATATAATAAGGCTGAATAGGGTCAAAGGCCACAAAAGCTTTTATGATACGATACATAGGGATAGGTAACCTATCTGGCCAACAAGTACATATACAGAATATCTATGAATATTTCCAGGGACATTAAGACAAGGAAGGGTGTGGTGTCTGCACTGTAGAGATCAAGACACTCACTTTAATCATGCAAACATTAAACCTGAGTTTTGCTGGATGTGGCTTCCTGGGGATCTACCACTTAGGTGTTGCTCAGTGCCTTGTAAAGCATGGTGACCGTCTCTTGAGAGAAGTGCAGTGTATAGCTGGTGCTTCCGCTGGCTCACTAGCAGCCTCTGCCATAGTAGCAGGCCCAGATAAATTAGGGGTGAGTTAACAAGAAAATATCACCAGAAATTCACCTATATGTTGATTATGGTGGAAACAATTTCAGTATATAAGGTTAGTTCCAATGATTCATCTTTATGTCACATATTGTTAATGGTTTCCAACTTTTTGTGCATGGTGTTCGGTGGTTGGCAGTTTGTGGTCAGCATATGGCATCTGTAACAAATGGCAGGTGGTGACATTTTGCATCTTAATGGCTTGTTTTTATTTACATCAATCCCTTTATATTACATATTCTCATTTATTCACACCAAGTGCTTTAACGAACTTAGCCTGCATGGTGAGTGTGCTGATGAGTAATTTTAGGCCTTTAGTATATTTATCCCATTTTAAAGTACGGTATCTCTAATAAATTAATTGTGTTGCTTTATATAATTTTATAATTTATAGAACTACAATTTTTCTTTCAGGAGTGTGTCAAATTCTGTTTCTCCCTGGCTGAAGCACAAGAGAATCAACGATTTGGAATGTTGACACCAAAATTCAGTCTTCTGAAGCCATTAGAGGAATTCCTACACACTATGCTCCCTAATGACGCCCATGTTACATCATCGGGAAAGCTGTTTGTATCACTTACGGAAATGTCTTCCAATAAAAATGTTTTGAAATCTACTTTTGAGACGAAGGATGAATTAATACAGGTATGTGCTATAATCACCTGAAGGTGGGATACTTTATTTTTCCCATATGATTGTTCCATATGTTACTTAGGAAAAGTACATTTGGTTGGAGGATAATTGGAAATAAACTACATATGCAACTCAGTGTAAAATATTAATAAATGAAGAGAAACTAAAACAGTAACTGTACTGATATGTAGAAATGCAGATGATCTAAACTCTGCTCATATTGATTATAGTTTAGAGATAAACCACATTCATCATGTAAATTAAAAACAAACCTTGGGAAGATTTCACCTGATAATAAAGTTCAGTTGGAATACAGTGAAGCCCTCATATGTCTGTCTGTGCATACTATAATTAATATAATACTGGATATGACAATGGAAAAAATGAAAATCAATCTATAATCTATCTACATGTTGTACAGGGTGACCCAAAAAAATGCAACCCTCCATTTCTTCAATATTTTTCTTAAATGGTGGTAAATTGCTCTGAAATTTGGCACACGAGGACTATATTCAATGTGGGATCCTCTGGCAAAGTTCCAATAATTCTAGTCTTATATTGATAGAGTTATGGTCGTTCCAAAATATGCTCCAAATGTCGTCCATTTCCAATGTTAGGTTTTCGAATGAATCACATTCCCTTCTTTCTGAACATGTAAATTCAAGAAATAATGTGTTCTGGGATCACAAATTCCAGATGAAGTGCTTCAAAGGCCCCTTCATTTTGTTAAATGCACAGCTTGGGCTGCCAATTTCCAAACATGAAATCATCAGCCCCTTTTGGTTTAAGGTTGATAATGGCAACACTGTTACTGTTAACACACAGCGCAATCCAGGTGTTCCCAGGAAGTTCTAGGCAGTTCTAGAGTGACATAGAGGCTTCAATAGACAATAACAGTGGTTCTAGAAGGATGGAGCTACTCCTCACACTTCTAATGATAGCATAGCCTGGCTCACTAGTCATTTCTATGAGAAGATTGTCTCTCCTAGGACGGAGAACCCGTGGTCATCCCACAGTCTTGATCTCAATGCCCCTGACTTCTATATATGGGGTTATTTAAAGGATAATGTGTATGAAAATAACCCTCCCGCAATTGCAGAACTCCAACAAGCAATGGCTGCAAAAATTTGAGCCATACCCATGGGGAAGAATGCATCCGTGTTATGAATAGTTTTCCTAGACGACATCTGGAGCATATTTTGAAACAACCATAACTCTATCAATATAAGACTATGGTTATTAAACTTTGCCAGAGGATCCCACATTGAATGAAGTCCTTGTGTGCCAAATCTCAGAGCAATTTACCTCCATTTAAGAAAAATATTGAAGAAATGGAGGGTTACATTTTTTTGGGTCACCCTGTAGATGTCCAAATGTTAGTCTAAATTGATATTTGTGTAAAGATTGTATGGTTATGTTGCTCTTAAACAAAACACATGAGGCAGTATATTTATATACTACAAGATGTGTGTCCATCAATCCATCTCTCAATTTGTCTAATTCAGTTTGTCTTAGTCATTATTGTTAAGACATTTCAAATAATACCTTTTTTATATGGAAATTGATCCTTGGGGTTTGCTACTCACTGGAGTTGCTGTTTATAGTAATTTAGTTGTTATTGAATCTGTCAAATTAATCCATAATTATCTCCCAGCAAGCCTATTACAAGCCACACCTTTAATCTCCAGATTATTCATCTAACCAACTGCTCTTCTGGTGTTTAGTACAAATGTGAATATCAATTAGGCCATAAGAAGTAGATTCTTTGTTTTGCATTCTCCTTGCTTGCACGATTTTGAGTAAATCATAAAAAACAAACACATCCAAATAGTAATCACAAGGGTCTGAAAATGCCATCGCATTTCATTCAATAAGAATCAGACGAAATGGCGGATAATTTGATGTGCGTCAAAATTGACAGTGTTATTGATTACTTTGGCATACATTGTGTATTTTCTTATTTTTTACCCTTGAGTAATAGCTATGTTTAAATTTATTAGATATGTGTTTGTAATTACTGCAAATTGGTATGTTATCCCTTAGCCCATAAAATGTATACATTTCTCAGGAAACAAGTTGTGTTTTTCTTGAGTTTGTGTTTGTTTTCCTTGTACCCTTGCATGAATTGAATTTTGCCAGGACGCAAAACAAAGAATATACTTCTTATGGCCTTATTAATACTAAATGTGAAGTCTGTTTTCTTTATTTTTTGCAAATTCTACTTCAACTCTATTTTCTTTTAAAAACATGATATGACCCTAATGATATATTTCTCATAGTCATTTAAATACATTTCATTTAGCATGCTTTCACTCATTACCATCTTCATTGGGAAGTTCCAAGCACTGGATCCAGGTGAACCCTTGGTGGGCCCAGAAATAAATATTTGAGCCCAAAAAGTATTTGGGCCCAAACATTTTGTAGGGCCTCAATTAGTGGGCCTTTTTGGGCATTACTTGGCCTTTTGTCAAACTGTTAAACAATTTTTGGATTTTGGGGCTCAAAATTTTCAAGATTTGAAATCTGCCCCCCCCCCCCCGTCTTGTTAGCTTCTGGATCTGCCAGTGATTGAACTGCTTGTTTTGAACTTACTATACTCTAATATTCTTTCTTACTTTTTTCCAGTGTTTGCTGGGTAGTAGCTGTATTCCACATGTTACTGGCACCACTCCTATAGAGATCAATGGAAAGGTAGGTAGCTATATTCCACATGTTACTAGCACCACTCCTATAGAGATCAATGGAAAGGTAGGTAGCTATATTCCACATGTTACTGGCACCACTCCTATAGAGATCAATGGAAAGGTAGGTAGCTATATTCCACATGTTACTAGCACCACTCCTATAGAGATCAATGGAAAGGTAGGTAGCTATATTCCACATGTTACTGGCACCACTCCTATAGAGACCATTAGAAAGGTAAGTAGCTATATTCCACATGTTACTAGCACCACTCCTATACAGGTCAATGGAAAGGTAGGTAGCTATATTCCACATATTACTGGCACCACTCCTATAGAGACCATTGGAAAGGTAGGTAGCTATATTCCACATATTACTGGCACCACTCCTATAGAGATCAATGGAAAGGTAGGTAGCTATATTACACATATTACTGGCACCACTCCTATAGAGACCATTGGAAAGGTAGGTAGCTATATTCCACATGTTACTGGCACCACTCCTATAGAGACCATTGGAAAGGTAGGTAGCTATATTCCACATGTTACTGGCACCACTTCTATAGAGACCATTGGAAAGGTAGGTAGCTATATTCCACATGTTACTAGCACCACTCCTATACAGGTCAATGGAAAGGTAGGTAGCTATATTCCACATGTTACTAGCACCACTCCTATACAGGTCAATGGAAAGGTTGGTAGCTATATTCCACATATTACTGGCACCACTCCTGTAGAGACCATTGGAAAGGTAGGTAGCTATATTCCACATGTTACTGGCACCACTCCTATAGAGACCATTGGAAAGGTAGGTAGCTATATTCCACATGTTACTGGCACCACTCCTATAGAGACCATTGGAAAGGTAGGTAGCTATATTCCACATATTACTGGCACCACTCCTATAGAGATCAATGGAAAGGTAGGTAGCTATATTTCACATTTACTGGCGCCACTCCTATAGAGACCATTGGAAAGGTAGGTAGCTATATTCCACATGTTACTGGCACCACTCCTATAGAGACCATTGGAAAGGTAGGTAGCTATATTCCACATGTTACTAGCACCACTCCTATACAGGTCAATGGAAAGGTAGGTAGCTATATTCCACATATTACTGGCACCACTCCTATAGAGATCAATGGAAAGGTAGGTAGCTATATTACACATATTACTGGCACCACTCCTATAGAGACCATTGGAAAGGTAGGTAGCTATATTCCACATGTTACTGGCACCACTCCTATAGAGACCATTGGAAAGGTAGGTAGCTATATTCCACATGTTACTGGCACCACTCCTATAGAGACCATTGGAAAGGTAGGTAGCTATATTCCACATATTACTCGCACCACTCCTATAGAGACCGTTGGAAAGGTAGGTAGCTATATTCCACATATTACTGGCACCACTCCTATAGAGATCAATGGAAAGGTAGGTAGCTATATTCCACATAATACTGGCACCACTCCTATAGAGATCAATGGAAAGGTAGGTAGCTATATTCCACATGTTACTAGCACCACTCCTAAAATCTCCTAGAATGGTCAATGGGAAGATAGGTCACTATTCCACATGTGATTGGGATCAACATTCAATGTTTTCATTTACATAAATCACATATTTCATAATAATTTGTGCAATGAAGTCCCATTCACTTTCAACCCAACAACATTCATAAATACAATAATGTTTGATGGAAAGGGGAATTTGATTGGTTTAAATATAAGTCATTTAATCAAATATTTGACAAAACAAGTTTCTTTCCTGATAATTTAATAATCTTGTTCAATACACTTAAGTTCTTAAGCAGGGGGGAGTAGCTGATTTTCGCTAGAAAATTCAACAAATCCGGAAAATTAATTTTTCATCTGTATTTGCAGAAATATAAAGATGGTGGGATCACAGACAACCTGCCAATATTCAAAAATGGCCGAACAATTCGTGTGACACCATTTTGTGGTCGTCAGGAAATCAGCCCTCATGACAAAAGGGGGCGTGGTTGGTATCTGACATATTGTAATGAAGAATTCCAAGTGAATGCCAATAACCTTATAAGGGGTTACCACGCCTTCTCTCCACCACAAAAGGATTTGATGTGGATGTATTACTACCAAGGCTATTTTGATGCAACAAGATTTCTTAAAGCTGAAAATTTATATGATGATGTCACTGGACAAGACGATGTACCAAAATCAGAGAATATGCCAGATTCTCACTCAGGTATTGAAAATTGTGTCCACCCACAAGTCAATATGTCTCCAAAATCTATTAGATTGACAAAAAGTGATACGGATATTCATTCACTAGAGGAAAAGGAGGAAAATCAAGATGCAAGAAAGCGCTGTGCATCTTCTAATGGGTCCAATACAAATGCCAGAGAATCTGACAAAGTTCAATTTGAGTCTACTTTATAAGGGATTTATTGTCTCTAACTTGTGATATACTAGTATAATGTTTCATGGAGATTGGCTTGGTTGTAAAAGGTTTATTATTAATTCTGTAAAATTAACTTTGGTAAATAGGCATTTAGCATTTAATTTCACATTTTTGAAACTATCCCAAAATCATAAAAAGTACCAAATATTTATTTAAAAAAAACAAATAAAATGGCATTTAAGCTAGGACCTATAGTGTAATGGGACTTTGTGCTAGTCATTTCAGTCCATTCACATTTTAGTAGACTAGTTTTGGTCAAATGAATATAAATATAAAGGCTGTATTTTTGTATGCCCCTAGTGCAAGTTTTGATCTCACATGTACATTCCGGTCATACAGTGTCGTTATAACAAGGCATGGGAAAACAGTCATACCAACAGACTCAGTCATGTCAGTGCAGTTTATGCAGCCATCACCCAGTTGCTTGTTACATTATACAACAATAGCATTTACCATAACACATTACATTAATGTACCATATGTGTTTACAAGGCTTGATTGTCATTTTCTTTTCTTTGCCTTATAACATTTATAATGGTCTTTCGAGTCTAGCCAAACTTGTAATAAAATAAATCTTATACATGTACTCACTGTCACATGAAATAAACTAAAAATGAAACAAAAAAGTGTTTCTAAACATGACGTCTCGGGATTACATGTTTTACATGACAGTTTTCAATGCATTGTTATGAGCGGAAATGCAATGGATTTATTTTTTAAACCATATCACCTATTTATAAAGTCTAGTATACATACAGTAATGGGGTTCTGACTGATGTAGATCAGGTGTTTGATAAAATTACTGTTTTAGTTTCAAATTGAGGAATTAGTAAATGGCCTTAAATTCATTCAAAAAATGTTTGTCAATGATACATCAGTTACATCACACAGATATTTTTACATTTTGTCAATCTTCATACAGCTGACGTGTATTGTTAAATTGAGGTTCAGAAGTTAGAAAGTTGTTTTAGTTCTGTTTTGTATTGTACACTGTTTTGTATTGTACACTGTTGTGTATTGTACACTGTTGTGATTTATTTGCCATTGTATTGTTTTGGCATCAGAGCATCAATAAAAGATATATATATGTAAAAAATACTTAACATGCTGATTTTTTGTTCCATTTTTGCTTCGCCCTCTTTAAACTAACAAAAAAATGAATGGAACCTTTAATAAGGAACCATGCAGATAGAATGGTAAACACAAAGCTCATTTTATATTAGCTTAAACCACACTTAGGTAGCAACAAAATAGAATGAACTGTGTTTTATTTTTAAGAATTTACAGCTATAAGAAAGGGAAAGCGTGCATTATTTTTCTATCGTTTTTAGCTCACATGGTGAGCTTTTGCAATCACTCACTTGTCCGTCTGTCTGTCTGTCCGTCCGTCCGTCCGTCCGTCAACAATAGTGGCACGTTTTAAAACCTCTGTCGATAGGATTCCTGTTTTAAGTTATTTCTGTTCAACATCAAAACAGAAAACTCCCCTATGACTCCTGGTTCAAAAGCTCGCCTATTTTCAAAATGGCCACCACTTTTGTCTCGCGAAATTCACTTTTGACCCATTTCCTAGCTTTACAAATAATTTCAGGTGTCCTACATTGTAAAAATTCATGTCTATGTAAAGGGTATATATATGAAATAATTTTGTTACAAAAAATCAGCGAAAAATTATATCCATTTTTTTATTTTCAGCCATTTTAGTTAACATTGATTTGTCTATCTGACTCGCGAAATCCACTTTCCGTCAATAACAGTGGCACATTTTAAACCTCTGTCGATAGGATTCCTGTTTTAAGTTATTTCTGTTCAACATGAATACAGAAAACTCCCCTCCTGGTTCAAAATCTCGCCTATTTTCAAAATGGTCGCCATTTTTGTCTCGCGAAATTCACTTTTGACCCATTTCCTAGCTTTACAAATAATTTCAACATCAATACAAAAAACTCTCCTATGACTCTTGGTTCAAAAGCTCGCCTATTTTCAAAATGGTCGCCATTTTTGTTTCGCGAAATTCACTTTTTGCCCATTTCCTAGCTTTACAAATAATTCCTGCATTGTAAAAACTGCCATGTCACTAAGAGTAGTTGTATGAAATAATTTTGTTACAAAAATTCGGCAAAATATTATATCCGTTTTTTTATTTTCAGCCATTTTAGTTAACATTGATTTGTCCATCTGTCTCGCGAAATCCTCTTTTGGACCATTTGCTTAAAACCTCTGTCGATAGGTTTCCAGTTTCAAGTTATTTTTGTTCAACATCAATACAAAAAACTCCCCTATGACTCCTGGTTCAAAAGCTTTCCTGATTTCAAAATGGTTGCCATTTTTGTTTTGCGAAATTCAATTTTGGCCCATTTCCTAGCTTTACAAATAATTTCAGGTGTCTTGCATTGAAAAAAGCCATGTCACTGTAAAGGGTAGGTGTATGAAATAATTTTGTTACAAATAATTGGCAAAAAATTATATCTGTTTTTTTTCAGCCATTTTACTTAACATCGATTTGTCCATCTGTCTCTCAGTCAGTCCAAAATAGTGGCAAGTGGCTTAAATAATTTTGTTACAAAAAATCAGCAAAATATTATATCCGTTTTTTTTTATTTTCTGTCACCATGTGAGCCCAGTACCCACAGTACTAATTTTTTAAAGAGTGTACACTTGGCATTAGCTATCCAAATCCAGTGTGCACTAAAGCTGAACTAATTATACCCTATTCACTCTTTCAATAGCCTAGTTGAATAGTAAACGCAAAAGAAACAAACTTAATTAAACTATACATGCCCTGTCAAAGGCTTTGTATAAAAAACCTCCTACCTCATACCCACCTACTTGGGACATGATACAGTCATTGAAGGGTACAATTTTAAAGATTTTAAAATCTCAAAATAGCTCTAATTATTTACATTTCTACAATTCCGGCTTTATTTTATGACTAGACGGATGACAGACAGTGTATGCCCTAAGGATTCCAGAGCTGCTGGTCAAAAAGGCATTACTGACCAGTTGCAATGTTATTTTCCTATACCTAGTGAAAAAATCAACTGGTCAATATCAAAAGTAACCAGATAATGACCAGCTGTCCGACGCTTAAGGCGTGCCCTGATGACAGATCCATAAATAAAGGCATATGGGTGCATTGTAATGTGTAATGACCCGAGGGGGCCCCAGGGGAATAACTATAACTAACGACCACAAGCATAGGTCCTACAAGCCAGATAAAGAATTTGAAAGAAAGTGTGCTAAATTGGATGCTCCGAGTGGGAATGGAACCAAGCTGGGATGTAGTAGCAACTTGATCAATGGTCGTTACAAATGCATATAATTCATCATAAACTAAGATTTACAAACTTAGATCTTTAAAATTGAACCCTTCAAAGACTGTATCATGTTCAACAAAACAAAATTATAACATTGTAGCCTGATTTTTCATTCATGATTGAATAGAGCCAGGCTTTAAATAGACCACACGTCACGTGCACTGGACCCCGGATTGAATATAGTGAATCCAAAAATTAATGGTGGAGTGATACCTGTGCACTGATACTGCAGCGCCATCACGTGGAAGCGTGAAAGCCGCCATATTGGATCTTGCAAGCACTCCCAAATACTTTGTGCGTTTATATTACAAATTTCCTATCGTTTAAAGGTAAGCGCTTCTAGTTAAATGTAGACTTTTGTTAAAATAGGCATTGGGGATCTCAAGAGCACTTTATTGTTAATACAGTTTATCACTTTTTTACAAAATTTGCAAATGAACTTCTGTTTGCTTTGTTTTTCAGATTTTTCCGATTCTTTTGGGTAGCTTAGTTTTGGCTTGTCTTTAGCTTAGTCTAGCCTAGTCTGAATCATCTTTTCGTTGTGAACATCAATTAAATATCTACATAAGTAGTCAAAGGAGTAGTGCGATAATTTATGGCACATAGGCCCCAGGACATTTATAAATAAATAGAGTCAAATCTACTTATTTATACATGTATTAGGTGGGTATCCAAAACCATGGACAGGGGCATAGATCCCGGCCAGATTATTTTGTAGTAGAATCAGTAGCTCAATAAATATTTCTGTATTATTCTTTGAGCCTATGATCCTACTACAAAACGATCTGGCCAATATCTGTGGACAGGGGTGACGTTCTATCGAAACTCAGATATCTAGATCGAGACTAAGACATTATTTAAATGTCTGAGTTTTGATAGAACGTCACCCCCGTCCGTGTACAAAACCAGAAATTCTGAAGATGCCAACCAATCTCCAAGCTTTCATTCAGTGCAATCCGTACCTACTTCACTTACCTCATGTAGTTCTTAAAATTCCCGTGAAATTTACCATTCTAGAAATGTTGATCTACTTCAAAAAAAAAAAATTTTTGCGTTTGCTCCTGATTTTTAGAGGTGTCACAGTTTCCCGACGTATTGGACTGTCAATTTCGGTCCAGATGCTTCAGTACATAAATTACTTCCCTAGAATGCTTAAAAACGTGTATAAATAGCGAGGAACACCTCCGATTTCATTCTGAAAAATTAAATATTTTCACTTGTTATTTTCACCGTTGTTATGCAGTTCGTTTTGAAGTGACATCACCCCCATATTCGTAATATTCAATGTCTAATAAACGAATACCACATGTCGATGTGATGTTTTAAGGTCAGGGTGCATGTTGGGAAATTTTCTGCATTCCTCAATTGAGTCACATGTTATTTTTCAAACAAGAATCACTCCTTCCCTTCATTGTCTATATCTTCCAGTTTTGCACAAAGAGTGCACTTATGTGCCTAGAAAAGACTTGCGAGAAGAATGTTTTGATAAAGTGTATAAAAAACAAGAAAATTCAGTGAAAAAAATCAGAAAATTTTCAGAAATTTTTTTCACTGAATTTTCTCATTTTTTATACATTTTACAAAACAAACCTTCTCACAAGGCTTTTCTAGACACAGAAGTGCACTCTTAGTGCAAACTTGGAAGATGTAGACAATGTGGGGAAGGAGTTATTCATGTTTGAAAAATAACATGTGACTCAATTGAGGAATGCAGAAAATTTCCCAACATGCACCCTGTCCTTAATCAATAAAATCTTTTTCTTAGATAACAAAGTATGATATTGGTTAACTCGCCAGAAATTAATATAATATTATTTGAAGCGTTTTTACAAAATTTTGAAAACGTGTAGTAATGTTGAACCCAGTGATTACTGATTGTCAATCTTGACATTTTACAATTTGTTACTCCGCGGAGATTTTACCTAAAAACACATCAAATACAACATTGATTACCTATTTGGACGGTTAAATCATTTATAATTTATGTTTTATCAAAGTTTTGGCGTTGTTGATTAAGTATTACAGATCGAGCTAATTTCTGAATCTTTGTCAGATCGTGCACCGGGTATTTCAGAACTATTTTAACAACGTCAGAGAGGTAGTGAAGGTATGCAACGAACGAAATGAATTTTGAGAATGGATGCCAACTTTTGATGGTTAATTGTGCAAAGATTATCGTCTTTCCTTAAGTTTTGTGTGATTTTAAAGTAAGATAAAATACTAAATAGTAACTTACGGGATGAATCATCACAGATATGCAAACTTGCTAAGACTTTCAAATGTTGAACACATTTCTTCAAATTTTGGATACCTTGGTCCAAATCTGAACACCTTGGCCCACACTTTGAGGTCCTTGGTTCAAATTTTATTGCATATAACCAAATTTTGGACACCTCAAAATTTTCGTGCTTGCGGTGACGCGGTCTGTCAAGGGCAGCCCTGTCAACCCCTCACGCATTAGGCGTGATTGTCACGCATTTGCTGGAAAAATAGAAAATACGCATCAATGTAGCGTGTATGATCAAATATCAGGCAAATCACGCATTTTGTTGATATTTTTAAAAATTGTATTTTATGCCGATACGGTAAAATACCCAACAGCGAAAAAAAGCGTATTTCGTTCGGTCTTTACACGCGATTGCCGTTTATGTCACACATTTGGTCCAAAAGAAATGTATTTATCACACATTTGTTTAGAAAATATTTACACCATGGTCATTTGCAATATATTGGGCACATTTTCTAAAAAATTCAAAAAAGATTCTGTCCAGTGACCTTTCCGAAGGTCAAACTTTTAGTTATTTTTCAGTCACATTTTCAGCTGGCTGAAAAGGTTATTTCATCATCTTTTGGGTCATTCTGACCATGTACATTGTGATCCTGGCCATGTAAATGATATGTGGAACTAGTTAAACTGACTGGAGGTCAAAACAGAACTCTGTTATCTTGGTTCAAAAAATGTTCAAAAAATGCATGTTTTGTCACTTCCTGTTTCGGCATTGGTACTATTAGACTTTAAGCATTGAAACAACAATCAGTTGTAACAATCAGTAGTAAGTAGTATCATTGCAAAGTGGTGATTAATCAAGATATGTGAGAGCAAGCTTATGGGCCTGACTAGATGTTGCTAGAGCAGCTAATGGGACTTTTTAGGCACCCCTTCTAGCTAGTCTATCAATTCACTAAAAAGTCAGCTAAGACACCATGAAAAATTAGATCAGAAGTTTTGCAGAAGATAATCTTTTGAACTCTTGCACTACTTTCAAACTAATTCATTAGATGAAATAATAATGTTTATTATGCTATAAAACAATGCAATTGTTTGAGAATATATAAAGTTATCTTTTTACTCATTATCATGTGTATTTCCAGTTATATAAAATGAATGGTGATACTGAGAATGGCGGCGGAGGAGGGGGTGGGGGCTATCAACGGAGCAGCGAGGGGGGAGAACCAGGGAAGATCTTTGTAGCAGGACTACCACAGGACATTGATGAAAAAACATTAGAAACTGCTTTTGGCAAATATGGAAGAATAGCAGAAGGTATTTATCAGATAAAGAAGGTCAACTAAATTAAATTTAATTCTTACATTAAGTTGGAGGAAGGAACAGTACTCTACTTGTCATCTTCCGATAACAGTATTTCAAATGACATATCTATAAGACATGCATTTCTGTACTTAATGAGAAATCCACTTGACAAGCCATATTCATTCATGTGAAGTTGGCTTCACCTATATTCAAAATGTTCATGGAAAGACGTTTGAAAAGTTGAATCCGACACAAATATTGAATTGAGAGCTTATTGCAGTATAATATATCATATTTATTGTAATGAGTGCACACCCCTTCCCTATTCTTCATGTATGTTGCATTCTAGTCAGTGGAAATATCGAAAATTATTTAAAATTACATTGTACTTTGATATCAAACTGATCATACAAAGACCACACTATCATAAGCCTAGATCGTGGGTATTTTAAATTGTGTATTATTTATGTATAACAAATGTAATATACTAGTTACAATCATGGCTATTGAAAATAATATTGTGGTACAGTTTTTTTTTTGTTATTTTAATTAGTGTTGGTGATGAAACACAAGGACTCTCAGGTTCCAAAGGGGTTTGCATTTGTTACATTTGAGAACCCAGATGATGCAGAGGATGCCATTAAAGGCATGGATACCAAGGTATGTAAGATCAAGATAAGTTAAGATAAGTTTATTGTTCTTTATAGTGGTAGGTTACACAAATCAACCCAGCCCACCTGGGCTTATCAACCACTTAACAAGTTTAAACATTTTAAATTATACAATTAGTGAAATAAATATCAATCTGTGTCATACATATGGTTACGTCTTTTGACAAAGCACTCCCTTACAAAATGAGCAAATTGTCTTGTCATTTTCTCAAACGGGTACTTTAACTTTTCTACATTTGTGTCAATACATTTAAAATTGTTATCAATAAAATACCTCTGTCTAATTTCATTATAAAAATGGCAATGAAACACAAAATGTATCTCATCTTCCACACAATTTTGTTCCCATAAACAGCATAATCTTTCTTCTAGTTTTTCATTCTTAAAATGACCCGTTTCTATTCTTAATGGTAAAATACCCATACGCAATTGTGCTAAAAATGACCGTTCATATTTACTTAAATTCAATGTCAAATACTTTTCAGTTTTATAATTATTTTTAAAAGTTGCATAAGTCCTTAACTTTGGTTTTGAACTAACCATATCTGGCCATCTATTTTTTTATAATCATCCATACGATTTTTTAGTACAATTTTTGTATCACAATATGTCATATCATTGAAATGTTCAGTAAGATTACATTTCTCTAAAATGCTTTTTACAGTTTGAGACCATTTACTCTTACATTTAATGTCCCATAAAAATATTTTCTTTGTCAGTCTCCCATCTTCCAGCCATAATAGGCGGTTAAATAATCGAACTAATTCAATTTGCTGTTCTAAAATTAAAGGTGTCCACCCAAAATCTCCATGCAAAGCATGTAAAGGCACAAATTTGTGTACTCCTGCATAATACCTTTGTGCTCTATCATAAATTAAATAAATTACAATATTTTAAATAATCATGTGCTCCCCATACTCCGACTCCATAATGTAGCACTGGCAATACACAAGCTTTAAATAATTTTGTAAAAGTATTAAATCCTATGTCTATTAAACTTGCATTTATTAATTAGAGCACCTAGAGCTCTACCTGCTGAGTCAGATAGCATTTTTACAGCTTCTTCAAACTTACAATTTTCATTAAATATAACACCAAGGTATCTGTATTGATCAATTATATTAACACTTACATCACCTAGCTTAAAATTAAAATTAATATGTATTGCAGTTGGGATATTAACAATTCTAAATAAGGAGTCTTCCCAAACCATGCAAAATTCCACAGACATCCATGAAAACATATCCGAAATGGCTTATTTTAAGGGAAAGTTATGTAAATACTCAAAGGAGAAGAGACCATGTATCTGTATTCCCTTGTATCTGTATTCCCTATCACCAATATGGGGATCTTCTAAGAGTGACATTTAATTGTATTGTACATGTTTTACAGTACTTTGGAAAATGGTTCTTGTTTTAGGAATTGAATGGTCGTAACATTCACTGTGAGAAGGCAGTGCCAAAACAAGACAGACCTCGTACATTTGTGGACAGAGGGGGCTTTAGAGGTGGATTCAGGTAAGAATGATTCTTTCTAGAAACAATGAATTATTATCCCATCGACCAAAGTTCGGAGGGATATAGGGAACGCCTCTGTCCGTCCGTACGTATGTCCGTCCGGGCAATAACTCAAATACCGTTGGCCCGATTTTGTTCATATTTTGTACACATATACCCTATGGGGGAGGAAGTTCTGTTGGAAAGCCGATTTTCAAAATGGCCGCTCATTTAAAAATGGCGGGAGTGCCTCCGTCCGTACGTCTGTACGCACATACATCCGTCCGGGCAATAACTCAAATACCATTGGCCCGATTTTGTTCATATTTTGTACACTTATACCCTATGGGGGAAGAAGTTCTGCTTGAAAGCCGATTTTCAAAATGGCCGCTCATTTAAAAATGGCAGCCATTTTAGTGCAGATTTTACAGTAATTTAGGTGCAATATGTAAAATTGTAATAGCAATATATTTTAAATGTAAAAAAATTATACAGGACATTAATAAAGCTAGAAATGTAGATATTAAAGAACTACATGGCAGCCATCTTGAAAAATGGCAGCCTTTACTCGTTATTTTACTATTTTTGCTGTAACTCGAAAAGTAGTGGAGCGATTTTGTACATATTTGGTATGTGACTACTATAAGCATGGCGCGCTGTCTAATGACACTTTCGGTAGAAGGCGGCCATTTTGAAAAATGACCGCCTTTTTTGCTATACACTTTGTTTGTAAAAATATGCCAGCCATGGCTGTTCGATGGGATTTGCTACACTTTGGCGATGCTGCTGTCTAGTTGTGAATAAAAACTATTGTGTATGAATATTGTCAAATAAAAGGCTAATAATCAACTCCCAAGAATAATCAATGGTTAAGAGCATTTGTTCAATATAAAGGTGTAGAATCAAATAATAAAATTGAAGAGAAACAAAGTCTGAACAAACCAAAATAGCATTTTTTAATTTTTGACATTCTTTCAATTCTTGTATTTGTTGCTGTATCATAAAACTCTGTTAATTGTAAAATGAATGTTGAGATTGATAAATTGAATGTATTTATTCATTCACCAGGGGGCGTGGTGGTAGAGGAGGAGGATTCAGGGGACGTGGCAGTCGAGGAGGATACAACAGTTATGGTAAGATGTCACAGCTATATGGGCTCTTGTGTGAAGTTATTCTCTTTTCCTTTTCTGGTCTGAGAAAAAGATGATTAAAGGGGTGCAAGGACAAAGTTACAACACTATCAATAGTATATACTAATCCTCTAAATTCAGGGCTCTCGCTAGGCTTTTAGACAACGGCACAATGTCATGGTCTATTTAGCTTCCACCACAACTGACTATATCAAATCATGATTGTTTCCACAGTCTAAACTTGACTTAATACATAATTTCATGAATATAGGATAAAATATAACATAAACACGATTTATCATGACTGAATGGTTATGCTGAAAATGCATCAACCACTTCACCCTAAACATTTCCTGGTGAGAGCCCTGAAATTGCATTAAATTCAGGCAAGTGGCCTTAGAATTGCAGTGAATCCTGAATATGAAGAAATCGCTCTAAAAGTCAACGGGAGTGCAGTGCTTCGGTATGCATGTATGCATGCCTATCTGAATTTAAAAGCAGTTTTAAGTAGTATTAATAGTATTAATAATTAATCAAGTATATGCTGAAGCTGTATCTAAATTAACACATAATGAAAAACTCATGGCCATTTCACTTGAAAAAGAACTGCAATTATCAATAGACAAATGATACTGGGATTTTTAGAAGGTTCTACAAGACAGTTTGCATTTTTCATATTGATCAGAATAACAGTTACTGATTTTGGGAAATCACTTTCAGCCTCCATTGACCATCCTATATCTTGTAATTCACTCAAATCATCGCAATAAATGGATGCTTTGGAAGAATGCATAGTTCTTCAGGTGGTTTTCTAAGGCCACTCTTTTACCAATTTTGTTTTTATTTAATTATGTAAGTGGCATTAGCATCTATATCTCATCATTCTGTTAGATGCTGAAGATAGTGTTAGGGTTGTTTATGCACTAACCTTTGGGGAAATGATTGTATGATGAATGGAATACTATGATATTATAGCTGCAATGTACAAGTGCAGACATTTCAATGCAATCACTTCACATATGATAACTTTGGGGTTATATAGATGGTCAATGGGGGTTCATGGAATATTAAAAGTAAGATCTGGTAATATTATTTAGGGGACAGGGAAGGGAGGGGCCCTCCCCCCTATGGATCCAGGAGCTACTACGATGACCCCCCTTATGGAGGTAGCGTACTGTGTTCTGTAGTAATACTTTGTAATATATAACTTACTTTAGGTAAGAGCTCTTATTTCAGTTATTTCAGTTTATATTTCATGTCTAGTCTTAAATGTTTCCTACACATGATTTCTTCAATTGAAATTGATATACCAGATAATATCAAACTTGTATTGGATCAGGTAGACAAAGTATTTATAATTCATTTATTTTATGAGAGGGTACATCTCTAAAATGATTTCACTTAGATATTTGAATGCGTTAATATTGAAACAGTGAAATTTGCCAAATTCCTGCTTAAAGAGTTCTAACCTCTGTTGTTGTAGCTATGTAGATGATGTATTAGTAACAATATGAATGCACTGATTGTAATTATTAGTCATTGTTCATGTGTGATATTGTAAGGTGCTTAAATTATGCATTTTATATTTCACCCCTCCCTCTTACGATGTCAATAGTGAAACCTGTGGAATACCTCTTAGAAGTGGAACATCTCTGTTAGTGGAACACTCACACGACCAATTTATGTTAATGAACTTAAGGAAATCACCTCCCAAGTAGAACACTTTTACCAAAGTACCAAAGGGGTTCCACTGAGACAGATTTTACTGTACATTGCTTGTAATCATTGATCATTGCACATGTGTGATGTTGTAAGATGCTTAAATTTCCTATTTTATATTTTGACTAAATTAGACTAAATTAGCTTTGACCCCCATACAGTAGCTTCAGAATTTTGAATTTTTATTGTGGAATTGACAAATATCTAGAATAGGGTCAGAAAATTATAAGTTATTAGTCTTACCTTGAAAATTTTATTTAATTGCAATTACCGTATTCTCTGTAATTAGCGCCCAGGGCATTTAGAAAATTGAAAATACATTATTTAGACCATTCTAATAAGCGCCCATGTATGAAAGAAATCAGAAATCCTGAGGAATTTCATGTATGGCAATTTTTCTTGACAAGAATGCATTTTCTTCAACATATTTTTATAATAATATGACAAGTGCTGTTATTGGAGAGAATACGGTAAAGATCGCTTAGACAATATTGACAGTGGTTGAAGACCCGTCTATGTCTAATTTATTTCCGGCACGCCCACTTTGTCATTATCGCCGATTACCTTCAATATTTCCACTAGAGACTGCTGGATATCGATCTAAAGTTATACATTATTTCTAATTTGATGAGAGATCATCATTATTCGTGCAAAAATCGTGTAAAAGTCGAGAAACATTAAAAAGAAACCAGAAAGTTCACGACCTTGACATGCGCAGAACATCTGCGCAGTAGCTTTTGAAATTTCTGAATGCCGATAAAGAACAATTCCTTCATTCATTATGGATTATTATGATTCCTTGATGTTTCTTGAACTTTGTGAAGCGGGGTGGGCGCTTATTAGAGAGTGGGCGGTAATTACAGAGAATACGGTAATTATTTGAATGAGGTTCATTTTTTCCATTCATACGTGTCATTTTATGTTTTTTTGCATATCTTTTGCAAAAGTATCTGGACAATTTTGTTGATATTTTACACATATATGTAAGTCCTACTACAGTGTACTTGAAATTGGGTTTTGTGTGATAAACTGACCGCTTTCATCTCATCTTGAAAATGGTAAGCCTATGCAAACTATGGAATAACCCAGTACATTTCCACTGTCTGTCCATCCATCTGTTTGTTCTTGTCAATACAAGAATTAGCATACATTTTCAGCATGAAAAAGGTGGTTATCCTATTGTTTAAACTGGTAAATACTATACTATTCTGTGATGCTTTATTTTTTATTACTGTAGAGATATGCATGAATGGTGCTTTAAAGTGAGACTAGTAGTTCAACCAAACTTGAACCATTCATTTTTCACAAAAATCCCAAATGCATTTGCACACAAATTAAAAATGCATTTTCGCAAAAATTACAAATGCATTTCAACAAAAATTATAATTGCATTTTTCACCAGAATTACAAATGTTACCAAGGCACTTTCAACTATCTCTATAATAATTCTCATGATAAGGCCTCTTTATTATGTGGCTCTTCGGCATTTGTTGGCAACAATGGCTTTACCCATAGAGAAATAACAATCAGTGCAATGGGACAACTTTCCAAACATTTGTACAAAACTGTTTTGTTTTCAAAAGTGCCTTAGAATTGAAAACACAATGCAACTCTAATTCAAATTTTTTCTATGAACTACCAAGTGGAATTTATGTGTAAAATTATAATTTCAAGGGCAGCAACAAACTAGGCCTTGCTTTTCGAGAATTGATGTGTTGCTATGTATGGTCTTGGGTCAGCTTTGCTCAAAATTGACTTCATCTACTATTAAATCCTGCATCAAATCAAATCATTACACTGATATTTGATTCATTGCACCCATGATGTTCTTGTATTGCATGTAGCTCTGTGTAGTACAGTAAGTGATGTTAACTGTATTGTGTTATTTTACCAGGAGGTGGGGACAGAGGATATAGTGATAGAGGACCGTCCTGGAGAAGTGATCGTGATGGTAGGCTGCCTCACTTACCTTTATTTATAAAGATGTAGTTCTATATGCCGTATAGTAACGTTAAATGGCTGAATTATGTTATATAAATAAGGCCCGGCGTTAATATGTTTTGCCTTGCTATCTGTCAACTAAACCTAATTTAATTAAGCCTATTCTTTAACTAACCATAGAATCATAGTTTACATAAACAACATATCTTTGCAAGATGCCACTCCTAGCTGAGGTGTCTCAGACTTGTATTTGCTATAACTTGGTTCCATTATGTTGTGCTTGCAGGTAGAGACTCTTATGGTGGGGGAAGGGACTCTTACAGAGATGACAGACCCAGTTACAGAGATGACTACCCACCAAGAGACAGTTACTCATCTAGACCTGATAGGTACATCACAAAATATTCCCATCTAATAATACCATCGAACGAAGTCCATTTTGAAAAATGGCTGTCATTTTTGCTACATACTTTGTTTGTAAAAATGCCAGCCATTGCTGTTCGATGCGATTTGCTATGCTTTGGCGTTGCTGTTGTTTAGTGAACACCATTCAACACCTCTTTCCGTCCATCGAACCAATAACTCAAATACCATTGTTAGTCTGATTTTCATATTTTGCACACATGCCCTATGGGGGTAAAGTTCTGCTCAAAAGCCTCGACAAAATCTTGTCTTGTTTCAAAATAGTGGCCATTTTACAGTAATTTAGGTACAATATATCTAACACTGTAATAGCAATTTGTTTTGAATGTAAAAAAGTTATATAGGACATTGATAAAGCTAGAAATGTAGATATTTAATGAACAGATGGCAACCATCTTAAAAAAGGCAGCCTTTACGATTTTTGCCATTTATTCATATTTGATATGTTTATAAACAATGCTCTGTGGCTCACTGTCTTATTTTTGGCTGCAAGGCAGTCATTTTGAAAATGGCACCATTTACATGTAAGTGAGCGATCTGGTTGAAATTTTATATGTGCCTACTTGGAAGGATATTACTCTTTCTTGTGACAATTTGGCCATTGAGTGACCATTTTGAAAATCGTGGCTATTTTTATGTGTGTTATTTTACGATTTTTGAAATCTGAAAAAGTAGTAGAAGGATTTTGTAAATAATTGGCTGCCATGGCTGTTTGATGGGATATGCTACGCTTTGTCATTGCTAGTTAAAATCTGCTATTGCATATAATGATGAGATTTGAACTCTCTCACTGACAGTAATGATGTCAACTTTTCCTCTGAATATGCATTTAGCTCTGTATGCAGTGTTAGGAATTATATATGAAATGCAAGCAAATTGACCTGGCTGTTTAAAATAATAACGAAACAAAAAAATTTTCAGATGAATTGATTGAAATTGCAAAACAGGTGAAAGCAGCATACTGTGATCAGTTGTAATATAATATTAGAAATTATTGAAGTTTCAATTGAAAAAATTTTCTGTCAGTTTTTCATTTCACTGTTTTATTCACTGACATTTGTCTTTCAAATCAAAATGCACGTGAGCAGCAATTCTGAGGATTGTTCTCTCAGGCCTTGAAACAATTGATTAAAAGATCAGATGTTATGAGAAAAACAGTTGCTTAATATATTTTTTATTACTATTTTTGCAGGGATTATGGTCAACGCAGTCGAGAGGACTATGGTCCTCCTCCCAGCAGAAGCTACTCAGAGAGGGATAGAGGCAGGGATTATGGCCCACCTAGATCAAGGTAAAATATGTTTAGAATATTATTGTATTGTATTGTGGAGTATAGCATAGCATAGTAAAGAATTATTGCACTGTCATGATTCTTCTCTTTTAGACTGTTGCGCAGCACTGCACTCTATTTAGCTCCCTCCACACCCTATTGGCAAATCATGACTGTTTCCACAGTCTAAACTTGACTGAATATACAATAATAGCATTTAAAAAGGATAAAACATAACATAAATATGATTTATCATGATTGAACGGTTATTCTGAAGATGTTAGCACCACACCCTAAATATTTCCTGGTGAGAGCCCTGATACATCATGTGACATCCTGTGATATTTCCATGTGATCTTTCTTCCGTAGATATATTGAGTCTTGTTTTGAAGATTGATTATTTCCTGAACTCTATCAAACAATCATTGTTGGGATATAGATATAGTCACCCCATTCCAGGAAAATTCAAAGATTTTAATAATTTCAAGTTCAGCAAAAGTGGTGGCATATTGTTATGGTCTCCAACTTTTTTGTGACGGTGTCTGGCTGTTGGTGTCCTGTGGTCGCATTTGTAACAAATTCTTACAACTTCCAATAACTTATATACTGTTTTGACTGACTACAATTTTTTTCAAAATCATCTTCAAGTTCTCAGAAGTTAAAATCTGACTTCAGATATGAGATTTGACCTTCTCAAGGTCAAAAGGATCATTGACCAAATTTGTTTTCTTAAAATCATCTGGAAGTTCTCCGAAGTTCAAATCTGACTTTAGATTTGAGATTTGACCTTCAAAGAAGGTCTTTTTTAACTTGCTTCAAATTGACCAAATGTTTTTTATAAAATCATCTACAAGTTCTCAGAAGTTCAAATCTGATTTAAGATTTGAATTCATAATACATATTGTGAGCATCTAGAAGGTGACATTTTGTCATGTTAATGCCTTGTTTATAAACGTAGATAACTACATGAAGATATCACCAAGTGGATATTGTATACTTGGTTGATTAATTGAAAACAGAACTTTGTTTACTTGAAGTATTTTTTTTTGGTGTTGTAGTCGTGATGGACCAAGTGACTACCCTCCCACAAGGAGCTACCCCTCCAGTAGAGAATATGACTCCAGAGACTACATGAGCTCTAGCTCAAGGGACTACATCCCCTCAAGGGAGTATCCACCAAGGTACGGCACGTTTTTGATACAGCTTCATCAGAATCTTACAAAAAGTTTTTTGACTTAAACCAGGCATATGATGATGAGATTTGAACTCTCTCACTGACTTTTATGAAGTCAACTGTTCCACTGAATATGCATGGAATTTTTATTTTTATCATAAAATCATATCTTGTATCATACTGGGTGGAACTCGAATCAAATTATGTTAAATGACATCACAGTTGACAAAAACACTGATAAGAAATAGTTGGAAAGCATTGATTTCCAACTTCAACCTGATCTAAACAAGTATTTACTTGCTTCAGAACCCCAATGCTAGCTTGACATTCTCTTTGCACAAAATGCCATCCGTCATCCAAGAAAATGGAATAGAAAATGATCAAAACCTTATCTGTTAAGGAAAACAACAAAAATCAGTTAAATTCGAAGTCAGCTACATCCAGTGATCAAGTATTCAATCCAGTGATAAAGTATTCAATCTAGTGATCAAATATTCCATCCAGTGATCAAGTATTCCATCCAGTGATCAAATATTCCATCCAGTGATCAAATATTCCATCCAGTGATCAAGTATTCCATCCAGTGATCAAATATTCCATCCAGTGATCAAGTATTCCATCCAGTGGTCAAGTATTCCATCCAGTGATCAAGTATTCCATCCAGTGATCAAGTATTCCATCCAGTGATCAAGTATTCCATCCAGTGATCAAGTATTCCATCCAGTGATCAAGTATTCCATCCAGTGATCAAATATTCCATCCAGTGGTCAAGTATTCCATCCAGTGATCAAATATTCCATCCAGTGATCAAATATTCCATCCAGTGATCAAGTATTCCATCCAGTGATCAAATATTCCATCCAGTGATCAAATATTCCATCCAGTGATCAAGTATTCCATCCAGTGATCAAATATTCCATCCAGTGATCAAGTATTCCATCCAGTGGTCAAGTATTCCATCCAGTGATCAAGTATTCCATCCAGTGATCAAGTATTCCATCCAGTGATCAAGTATTCCATCCAGTGATCAAATATTCATAATGATCACAAAATTGCAGAATGAGTAAAGCTTGAAGTGAACTAATATGAGCTTAAAATATTCATTCATATTATAGTCGGGACTCTTATGGAGCACCCCCTAGAGACAGTTACAGCAGTCCCCCCAGGAGAGACTATGGTCCTCCCCCCAGCAGTCACTATGATTCACGAGACTCTTATGACCGTGGACCCCCAAGGGACAGCTACAGCTCCAGAGACAGGGACTTAGGTAAGAGAGTTATTCCTTTGTGCACCTCCAAATGGCTAACACAAAAGTCTTAAGTAATACTTGTTCAGTTTGGTTGATACTTGTGTCATTTTAATTAGACCAAGATGTTGTATTGTGTTGGGTACCCTACGTGAGAAGTTATAAAAATGAGGAAATCCTGAATTTGGAAAAATGAGCAAGTATTCACTTTTCACATAAGTAAAGGTTTGGCCCTGACCTAGCTATTTTACAAATAAGAAAAGATATTTCGTTATCAACGGATATAGATTGATGGCTAAAAACAGACAAAAATGTTATAGAATACATTTTCGGCAAGAGTTGGCATATTATAAAATGTTGCATTATGAACAGATATCAATGAAAGAATAAGAGAAAAAGAAATTGGAAGAATTTAGAAATACTTGGAGTAATATTGGAGAGTGTTAATTAATGACTGCATGCAGAATTCAACAATCACACATGGTAGTCAGCCATGCTTTTCTTTTTGCTCATAGTATTTTGTTTGAATAATTAAAATTAAGATGAAATACATCTTTGAGATTAATATGATATATTTCAACTCCTAAGTATCAACAGTGTCTGTTGAAGAGAGGCAACTATAGTAATGACCAATGATAGAATATTAATATGCATAATGCAGACATTAGATTCCAGTCTTTTATATGATGCAGATTAGAGCCAAGGAAATATTCTACCAGGATGTATCCCAGTACATGAGTGTATTCATTCTTTACTAATAAATGCATGGTAGCAAATTTGTTTTAGCAAAATTGTGGAGTTCAAAGTAAAAATCAACAGCGGAAAACATGATTCACAAAGAAACAAGTAGAATGCACATGAGAAAAGTGAGCTCGTAAGTAGAGGTGTATTGTATGTTGCAAACTTGAATATTATAGGGCCATCGCGTTTCTCACCAAGACCAAGTGGAGGCCCCTCTTATGGGGGATCTTCCTACAGATCAGAGCGTACAAGTAGACCTACCAGAGAGGCTAGCCCAGGTGGCCCTCCACCCTACAAGAGATCAAGAGGTCCGGAAGATTACCCCCCTTCAAGCAGGGGCAGCTATAGAGGGCGCTCATAAAGAGACTCCTAATGAAGGCAATCAAGCAAATCTCTTGAAGTTTGAATAATTAATATGCAGAAGTATGTGAAAGGAACAGAATCTTAAACCATATGGAACTCTGGATACTTTTTATATATCACTTGTTTTTAACTAAGGAGAGAAAGGACAATGATGAATGCACATGCACTAAGGAACTGAGTGACTCTGACAGAGCTAGAATTCATAAGAACCACAGAGTAATACAAAAACGTTGTCTGATGATAACCATAGACAGAATATGATTGTGTCGTAGATGTTGTGCTTGGACAAAATCAACATGCTAATAAGTGTAGTAATGATAGATCTAATGTGTATCTAGGAACAATGAATCATCATCTTTTCACTTATATTTTAGAGTCTAAATATCTAATGCACCATTGTGGATGTACTTATAAAACAAGGAGTTGAAGGAAGTGAATTATGATGGATTGTGTCAGATTTTATCATGTTTTATTTTCTCAATGACAACATGCTGTTGCAATATTGTAGAATTGAACAAGTAGATGTTCTGAATATAAGAGAACTATTTTAATAAATATTGTATTACATACTGAACATATAATCAAAGTGTGAAGATGTTTATTTGGTGAAACAATTCAAGCAAAGTCAATCAAAGTTCAAACAAACACAATCAAAGTTCAAACAAAGTCAATCAAAGTTCAAACAAACACAATCAAAGTTCAAACAAAGTCAATCAAAGTTCAAACAAACACAATCAAAGTTCAAACAAAGTTGGTCAACTCGGGGGAAGATTCTGAAAAATCAAAATGAGATAGAAATGAAAGAAACTCATGTTTCAGTCACACAAAAACAATGTCATACTTTTGAAGGCCAGTTTGAACTCATACTTGAATTTTGAAAAAAAAGCGATACTAACCTTTAAGAAGAGCCAAAAGGAAGGCCATGCTAATGTGTAAAATGCAGTTGCATGAATTACAGTTGTACTTACACGTGTTCCAAACAAAACAGGAAAGCTCATGTAATTGCTGACATAATTCATTATGTGATGTATTCTCATTACAAAATTCAATGATTATAACAGAACTTGTTGCTTGGAAAATGTATCAACGTTAATATATCAATGCTGACTTTTTCAAAAAGTAGAATGATTTTGATGATATAGCATTTGAGCACATTGGTAAGTAAAACTATGTCGAAGAATTCCATGCTACCATCCCAGAGTGGCCAGGATCAGAGCATAAATTGAGACACTTGAGCAAATGAAGAGTTGAAGCAGAGCCACAGCCTGAAGCAATCATATCACTGAAATTAAGAAGAGAAAAAGTTAAAAGGTAACACATGGGCCTCAAGTAAGATAGAAACTACTACATACTGAATATAACTAAACCAGTCAATGGAAAACCTTTGAAGAAAGGATGCTTTTGAGTCACTGAATGAAAACAAGAAAATAGGGAAAGATTTGGTAGTTTTGTAACTTCTGTATAGCCTTTGAAGAAACTTGAAGAGCAAAAGAGGTGTTTATTTTAGATATAAGTGATCTGTGTCTTGTACAAATAAAACCTTATATTATTTAAAGTCCTGAAAAGCAAGATGAATTTCATATAGACTTAAGTGAAAAGTGGAAGATTACTGTATATTAGAAAAATGCTAAAGGTGACATGTTCATTTGCAAGTTTATATAAATTGAAAATGATTTTTTTGCTGAAATGTTCTCACATATTATCATTGTCAGTTACCAGTTACCCTCATCAACTGTAGCTTTGAATAAATGATTGTTTGCTAGGAAGCTGATGTAACATCTGAGGTACCATAGTTGGAATCCTTACTACAAGTTCTTGGAAGCTGATTGGTGCAGAATTGTAGATGAGCCCATTCTGCTGGTGCAGTCCTGTTGTTGGTCAGAAGAGTTGAGGTGTGACAACACATCATTGAGGTAACCTTTCAATTACAACTGTAACTCATGGAATATTATTTGATTTAACCCTTTCCTGCCCAATCATGCTAATTGGCCTCATTTTCAGATTGTTGGCTTGAGTTATAAGGGTTGAGATGACCAGTTATCAATAGTACTGACCATAATCTATTGATGATGAAAGTGCTTATTTTTAGAAATATCTCATAATTCCTTAAAAGATTATGGGCAGGAAAGGGTTAAAATCAGTGGCATCTTGATGACATTTTGGCTGAGAGTGAATCCATAATAAGTAATTCGTAATTTTTGTAGTTAATATTTAACCTCATTTGACCTTGTACAGGAAAAAATAAAAGCTTTCTCTTATCACACTTTTTCAAAGTGTTATATTGTTATCATCTGGTGTTGATTGGTGTGCATGTCTTAAAGGGTAGGCAAATAGGAAAACTGTTAACTTGTTGAACTTCAAATTTTTAAATGCAAAAGCCAGCTCAAAGTGCCATGATCTGATTAACTTTTGCAAATGTTGGATAAATTGCTCTGAATTTTTTGATATTGAGAATGAGAACCCTCACCAACCGTTTGTACATTTTGTTTATTTACAGGCTGTGGCAAATTGATAGGAGTGAAATGTGGCGGTTACACTTCAAAAACTTAAGCGCAAACGATGCATTATATCCAAAAAACAAATGATGAAAAATACAGATCTTAAACTGATTATGGATATTGAAGTTTGAAGGACTGTAGAGGGAGACAGTGACGATATATGACAAAGTTATGAACTGAGAAATGATGAATCCTCAACTTGATATAATCTGATTGAAGTCTGTGATTCATCCCGTTCTAACTGCCATATCTACAAAATTGATCTTCAAATAATTTCACTTTCATATTTTCAGAATAAATTAATAATGAAAGGGAATTTGTGATATTAACTTTTAAAATACTGTAGATTGGGTTAATTTGGCGCTACTTAATTTGGCGATTTTGCCATTTTTGGCATATTGGCGGCTATTTAATTTGGCGGATATGCAAGAAAATTAACTTACGCACTGTTTGCGAATTACCATGTAAATGGATAAGTTTGGCTATGTCCATTTTTCTTTTGAGGACCACTGGCGATCATCCTTTACATTTTGCACCTCGATCGATGCTGCTACTATACCACGCTTTTCCTTTCTAGTTTTTCCCTGAATATTAATGAGTGACTGACCAGGTATGAGCCAAATTATGAGAGACATTTTTCATATTTTTGAAAGAAACTAAACCGGAAGTGACCTAAATACACTGGAGGAAATACTCTAGATAATTCCTGGGGATTCATTTTAAATTTTGGCAAAGATTTATATTGGCGAATTTTTCAATTTCGCCAAATTCGCCAAATTAAAGCGGGCGCCAAATTAACCCAATCTACAGTAACAGTTGATTCTACTGTATACAAATAGAAAAAACGATACTTTTAGTTTGAATAAATATATTTAAATATAATATCATTGAAATATTTCTTTTGTTTAGCAATCCATTTTAATGCATTGCACGATAGAATCATACAGATTACAGTCCTCTTATAGCACATCCACATGACATTTAGTTAGCTGAAAGACTATTATATCATGAGTTCATGATTTTACTGTATACAAGTACAGGGTGACCAAAAAACATGTTACTCTAAGTAAATGTGTATTGTTCAATTCATGAAACAATGATGTACTACATAGCATCATCGACTTTGAAATTTAGAGATATGTTTTTTAAAAACTTATACGTATACTTATACTTATAAACCCAATAAACAAGGTGTTTCATAATTTCCTAATTCGTCGGGAAATATCTTCTAGGACGGTAATAAAAAGGGCCAATGGCATACCATCCGTACCCCCTTGATGTAAAGCATGTTTAGTTGTGTCATATGTGTTTTCTAGAATCAAATAGGCTGATATAGCACACAGGTTTTACAGATTTATCTACTCTCAAATATATTTTTTGTAGATGATCGTTTTGAATCACCTTGTAAAAATAACGAAGGGAGAATTAGTTCAGCTAATGAATGAGTCGAGCTGTTTGATTGGATACTATGCCTATTCAGCCGATTAATTTTAATAAGCCATTCTGGTCAGTAGGTCCACACATATACTATGCGGAGATCCAACTCTGTAAGTTTATAATCTGCGTATAAAGGCCCTTTTATACGTAAAAACTTAAAATTGACCTTATAATTTCATGAGAACTTTGAAATGATCGACTCGTTCGTGTAGTGATTCACTTTAAAGGGTCTTGTTTATCGTACACTACAAGGACCCGTCAACTAGCGTTTAGTTTATCGTGTTCATAATTGACACTAGCAAAGGACATTGTATTCGCAGTCCCTAGTTGATGATGGAGCTTGACTATATCGGGAATAGTTATGCCCCACTTGGTACAGATTATGAAAATCAATTTGAATTGATTTTAGTTCGACAAGACCCTTTAAACTATAAGTATACGTATACGTTTTTGAAACAACTTATAACGAAAATTCTTTAATATTTGGAAAAATACTTTGTTAAAATCCCAATCTCAGAAAATTGCATTTATGAACATTTTGGACCTGAGAGCACACCTGGATGGAAATGTGATTACTCTCAAAATCATAGATGCAATACAACACTGATTTCTCCATTGAACATGATCTAACATAAAAAGTTGTAAAGATTCCAGCATATTTGAGTTATTCCATAAAAGAGGGTAACGCTTTTTATGGTCACCCTGTACAAGAAACAATACTCAATACTATTGTTAGTTTGAATAAGTGAGTGGTCCCCATAGTGAGATTTCAAAATGCTCTTAAGGTAGACCCAAGTATTGTGTCCTTGATCTTGGAGATAACAATGAATTGATTGCCCAGGTATAAATAACAAAAAATATTTTTATATCTATTTTCAATTCATTTATTTAAATTAAATATTTTAATCCAAATGATTGTGTTCTAGCCCTACAATCCTCTTATTCAATTTAAAATGAGGATATTTCATTGAACTATCCAACATGAGCCAAAAATAATGCCGTTCAGTTCTGGAGATAATGGAGAGGTTAAGCTTTGCATATATAATCGAAACTGAACCTGTACGTATCACTCGACCATATACAAATTCATGTAGCCTTCTCATATAAATAGCCGTTCAAATCCAGTGTTTGTTTAGACTACACCATAGCGTGTAATGATTCTATAGTATGTCATTGATGCGGTTTTATAGCTGGTTTTCTAATACATATTTTAAACGAGCTTGTTTCGTAAGATTTTTGGCGCTAAATCATGCATGACATACATCATCGTGTTCAGCAAGAATTCAACTGTGCATCGAAATCAAAATTGACAGCATAGTGTTCAATAGACACGAGTAAAATGGTTCCTGTTGACCCAACGTCAAATTTCAAATCTCCCGTTCTAAACCCGAAACTCTGAAGCTGAGAGTATCTGAAGTAGACTAAGCGCGCATAAAACTATGAGCGCTCGATACATTCCTTTGTTAATTTTTGTACTTTGCGTTCACGGTTACGTTGTGAAAAACATTGTTAGCTTAACCCTAGAAGCCCTAAGGTAAAAATAGTCACACGAACACCCCCCTTGTAACTTTTTTATTAGTAGAGCTAGGATGTTCAAACTTTTTCCACATATACTTCATTCAATTATCTAGAACTTGGTGTAATTACTTTAACAACTACAATGATGAAAGATTGCGTAATTTTATTCTCAAGACAACACGTATGGTAGAATTAGTGCTAGCCTTTTTCTAATTTTGTCTATTGGAGCTGATGATTACATCATAATAGATTAATAACAAATTAGTAAAGCTAGGATGTTCAAACTTTCCCAAAATATACTTCATTCAATTATCTACAATTTGGTGTAATTACTTTAACAACTATGATCATGAAAGAATGTGTAATCTTATTCTAAAGATAGCATGTATGGTAGAAATAGTGCTAGTCTTTTCCGATTTTGTCTATTGCAGCTGATGATTACATCATAATAAATCAATTACCCTATGTACAATTTTGCTGATTTTTTTCAGAAAACATTTGTTATATCTGTAGCTTCAGCTACTGAAAATTTGAAGACCTTACCATATGGCAGTAAAAAGTTATGGGGAAAAAACTTAACAGGGGGGGGGGGTCATTTTGACCCCCCCTTAGGGCTTCTAGGGTTAACCTCTCCAATACTTACAATTTCCTAAATGCCTATACCTCATCTGGGCAATCAAAAAAGGAAATGAATAGAGAGGTTAAGCTGCCAAAATGTGATTGGAAAGATTAAGAAGTTGCATACATATATTTTTGTACCACTCCAATACCTACATAGGAAATATGGGAGACATATTTTAGCTCCAAATATTTTATTTTACAAACTTCTTTAAAAATGTATTTGAAAACCAGCTATATATTTGCCAACGGCTTTCCCTATATTCAAAAATCATCCCTTATGTCATTAGCACATGTCATCCTAAACACAAATACTGAAGTGAACACTGAACAGATATTCAAGTGATTCAACAATATGCATTTTGGTATTGGTTTATGTGCAAGCTTAACCTCTCTAGTACCTTACTATTCCATATGTAAGGTCTCGGCCATAGTGCTATTGAGAATTAACATTTGTGTGTTATTTTTATTAGCACTCTCAAACTGAGTAAGACTTGTAACTCTTCTTTTATTTATATATACATTACATTGAAATATTAGTCAGTATAGTATACAATATTTTGTAACTGTCACCTCCAAGCCTTGGAGGAAGGGGTTGGTGACTAACACTTGGCATCCAACATTTGTTACATTTTATAACAATTTTCAGTAATCTTAAAAGCCACATTGATTTAATACATTAAGACATGTTTCCTATTGGCAACATACAGAAAGGGTCTGTATGACATGAAACACTCTGTAACAGTCTTATGACACTCACAATGGAGAAGTTCAGGTTAGATTGCTTTCAAATACATATACAGAGGATCTTTAAAGACGTTACAAAGGTGTTAAGGTGGCAACAAAGTACCAGTATATTAACCATTTTCTGTTATCATGACTCTGATTTATGAAACATTTGTAATGTAAGTGAGAACTTTCAAATACTGCACACCCATGTGTGCCCATTGACATGATAATAGACAAAAGAAAATAAACTAAATAATTAAGACATTACACAGCGCTTGCATTAGGTTAGAAAATTTGTGAGTCCCAAGGATGCAATTTTTTTTAAAAAAAGTGTGTCCTTTGAAAAAAAAAGTGTGTCCCCTATTTCTAGCCTGTTTTGAGATATAACTTTATTTTAAAAGCATTTTTTACCAAAACACCTTTCAGTTTTTGATTTCTTGCCGCGAATTTAAAACGGAAGTAAACGTTAAGTACGGACTGAATAAATGCATGTTTGTTCATTCGACAATGAATACATTTTATTTCATGTATAACCTAATATTTGTTTCTGAATAGGAAAAACTGTGGCATGTCATGGTTTCAAAAATAAAAGTCGAAAAAATTCGAGAGAATCATGATTATTTGTAAATATTCAACATGTTGAGCCTTATTTACGATTCAAATAAAGGTGAGAGATCATAATTATTTGTTTTTGTTAGGTATTGTGTAAACACATTGTAGTATTGACCTAAATAAAATTTGCGTCCAAAAAACGGAAATATTTTCAATTTTTGCGTCCTTCAAATTATTTTTGAGTCCTTAACATGTACGGGACGCCGTTAATGCAAGCCCTGCATTACAGCTCCAAATCTGCCTTAGTTTAGCAAAAACATAATTGCAATCATGCACATACCAGAAACTAAATAAATCCACAATGCACCAATCTGAATATTGTCTTGCACATTGTATTACATCACATTGTGTTACATGTACAATACTTACAATGTAAGAGGTCTACAATATAGTTACACATTAAACAAAGCCATTAAATAGTATAACTAGGTTCAATTTATGGATCAATTATATAGAGAGATTCCAAACGTCATTTTTGGCCAACATTAATAATGCATAGACCAGATGTATGTATGTAATGTAATTAATGTACAGTAAGACATTATTATGTGCAGCCAGTACAATGAATTCGCAGCTTTATGGCAATCATGGAAAATTAGTTTTTTATGTTGGTCATTCACTTATCTATACTTTTATCATTCAAATCAATTATTTGTTTCCATACACTTGTAGAAGAATGGTTTATTGCACCATATAAATCAAGTTCATTCAAATCATATAACTGTATGGCACGTATGTAGTGAGAGTTGTAATTAAACACTGAGAATAACATCCAAATTAAGTACACAAAATACCAATTGATAATGTAGATCCACTTATACAATTTACCTCATGCAAAACCTCTCTAGTTACAAAGGAGAAACTCCCTATACTTTGGTCTCAGAAAATTGAGAGCATCTAGACACATCTAAATCAGAGTTTTTGGAATTGTCCTCCAATTCTCCTCGTTCTGGCGTCATTTTTTCCCGCCGTGCTTCTAATCGGCTCCGTAACTCAACATTGAGTCCATATTCATCTGCACTGTTGTCATGGCGACCCTCAGTGAGATTCTCACAGTGGTAGACCATCTTTACATTAATATGCTGCTTAAGTTTTAGAAAGTAGAATGTGACAGTCCCCACAAGATGGAATATGATGACACAACATAGCACTACTAGGAAGAGACAGGCTGTCTTAAACACTATGGTCCTTGCAGCATCCACACAGGGTTGGAAATCACTCTTTAATTCATTGCTATGTTCTATATGATTGAACCCTGCAAGTAGAGTGAAATATTAAGGCTAATCGGGGATTTGTTATCATTTATTTAAGACACTGAATGATATGGCATCACTGATACCATAATGTGGAACATTCTTGAGAATTGAGATCTATAATGAAGTGTTCTACTTAGAATGTGTTCCACTTACAGGGGCTGTGGATTCAGGGATTTTAATTTCGTTTTATATTTTTAGGATTACAACATGAGAGTTATTTATGTAACTTGATTTATTCTCAAGCTATTCTATATCTTTTACTGAGAACGCAATCTCCATTGTTATAAATTACAACTTACCTGTAAAAAAGTGTGGTGTGATTGGCATGAAGTTGCATGGCAACAGAGTAAGCTCTAGTCTCTTATTGGCTGGTGATAGGTCACATGACTGGCCAGGATTGATTTTGCTGCTGATGGAGCAAGTCTCCACAATATACTTTTGAAAATCTAAACGCTGGAAAATAAAACAGTTAAGTGCTTATGATGATTCCTTTGCACGTCTTATGTATGAAACAGTCTTCATCTAAAATTGGGAAATTAGATTTTACTATGAATGTATTTCTGTATTGAAGATATTTTACCCATTATGTTCCAATATAACTTATCATTATATCACAAGTATGCTATTATCATCTACTTGTCTGTCCATCCATTGGGGACAAAATTTTTGTTCAGATAGTTTCAGTTACTGGACACTAAAACAACTTGTTTTTTTCCAATACAAAAAATAGTAAACCATGTTCAAGTTTGCCAAATTAACTTTTTCTGCTCTGGTGTGTGTCTGAAAATATAATAAAGTATCTCATTGTTACTTACCTGGAAATGATTAAACTGAAGCATGACCCTATTTAATGTATACAACTCCTGGAACATGTTGTATGTAAATGTCTCCATGGCAACAGTGTTTAAATAATTTGCATATTGTGCAATATATGAGTTTGTTGCATTGAGGGCAATCTTTAGATCAGCAGTATAAGCATCTGTTATTCCATAACTACCAATCATTGTCATGGTTACAACATAATCTGTTGCTACAACTACCAAATAAATACATAATCCTGCAATGCACAGCAATGCAAATTTTGGCAATGCATCGGATTGCAATATCCTTTTTACAATCCCAAATAGGGATTTATTTTTATATAAAGTGCAACCTGTTGTCTGGTTCTTGTAATGTTGTTCCTGGTTGTGTGATCCCCTGTTGCCCCTTGCAACTGAATGAGGATTCTGGGTATTATTTATGAGCATGCTCCGCTTACTATCCATTGTACTATCCTCTACACCTATATCTGATAGAGTTGTGTCATCATGTGGTTTATGGAGTTTGTTTTCAGTAATTGTAATCCGACCTTCACTCGGAGTGACCTTCACCTTCTCTGGTATCCCATGTTGCATCTGGTGCACATATTTATACATCCGTGAAAATCTGTAGACCAATAGAAGAACATCTAATACCAGGAACACATACTGGATATACGTTAAATCTAAATTGAAATGGAAGAAATTATCGAGTTGCATGAAATCATTGGAAGCTTGTAATGGCGTATCTTCTGGTGAATATTCCTCATCTGTTCCATCTTCATCCCCCTGGAATGACTCAAAGTCTACACTTGGATGCAGTAGTTGGTTGCCATAGAAACGATGTGTGTCCAGTGTTTCCATGTCAACAGATTGTGCATCAAAGAACTCTATGCTGGATTTAAGACTAGGGTTAGATATTGTGTTAACTGTGGGGTAATCCTGCTGGAACCTGAAAGGAAATGAATATTCTAATAATATTTGTACAATATTTGGAATATTTTTAAATTAAGGTAGTGCACACTTGCAAAGTTGAAAAGTATTTTGGAGAAACATCAACAGCTCAATCCCATTCAATCAAAATATTTGGATATTGATCTATGTGTTCTATCATACTTTGTAAATGTCCAAAGTAAAATTTGCAAAATATCAACCAGGGCAATTTGTTTCTATGGATTTTGTCCTAATATATTTGTGTATGACAGACTTTAATTATTAATTATTAAACCTTTCTCAGCCTTTTGAGATGCTCTGCTTGTATACATCACTTTAACCATTTATAAAGTATTGATTAGTGAACTTTGTGTGAATCTTGCTTGATCCTTACCTTAGATTGAACTCAGTCTGGTGATTCATAATATCCTCAGCTATACCTTCATCAAGAAATTCCATCCAGTCAGTATAATTGTACCACCAGATGGCATCATCATTGAATACTCGCCATGTTGTTTTTGTAATATTATAATATCGCCTTGGAAAATCCAACCAAGATGTTTTATATATTTTTTCCATGAAAGCACGGAATGCTATAAAAACAGGGTCAAAATTCTCAATAATACTTTTATTATACCCTGTCATATAGTCAGCTAAGTCCATATCATATTTTTTCAAGCCAAAGTTGATAAGTTTCTCCATGTATGCAGACACAGATTTTGAATCATTGGATAATAGCTGGTGATTCTCACTGATGAAGTTCTTCATTGCGACATTGATATGTTCAGTTAGATTCTGCACATAGTTGTTACATCCAGTGAACATATTATGCGCAAGCATTTCTTGACGATCAATTTCATTTCCTTTGTAGAGGTTAATCTCTGTTGCAATTTTACGACTTTTCTCATGGTTATTAAACTGCTTCTTCTGAAGTTGCTCAAGACTATGTTTGTCGGTTCGCACTGTTAGCAGTAGGATTGCACTCAGGGCTGTGAACGTAAATAGGAACGAGTAAAGAATTTGGATGAAAACGTACAAAGTAATAATTGTGGCTCGTTTTTTATTTCTTTTTGTTCCAGATTCACTGAAATCAACCTCATCTTTCTCTTCATTCTCATTGGCTGCACGGAATTCAAACAAAGGCTTCGATTGCTGATTGGCCACTGCACATTGAATACATAGATATATCACTAGGAGAGTCACTAAAACAAATGATGTTGCTATAGTAATCATGATTGCAGCGCTCCAAGGTGGTCGAACATTCACTTCCTCTTTGGTGTCAATAGAGATTCCAGGATATACATGGCCATCACGGAAGTGTACAGATGTCAGAAATATACTGTATGTCTTCACAGGGTCTGTTAATTGAATCTCAAACAGTTTATCCATGCGAATAGGAGTAAATGGTACTGTGATGTGAAGTGTAAAGTCTGCTGGGCAATCAATAATAACATCATACTTGAGTAATTCAATGATGTAATTACCATCATTGACAACAACTCCTAGGTAGCCAGGGCAACCAGACATTTCACCTGAAATAAAGAAAAACAAACGTCCAATACAATTATTTCTTTATCAATAATGGGGAAATGAGATGGACCAGTGTGAAATGTGATCATGGTTAAGATTGAACAGTTCATATGACAATTTATAATGAATATTTCATTTGACAAACTCAGACTCAGTCATCTTTAACCTCTTAAAGGCCCACTATACTTAATTTCAAAGAAAAAAGAAAAAAAATCATTGAAACATGTTACTCACACACTCAAATATGAAACAAAGTTTGATTTGCTCTAATATTTGACCAAGAAAAACAACTTTGCCATCTTTCAATGAAATTGACAAAAACTTGATATATAAAGCTTGACAGATTGAAAATATTTTTTGATAATTTATTGTAAGCTTTGATGTGATCCGCTTGAGCTGTTGTTGGTGTCAAATGAAAGATAATATTCTTATCAATACACTGGACATACTTTGAAATTTAAATGTAAGTCTTAATTTTGCCCAAAAATGTTAAAAATTCGCAAAGTGGGCCTTTAAGATACAACAATCTTTTCATCCTAAAAAGATGGAATTACTTGTGATATTACTTAAGGTGTTTATAAACATCAGCAATGCAACATAAACAATATTGGTATGAGTATCAACACTTCTAACACATTTTACTCAGTTTTGTCATAAAAGTGGTGAAAATATTATATCTTGCAGTTACATGAGAAAAAAACTTTGTTTCATTTGAACCTTTGCAAAATCATCCAATCTTGATAAGATTTGATTTATAAAAGATGACAAGATGGAGAACATACAATAATGGACTAAATTGCCAATACACTCATTGAGGAACCACTTCATCATTCATGAAAGCAGGAATTGCAATATGTTCAGGATTCAAGATTCCAACCCACCTTCAATGGTGATCTTCCATACACCCTTCTCCTCATCCCTGGCCAAGTCAGAGTGCAATTGATCATCAGTGAACAACCAGGGGCCTGGCTTGTTTTTAAAGTAGTGCCACAAGACTGAAGCATTCTCTGGAAATACAACGAGCATTATTGCTCAAGTCAGAGTGCAATTGATCATCAGTGAACAACCAAGGGCCTGGCTTGTTTTTAAAGTAGTGCCACAAGACTGAAGCATTCTCTGGAAATACAACGAGCATTATTGCTCAAGTCAGAGTGCAATTGATCATCAGTGAACAACCAAGGGCCTGGCTTGTTTTTAAAGTAGTGCCACAAGACTGATTGAGTAATATAATGAGGAGATGCAAGAATGTCAGGAGTCAGGAACTACAGAGAAGTGGATGTAGATGTTGATTAAGTCAACATTTTTCAGAAGTGATTCTTGTCTGCCCCTATAACATGGGAAGTGTAACACTTCCTTCTTAAATTCTGTAGCCTATATTTTGATATAGAGAATATAAGAGAGGGGATGACTTACTCCCCCGATGCCCTAAAACGATCAAAGTCATAAAAATGCTATATGTGAATGGTACATGACAGCATGTGTGTTCAAAGTATTTTACCTTGTAGAATATATATATATATATTTCTAACTACCAGAAAAGTGCTTTTATGAAACTTAACAGTATATCAGAACATTATACTCATCAAACATACATACATGTAGCTGAATACAACCATGAAAGATTTGAATCCTTTCCCAATCATTCCAGGAAAATTCTTTATGACAATATATGGTTTTAACAAGTAAATGATATTGCCCTTATGTTTTCTTTTATGAACTTTACAATAGATTTGATACATATACTCTTTTAACAGCTGACATGCTTGAAAACATCTATGAAATTCACACATTCTGTTAGTAAATCACATGCCTAGAAAACACATTCTGAATGTAAAATAATAGAAATTAGTGAATATAAGGCCACACAGAAAGAAACATTCCCAAAAATGGGACAAACATATAAAAAGAATATACTGTACCAAAATATTAAGTAAAAATGTTTGTTTATAATAACCTTATATATGTTACCTAAGTCACAGTGGGGCAATTCTTATATTCATTGTAACATTTATCGTAAATTCTGTCATCTTCACAACTTTAAGATGGTAGAAGAGGTAAGTTTTTATATTTTGCTTTCTGTCACTTGGTCAGTTTGATGATAATCTAATTAATTCATAACTGCCCAAATCTCTGGATTTATTTTAATATCGGAACTTTCATGATAAACATACAAATTACTGCCTTGCTACAGTATATAAGCAACAACTCATAGATTGGGGCTGTGAGGGATTTACAAGATTATTATCTTTACTACCGATTGACCAAGAAACTGATAGGATTTGCAAAAGTGTTTCTTTTTCCACCATTTTGGAAAATGTTATGAAGAATATCATATATATCTTTATAATCATTACCCCACCTTGAATGAGAGAAAGCATGAAACTGCAAGAATTAAGCACAAAGAATATATAAGTAGTGAACTCAATAAAGTTCTGGGATTTGCAAATATACTCAAGAGTGAACACCTTCCCTGAAAAATGAACATTTGAAATCCAAAGATCCTAACACTTGCCAGAATATGAGCTTCTTGGAAACATTTAAATTATGAGAACACTTTTAATATAAAAAATATGGTGTGTTAAAAGTTTGACCTTCAAACATGAACACTTTGAAATCAAATTTGAAGATATGACCTTGATATGTGAACCATTTGAAATACACACATTATGACATTATATCTGAAATTGAAATGTGAGCACTTTAAGAGATGAACACTTTGGAATATTATCATATGACCTTGAAATATGAACACTTGCAATAAAGCAGTATATCTAGAAGGCTTTGCTCTGTAGGGATTCATTATAAGAGCTATCTCACTACAGGCCTACCTGGCACTGTGAGTCGCACATTGAATGGTATAATGGCATCAAATTTTCCACTCTCTAAACAAAGAATTATTACCAATAAGACATAACTTAGGAAATAGTCACATTTCATGCCTATTCAACATTCAATTATTACTGCTTCATAGCCTTTGAGTATTGGTGTTAAATTAAATCAGTAAAGTTTCAGAATAGTATTAATATCAGATTAAAACAATTAAAATGTATTAGTTTTGAAAAAATGTATGAAACAAAAATCATTTAAATAAAAATAATAAAATTGTGAATGTATTTTAGTTCTATCTAAATAACATGCTTCATTATATCATTAGAATGTTTCCCATTCTCACTGTATAAGAACTGAACATAATATGATTGAGAGAAAACAGTGTTTTTTCACCTGCATCCCAATCAAGCATATCCTCAATGTATTTGAACTGACACTTTCACTCTTATGAATTGAAATATGTCAGGAACAATGGTGTAGAAGGATTGTGTTGATCACTGAAATATCACAACAGCTCTAACTGGCTTATAACAAATGAAAGAAATAAACAAATGAAATGAATAAACATATGTGCTATAAAATGTTGTTATGTGCAGTGCAAACACAATCCATGTGAAAACAGGAGATATCCCATCATGCATTGTAACAACAGGAGATATCCCATCACACCTTGTACCTACAAGAGGTATCCTATTGTGCTGTGAACTTACCAGGTATATTAAACGAAATCTCTGGGCGCCACTTATCCTTATCCTTATCCTTGGCACGTAGCTGGAATGTGAAGTCATCGTTGCTCATGACCTTTTCACTTTCTGTAGCATCATCATCATCTTCATAAGGATTACGTATCTCCCGTCTTTTCTGTTTGTTATACATTGGTTGTTTCTCATGGAATCGTGACGTGTTTCGCTCACATCCTGAGGAGGACAGCCAACTAGATGTGCTGATCTCAAATGGTTTCTCAACCTGAATGTAAAAGTCAATTACAATATGTTCATGTGAGAAACATAACAAAACTACATACACTTTTAAATGCTAACTACATGATATCTACTTTATATCTTTCAGATTCCATCTCTTATTTCTATTTTGCATTTGACTTCATTGACTTCATGACTTCCTTGTTAAAAGTTGTATTTCCTAGAACAAATCTGACCAACTTATTCTCATTGAAGTCTGCTGATTATCTGCCTTACACAGCAAAGAGTGTGCAACAATGAGCACACTGAGCTAGACTCTCTTTCCTAGCTCATTCACAAAGAAAATGGAACTTATAATGTACCTGAATAGATGTCACCAGCACATTATTATTCACATGGAACACTTCCACGGGTTTCTTAGTAAATTCCTCTGGCTTCTTCAATGGGAATGCTGAGTAGTCAACATGTTGGGATCCTATATCTGCGGTATCATCCTTCTGGAACTGGCCAAGCAGTATAATGTCCTCCTCAAAGTTCAGCTTGGTTTTGTGATGAATCTCAAGAAAGTCAACATATGAGGTTCCTTCATTGTGGAACTTGAGGTTGGGAGAATGTATTGGTTGGCGTCTAGTTCCAGGGTAGAAGGTAATACCATTTGGAAGACTAATGGAATACCACACCTGCAACATGCATATACACTGATTAATTGTAACTGCCTACCATACACTTTACTCTGCTCAATAACATATAACGTGTTCTGATACGACTAAATCTAGGAAAAGCTGATAATATCCTGTTTATTAATTGTTAATAATAATATGAATTAATGTACTTCTTTCATTTTATTAGTATATATGATTGAATAAACTTTTCAATTTATACAAACGTATATGTAAAGTAAAACTGTTTAGTGAATCCCTGCTAAGAGATACCATCTCATTTTTCGTCCCAAGAACCCTTATGTTTTGTTTTGCTCCCTTAAAATAGACCCTCATGTTTTGTTTTGCTCCCTTAAAATTGACCCTCATGTTTTGTTTTGCTCCCTTAAAATAGACCCTCATGTTTTGTTTTGCTCCCTTAAAATTGACCCTCATGTTTTGTTTTGCTCCCTTAAAATTGACCCTCATGTTTTGTTTTGCTCCATTAGAATTGACCCTCATGTTTTGTTTTGCTCACTTAGAATTGACCCTCATGTTTTGCATTGCTTTTTAGAACTGACCCTCATGTTTTCTCCCTTGAAAATGACTTAGAATTGAACCTCATGTTTTGTTTTGCTCCCTTAAAATTGACCATCATGTTTTGCTCCCTTAGAACTGACCCTCATGTTTTCTCCCTTGAAAATGACTTAGAATTGAACCTCATGTTTTGTTTTGCTCCCTTAAAATTGACCATCATGTTTTGCTCCCTTAGAACTGACCCTCATGTTTTGCTCCCTCAGAATTGGCCCTCATGTATTGCTCCCTTCGGACTGACCCTCTTGTTTTGCTCCCTCAGAATTGACCCTCATGTTTTGCTCCCTTAGAATTGACCCCTATGTTTTGCTCCCTTATAATTGACCCTCATGTTTTGCTCTCTCAGAATTGACCCTCATGTTTTGCTCTCTTAGAATTGACCCTCATGTTTTGCTCCCTTAGAATTGGCCCTCATGTTTTGCTCCCTTAGAATTGACCTTAGTCCCTAGACTCTTATGTTTTGCTCCCTCAAAATTGACCCTCATGTCTTGCTCCCTCCTGTTTTGCTCCCTAAGAATTGGCCCTCATATTTTGATCCCTTTAACATTGACCCTCAACTATTGCATTCGAAGAGTTGACCCTCATGTTTTGTTTTGCTCCCTTAGCATTGACCCTAATGTTTTGCTCCCTCAAAATTGACCCTAATGTCTTGCTCCCTCACGTTTTGTTCCCTGAGAATTGACCCTCATATTTCGATCCCTCTAACATTGACCCTCATGTGTTGCATCCAAAGAGCTGACCCTCTTGTTTTGCTCATCTAGAATTGCTACTGGCTTTGTAAATTAAAGTTTTGCCTATGCTCTTATCTTACTTGGAATAGTGAGTCAGGTGGTACATAGCGTTTGTGACACTGGAACTCCTGACGTATATTCTCAAATACTGGTTGAAGAGTATAGAGATACGCATCACCTAAACACATAATTTGTAGAATTTACAACATTTTTAATTCGAAAAAAATATATCTAGATTTAAATCAAGTGATTTGTTATTATAGGAACTTTGTACGAGCACCATGGCACATATTATTTGATTTGAAATCAAAACGAAAACACTTGTTCTTGATACTACATTAATGTTTTGCAGTTTTCATAAGTGTGTGTTCTTTACTTTGCTCGATGCAACAGAAGATACGAATTACAATATGAAAGGAAGTGAGCTTTGCCACTTTCGTTTATTAAAGAATCATGGTGTTACGAACATTATGGTACAATATACGTGATGTACAAATATTGGTCACAATGCCTCAATAATGTTGTCTACAATATGTTGTTTTGAAAAAGTCTTAAATACATGAAAGAGATCATGAAGGCTTAAATATTACATTTAGCGAAATTGATCGATCCCGGCCATTAATAAAAACCCCAAACAAATGAGGAAAAGGTACGCGATCGATCAAAGACATGTAAATGTTTTAGAATTATAAAAAACACTTGCACCCTGATACAATAACGTTTAATAAAGTAAATGTTTCTCAACTTGACAAAAAATAAACAATCAATTAAAAGATCAAATGTCTAACGATACAAATTACAAATTTTATATTGTGTTTAAAAATGTGTTGAGTGTTTATGTCGTGGCAAGAACTCAAAATGACTATACAACCGACGTTCTATCCTTCGAACCGTATCACTCACTCACTAAGCTAGCATCGACCAATCACCTCTTATCCCTACACAACAAATTGTTCCATTTACGCAAGGCACAAAGAAATCATTTATTTGCTAATGTCGCTTTGCTCAAATGCAAATAAATGTGAATTATTTGAACAGAACATGATTTTTACCCATGGCACACTCTGTTGGTAGGTTACTGCATTCTGGCCGTACAGCTTGTTTACAGTTTTTGCCATTCCCAGTGTAACATCGTACTGCACAACACTGCCGATCAAAGATATCAGCTGAAATGAATGATATTCAACAAGATTTAAAACAGATTCGAACATGACTGTATTCATGCATTCTATAAGCTTTGAACAAAGTTAATATTTCACCCTGTATTTATTCGTTGATACAATACCTGGTCTTTACTAAGTGTTGTTAAATGTTCAACAGAAAGTAGGAAGTGAAGTGACTATTTGCAAGATTTTGGTGAGTTTTCATATTTGAATTGTAATATAAACCTCAGATCAGGTATAATAACGAGTAATAAATACCTTAGGGCCAAGCCCTGTGGTATTTATTCGTTGACATAATACCTGCTCTGTCCATATTTCCTTTAATAGTACAAAACAGAACACATGCAATAATGGAGACCTGATTTGCTCACCTAATTCACAGTTGTGCTGCTTCAAACACTTATTACAACTTGAGATGGCCCTGCTACATTTCTCTGTTAAGAAAGGAACGGGAAAATCCTTTGTGACAGTGCCATTGAAGAGCTTTGTAAGTAGATCTGTGGCATCACTACACACCATGCTATTGGCCACAGACACGAGCTTCTCAGGAAATGTAGCCTGTAGCATAAAAAGTAGTCCCAAAAGTAAAGCAAATTTCATTCATGGAAATTGTTTAATATTACAACATGACATATGGTTGAATTTGCTTAACAAATCAATTTGAAATTTATTTCTTTTATATCTTTCCATGTTCATCAAAATATAGGAAAAAGATAAGCACTTAGCTGAGTTGATTTGAAAACAAGAATCAAATTCTATGCAAAGGGCTGTGGTAAAGGTAAAGGCCAACCTATCACAAACCACCTTTACTTAAAATATCTTCAGGTATAAACAAAGTCAAGTTCACAGTTTTCTGGATTTTTAACACAGCCAAGTTGGCAGTTCTATGGATTTTTAACATAGCCAAGTTGGCACTTCTATGGGTTTTTAATAGGGATGGGACGGTTCGTTTCGGTTCGGTTCGGTTCGGTTTTTCGGATCATCAGCCGTCGGTTCGGTTTTTTTCGGTTCGGTTCATTCATTTTAAGGATTTGTATTTATTGACATGATTAGCTGCTTTGTCTCTGACGTTATAACAATATTTTATAGATGGAATTTTATGTTATAGTATTTCATGAACAATACATATTATTTAGAATACACGACTAAAGAATATAGTACCAGGGACCACATGATTGATTACCGAGGGATACGAATACGCGGATACGAAACGAATCTAGTAAACGAGTGAGCTAGCAACAGACAAGACAGACAAGGTAGGGACTAGGAGTATCAAAGATGTTGCTGTAAAACAGTGTTTTTAACTGTTTTATTGATACTTGACCAATGAAATATTAATCCGAAAACGATCCGAAAAGCTGATCCGAAAGTAGGGCCGTGATCCGAAAACCGATCCGAAGGCTATGAACCGCGGTTTTTCGGTATTTCGGTTATCCGTCCCACCCCTAGTTTTTAACATAGCCAAGTTGGCAGTTTTATGGATTTTTAACATAGCAAAGTTGGCAGTTCTATGGTTTTTTAACATAGCCAAGTTGGCAGTTCTATGGACTTTTAATATTGCCAAGTTGGCAGTTCTATGGATTTTTAACAAAGCTAAGTTGGCAGTTCTATGGATTTTTAACATAGCCAAGTTGGCAGTTCTATGGATTTTTAACATAGCCAAGTTGGCAGTTCTATGGATTTTTAACAAAGCCAAGTTGGCAGTTCTATGGATTTTTAACATAGCCAAATTGACAGTTCTATGGGTTTTTAACATAACCAAGTTGGCAGTTCTATGGATTTTTAACATAGTCAAGTTGGCAGTTCTATGGATTCTTAACACATCCAAGTTGGCAGTTCTATGGATTTTTAACATAGTCAGGTTGGCAGTTCTATGGGTTTTTAACATAGCCAAGTTGGCAGTTTTATGGATTTTTAACATAGCAAAGTTGGCAGTTCTATGGGTTTTTAACAGAGCAAAGTTGGCAGTTCTATGGACTTTTAATATTGCCAAGTTGGCAGTTCTATGGATTTTTAACAAAGCTAAGTTGGCAGTTCTATGGATTTTTAACATAGCCAAGTTGGCAGTTCTATGGACTTTTAACATAGCCAAGTTGGCAGTTTTATGGATTTTTAACATAGCAAAGTTGGCAGTTCTATGGGTTTTTAACAGAGCAAAGTTGGCAGTTCTATGGATTTTTAACATAGCCAAGTTGGCAGTTCTATGGATTTTTAACATAGCCAAGTTGGCAGATCTATGGATTTTTAACACAGCCAAGTTGGCAGATCTATGGATTTTTTAATGTATATTGCCGTTTTGTATAGTTTTATTGATTCATGTATTGTTTGTGTTTATGTACTTTGCGTTTATATTTTTTATACAGTTCTATGATTTTTAACATAGCCAAGTTGGCACATCCTCCGATCACAGGGCTTCAAAATTCAGAATATCTTCTTTCTTTTTACCCCCTGCTATAACCAAGTTAGACGCGCCCGATTAAACTGAATCACGTGATCTAATTATTACGTATACACGATTGCTGTCGCAGTGTTGTGACAGGCAATTAAATTGCGAGTTCTTAATCGGGAAATGCTAACTGCTTATAGCAGGGGGGAAGAAGGAGGTACAGATTCTGGACACCTGTTTAGGAGGATGAGTTGGCAATTCTATGGATTTTTAACATAGCCAAGTTGGCAGTTCTATGGATTTTTAACATAGCCAAGTTGGTAGTTCTATGGATTTTTAACATAGCCAAGTTGGCAGCTTTTCCAAATTGGCAGCAGAATTTTGACTTTCATCATGCAAAATTTGCAGTTTTTCCATGTAGGGAACTGGAATGAATGAGTGGATAAACCCTGGATTAACTCTGAACTGTCATAAAACCATGTTTCAGATAAGAGGAAGGAAAACCCCATGATCAACCCCATGATTGATGACATGCGATTTCCTCTTTCGCGCACCTCCTTTATGTATATTTGTTTACCCTCCATCTTGGTTTTCAATTTTTCAAATTGACCTAGTTTTAAACCAATCAACGATCGACTCGCTAAACCAATCAGCGACGATGTCATCTCAATACAGATTTACATTATAAGCATATGTCATCTTTGAACCCTGGGGTTTCTCCCCCTCTTTTTCAGACTTTGAATTAAGCTTTCGATATATATCTTCACGCATATATAATACAAATAAAAATGACCTTACATAATTTTCAACTCATGAATCTTCTTAATGAAAATGTTTTGCAAAAAGTTGATAGCAGTCACCTTGTAAAAATTTGGATCATACAATTTAAGTGAGACATCAGAATTTAGTAATATCATACAAATGCTGATATATCATATTTGAAATGCAATATAATGAAATGCAATATAATGAAAAAAAATTAAGAATGAATAAAAACTGACTAAATGAGTGTATGAGTTAACCAAAAAATGAAGACATATATTTGGATTAAAAAGAATATGCTATGTTACATTTTTACATAATTTAGGAGTTTTGAAAGATAACTAATAGCAATAATATAGATATGATAATATCACTATATATATGTCACTTATGATTGTAAGTGATATCGTTTTTAAACTAAGATAAATGTATGATACTAATATCTGCAAAGAATTAAGGCAAGATATTCTATTCATCCGACAGCTGTTATCTAAACAAGGCATGTTAAATCAATTATTCAGAAGACAATGTTATTATCCTTTGTTTAATTTTAAGATTCAAACCACAATACATTGTACATTGTATTTATCAGAAATATGGTTGATTGTGTTAGCTATGATATTGACTGGCATATCATTTTTAGATCCATGCAAATACATCATACATACTGTATAGTTGTTACAGTTGTATGTTATCACATAGAAATGACTATGGGGAAGAGAAAAGGTAGAATATTTCATCGCTTTGGAAATATTTGTGAAAGAGTGACATCATGCACCTGCTGTCCCATTGGAAAAGGTTTAAAACAAATACAATTTTGACAATTTATGTACATCAGAAATACACATGTAGAGATTAGTAGAGATGTACAACCCCTCTTGCCCATGCCATCTCCCCCTTTGTATTCCTTTTAATTTAGACCAAGCCTTCATCTTGGAATTACCAATCAGCCATTATAATCATTGAACTAATTGGGATCAGGCATCCTTTTTAATTATCAGAGACAGTTTTAGTCTTTTGTGTTTTCAAGTTTTTTTGCACTTTCAAAGTGCAGTAAATACTGAGGGGGTGTCACATGACTATGTGTAACCTTAGTAACTTGGTCTCATCCACATGAATATTATCTGAATACACCTTCCTTTGGAAAAGTGCAAAATTGTATGTTTTAATAAGTATGGTGCTACACACGAGACAAGTGCTTAATTTGGCAATGCATCACTGAATTAAAGAATGCATTATCAAATCATATATGTATAACATAATTAAACAATGCATTGCTTAATCAAACAAAGCATTGCTTAATTAAACAATGTATTGTTTAATCAAACAATGTATTGCTTAATCAAACAATGCATTGTATAATCTCACAATGTAGTTTACAATGTAGTTTAACAATACATTGTATAACATATTAATTAATTGCATTATTAAAACAATGCACAGTCAAACAATTCCCAGTGAAATGATGCATTGTATAATACTACAATTCATTACAAAATTGAAAAAGGCAGAGTTCAACAATGCATTGTATAACATAGTATCATTCACTGAATAAAAAACAATGTAATGCACAATCAAACAATGCATGGTATAATTTTATGATTCATTGCATAATTGAAACAATGCAATCCACAGTCAAACAAAAACTAATGCATTGGAAACTAGAAATGCATCATATAATTAATCAATGCATTGCATAATCAAACAATGCATTGTATGATAAAATAATGCATTGATAAATCCACCAATATAATGCAAAATAGAATACATACTAGCTAACAGCTAAATATGAAGAGCAAATGTGTATTGTGGTTTGTGATTCAGCCCTTTTACATATATACATCTGTGTATGTTAAGGAAGTCACAGTTTGCTGTTTAGCAGGTGCCTGATTATGGGCATGCAACTTATTAATACACAAGTTTCAAGGGAAAATAGATTATGACTGGCTTGTTATTAATTTGAGACCACATTTAAATGTAATGGAACATCTTTCATTTTAATGTGAAGATGTCAGTTCTAATTTCTGTGAATGTGATTTGAATACTTTGAAAATGGGGAGACAAATTGTTTCTCAATTCTATTGACCATGAACTGTAAATGCACTGACATGTTAACCCATTGGCATGTTAACCCTGTACTGTACACATGCTGACAAGTTCATCCAGCACTGTACATGTACTGACATGTTAACACTGCACTGTAAATTTACTGACAAGTTAACACTGTATTTTACATGTACTGACATGTTAACACTGCATTTTACATGTACTGACATGTTAACACTGCATTTTACATGTACTGACATGTTAACACTGCACTTTACATGTACTGACATGTTAACACTGCATTTTACATGTACTGATATGTTAACACTGCACTGTACATGTACTGACATGTTAGCACTGCACTGTACATGTGCTGACATGTTAACCTTGCAAATGTACTGACATGTTAACACTGCAATGTACATGAACTCACATGTTAACCTTGCACTGTACATGTACTGACATGTTAACACTACACTGTACATGTACTGACATGTTCACACTGCACTGTAAATGTACTGGCATGTTAACACTGCACTGTACATGTACTGACATGTTAACACTGCAGTTTACAAGTACTGAGATGTTAACACTGCACTGTACATGTACTGACATGTTAACACTGCATTTTACATGTACTGACATGTTAACATTGGCACTGTACATGTACTGACATGTTCACACTGCACTGTAAATGTACTGACATGTTAACACTGCACTTTACATGTACTGAGATGTTAACACTGCACTGTACATGTACTGACATGTTAACATTGCACTGTACATGTACTGACATGTTAACACTGCATTTTAAATGTACTGAATGTTAACACTGCACTGTACATGTACTGACATGTTAACACTGCACTGTAAATGTACTGAGATGTTAACACTGCAGTTTACATGTACTGAGATGTTAACACTGCACTGTACATGTACTGATATGTTAATTCTAATACATTGTTCTGAAAACCATTTGACCAAGAGCCTGCAACATATCACTTTTTGGGTGTTCATCCAAGAAAGTTTTTCAAGCTATTTTAGATTTTGACATCTCAAACTACATTGTATGTTAAGAATTATAAATCAAACATTTCAAAATTCTTAAGTTATAAAAAATTGCACATAAGGTTGAAGTTTTATACTACTCTGACATTTAAAATTCATAGAAAGATTCAAGAAATTGCCACATGAAGCATTTCTTCAAATACCGCATTTCATAATACATTCCCGTTATTTAGCAGTCATATTGCAGCTACAGAAGCATAATACTTAAAGATGATATGATATCAGAAATTGTCTCTTTTAACTATAAGTTATTCAATGATTTCTAGTGAAATACAGAAAATATTCTTCCCTTGAAAGTCTGTATTTCACTCTGCGCAAGCGCCATGTGAAATACAGACCTTCTCGGGCAGAATATTTTATTTATTCCATGATCACTCGGATGAAACTCTCAAAATCAAGTCCAATTCCTTGGCCTGGCCGGAGAAAATTCAGACAGATCGACCTTACTCACCCCATAAATTTTTTGATCGATGAATTTATTCTCGTTATTTGCTTTTTTGTATTAAACAGTATGTATTTCATCAGTTGAAAGTGCAATGTAGCGAAACGTTTTTTCGACTTTCTTCTGCCATATTGGATTTTTACTATTATAGTTCATGAAAACAATGTGTATGCTTCAGATTGTTTTCTTATATTCACAGGTCGAGGTTTTTATCCTCAAATTATAAATTTTGATGATCACAGTATCATTTCCTGATATCTAAAACAGATTTTTATGGCAAAATGCAAAGATAAGCATGCGTCAGCTTAAACTAGTCCCCATAGAATTTTTCAGTAACAATCGTATCCTGGATGGAAATCTGGGGCGTATCCCAACAGTGATGTCATTTTTCACTCTGTATCCAACGCTAAGTTGAGAGTGCGTGCAAATACAGGATATATTTAAGTCGATTGGACCAATCAGATTGCAGAGAATATTACCATCATGGAATAAAGAACTGTACCTTCAACGTAATCTTTTAGACGTTGTCTTTAAGTGCAAAAGGTGGAAGTTTGAGAATTTTAAACATATTTCACATTTCTCCTTCGAAATCCTCACAACTCCAGTTTCTGATGACAAAATGAAGAAAAAATAATCTCCAAGTATTAAAGTTATTGCCTTGATGGATTGGACAAAACTTTATTATTGGGTATGATAAGAAAAAAGGTTATAGCTATTTAAGTCATTTGTTTTTAATTTTTTGTATGGGACACCCAAAGTGTTGCAGGTCACAAGTCAAGGTGCAGGTGGAAATTGCCATTTCGATATTATTAATCAACCACATAATGTGCTAATGTTTGCCACTTCCAAGTTGTGGCTTGCTCTATATACCAAAATAGTACTTTTTAGTGATGTTAATGTCTATTATGCTATCATTAACAAAAAAATGATGGGATATTATTACATTTCATTGAGAATGATTGCATTTCATAAACTAAACTAATAAACAATGAAAATGATCTGAATTGTAAAATGGCTAACATATATTCAGCAAAACTAGGAGAATTATTTTAGATGCAAACAAAAACAAGCTGCATGCTAATATAAGGCTACCTTTGTTTTACTCTTTTTCCTATATTTTTTCACAGACTAATTTGTTGAAATGAAATTAAAACATGAATTAATGCTAGATCATATGTAGCTGGTTTAGTACAGTTTAGTTATTCGCAATAAGATAAAAGCAAAGTCATAAAATAAACATAAGTTGTTAGTTCACATTAGGTCACAGATTTTAAATAGTTACAGCAAAGGTTCATCATATTGGCAAAGAGGATTGGAAGCCGTTATTCACACTCGATACTCCGTTGCCCGGCGTAGAACAATTTGGTAACAATATTACTCATATTTTGAAGACTTCAACTGCCAAGGAAGCTTGAATACTACCAAAATATTTGTAATGACCATCTTTCAATGAAATACTAGGTCCAAAGAGAAAATTATAGAAATATTTTTCCTAAATTGTTCCACTGCAGCCAATGGAGTATTGAGGTTGATTAATGGCTGCCAATCCTCCTTGTCATATTGGGAACTTAAACATTACTAATGCCATCCTTCACAGCATATGACTGCTTTGGAAGTATACTAGCCATGCCATTGGCATTTTACTGTTTTCTCAACAGATGGCATATGCATAATGCCACATAATACAAGTATGTATTAAGATATTGCATTGCTTACTAAATAAAATGAAATGAAGCAGATAATCTATTCAAACTGTTAAAGAGACAGCAAAGGATAGTTAAGTTTGAAGATCAATATTTTCACAATATCTTTTCCACTTTTGACATATAAAGTACCTAATTTCTAAAATATATAAAGAATTCCAAACTCAATTCATGAATATGCCTTGGTTTTTAAAAGCCCTACTCAAAGTTCGAAAATACTGTTTAATCATCCACATATTTGTTATGACTCAAAAATTTGTTTGAGACCTTATTGGAAAGAACCTGACTTCCAGAAAATGTTGCCAGTCTTTAAATTAAAATTTTTTTTTACAAGTTCCCAGTTCATAATATCTGACCTTAGATTTTTAAGTCTAATTTTAATTATATTCTACGTTTATTTACAGTAACTCTGATGCTCTTTCATTTAAATTAATTTAACATTTTCATCCTTTGCTGTCACTTTAAGAATTTAATATAGCAATTTGAAGTTTCATCTTTTGAAGTATTCCCTTAGGTATAAAAATGAACTAAAACAGAAACATGTCATACAAACATACAGGCTGTAGGACATGTAGAACACTAGCACTCAGATTCTCACTCATATGCACTCAAACACAAACACTCATGAATGATTTGAAATAAATCTCAAATTAATAACCCACCATTTTTTTGCACGGGTCATTGAGAGTTCTGTGATAAAAGATGTCACCATTGTTGTAGCCCTCGGGACATTTGATTTTCTTTGGGTTGCGGCTGTTACATACAATAGGTTCAGTGGCAGTTGTGCGGTCACGATATATCTCCATGGTAACACTGTAGTAGTCTGGGATAGGATGTCTGAAGAAAATGATTTTTAACACATAAATAAGTAACATTAAAAAAGAAAGAAAACATTTTATGATTAGCTCCATATTTCTAAGAAGTAGATTCATATGATATAATAATATGTAAAGTTAGACCCAAACATTTTAACATTTTGTAAGGTAATGCAAATACAAAAATAAGGCATTAACATGTAAAAAGTCACAGCCTGCCATTTTTTACAGATGCCAAATGCCGAACACCAACAGGTGGCTGTCGCAACAACAAAGTTGGAGACTATAACAATATGTCACCATTTGTGGTGGTGACATAAAAACTGAAGTAATATGAAAACCAAAGACATTTGCCTTTGAACAGACTTCAGTTATTTTAGATATTGAAATTTATAATTTAAAATAATAACAACCACTGTGATTAATTCGACTAGTTCAGGACTAAATAAACAAAAATACACTCCCTTTATTCAAACCATAAATGGAATCTCTAAAGAACATTGAAATATCTAGTTCTCAACACCTATTGAAACGTTGTGAATAAAAAAAGTAAAATAAACAAGAAAATATTGAGTGAACTAACGATCACAAACATTCAGAGTAAGCACACAAATATAGATATATCAATAACAGGGAATTTGCCATGAGGTTTATTTTCTGAAGTTGGCTGTGTGTTTGGACATTTTACTGTATGACTGCACACTGCAGAGAGTTCTCAGGTAAGGAATCGCAATTTGGTGTCGGAAAACTCATGTAAAATTGAGCCCATATTTTGATATAATCTAAAGGGACCATCACCCAGGAGCCATCAGACCTGGGTGGGGTCCTTACTGCATTGCTACAGTGACAGAAATGGTCACGTCGGTGTGGTGGAAATGGTAGACATCGTGCTGTATCTCCATAGGTTTCAGTGATAGCGTTTGTTTTAATTATTGGTAGCATGTCTCTGTCAGCAAGAAGCAACTAACTGACCAACTAATAAAAGTAATCATTCTGCTTTGGTTAACAGTCAGCGGTAATCCACTCTAATGTCGCTTTATTTTCGCTATATTAGCCGAATTAGAAACAAAATGATCAATCTCTTCCACTCCCTCATTTCTACATTATATCTGCGCATGTTCGCATATTTAATTAGCACAACAAAATAAATAAATGGCTCCCGACAGCGAATTGTCAACTCGTGACTAATTTCTACATTTTTCGAAATAAATTTCGTAATATGCATAGTGTCGAGTGATAGAATGATGTTTTAGGATACTGAATGTGTTGTTTTTTTCGAGGGGGATGCACAGGAGCTTGAATCTGAAGGAAAGACACCAGGTCGTAACATCCTAAAATATGAAAATAAAATAAAAATGGCTATCATCTGTGAAAACGACGTGAAATTGTCGCTGTTTTCCTTGTGTAAACGTCTCGCTGAAATGACCTGGAGATGAGGCGACAATTTTCTGTCATGTTAGCATGCTACACATCTAGGCTCATCTATGTACATCATTATTTGCGACACTTACAGTTCGCATACCAGGCGACACTTGAGTGGATTACCACTGACTGGTTAAAGGGATCAGATCGTCCAGATTTTTCTCCCGAACAACCAGTAATGTCCTAATATAACTGCTCATATAACATCATATATGCCTTAGATATATTTTGAGACCATATCATGAACACAGTTTTACCAATATATTGAGAAAATCAACAGGACAACCAAAGAACAACCAAATGTCTAGAACACAATAAGTCTCAAACAACATACAATTTTTTAGATTAATTTATATTGCAAAACCCTTTTAAGTAATTAAAATAACATTCCCAAAGGATAAAAATGTGTTGTAATAAAAAAGAAAAAAGATTGCCCACGCCGGGAATCGAACCCCCCCCCCACATTTGGACAAAACAATAAGGGTTACAAGATGTCTGATACGTTAACTACTGCGGTACACAATGACAGCATAGGAGTCTTGTCAAATTTTATAACCATATAAATAATTGAAAAAAAGTAACATAAGTGCGCTTCATTTTATTTTAAAATGATCAATATATAGGACTGATATTGTTGAAATGTATGTTTTTTCATCTGAATTAATAAATAACAATGTTTTATTGAGCATCGTACTTCACGTTGTCAGTCTTGGCAAATACAATCAGTTGACGGGATATTGAGCCCAGGCAGCCAATCAAAGATCGGAGCACATTGAAGCGGGTTATTTCAATTTTATTTCAAACATTTGTCGAATTACCACTGATAGAAGTGGAAATTATGGCTGAGAACAATCATCAATTTGATACTGTTAACGAATTGTCTGAAGCCCCAACATTGGTAAGTCGATAGAAATACTTGTTTTACATAATATAACACGAAAATATCAGAGGGGTTACTCTAATTGTGCTTTTGGACGACCTGATCCTTTTAAGTAAACCATTATTTAAAATATGTAGATCTAATATTTCATCAAACACATGCTTTGGCATTTTTGGGAATAGAAAGTACAAGTTCTACATGGCCCAAATATAATGCTGATTGTGTACCTTAATTTATTACTACATAAATGTTTATTTACAGAGGGGGAAATAACAATTATTACTAAATTGTATTAATACTACAGTCAATGATGCATTATTGCAGATGTAATGTAAATATTAATTTTTACAATGTACTATACTTCTTTTGGTTCAACATGACATAGAGTATATAAATTCCTGATTTGGGTTAAAGGATTTTACAACAATTCATGTGTACATTGTGTAACATTTGTGTTACTCAAGACAGAATGGACACAATCCAAATGTGTTTCTTGGCCCTCAACCTTGTGCTGGACCTAGCCTGTGTTTGGAGTCAATCTACAGTCCATACTTGCTCATCCACAATGTTCTATGGAGAGACATGTGGATCTCAGCAGCTGGCTAACATGGCAGAGCAAATGACCCAAATACAGGTCAGCCTAACTTTTATATGGATTTGGCAGAGGGGAACAGTTTTTAAAAGCCAATTTAAACTTTAAACTTTTTAGCTTGTATTGTCTTATCCAATGTTATCACAATTCAATTAGTGACTTTTCTATTTCAATATTGATTTAAGAAGTGCTATGTGAACAATGTTGTATTTATTGTATTTTTCCTATGTAGAGGTTAATTAGAAAGTTAATACAATAGTATAACTGTTAAATTCTGATTGATAATTTTGATCAGTTTTTGTTATCATTTTTGTACATGTACATTTTGCACTCGAATATTTTCCCCATACTTGCGATTCCCTTTTTATGCCCTTATTTACATGGAAAATATTGTAATCCCTTGAGCAGCTATTGTATGATATTCTGTTTCATCTTGTAGCTATTGTATGATATTCTGTTTCATCTTGCAGCTATTGTATGATATTCTGTTTCATCTTGCAGCTAACGTATGATATTCTGTTTCATTTTGCAGCTATTATATGATATTCCGTTACATCTTGCAGCTATCGTATGATATTCTGTTTCATCTTGCAGCTATTGTATGATATTCTGTTTCATCTTGCAGGTAATCAATGCTTTCTGTTTCCAGAGTGTCTTGTCAGAGGTGCTAGTAAAAGTGACTGACCAGTCACATGTGATAGAGCAACAACATATGAAGATAGAAGAACTAACGAGGAGACTAGATGGACCAGTTAGCACTGAAGGGAGATCATCCTGCGCATGTTAGTCTACTAGACCATAATATCACTATACTTTGGAAATGATCTTTACTCTGAATACTCTCAGAAATGAATACTTGATTTCACTAGTTAGGGTAACTAGTAAATGGCAGGTTTGATTGCGTTGTTATGAAGCATTTTGTCAAAAAATATAAATGTTATAAAGCATTTAGAGATGTGTTACAATTACTAATGTCATATTTTGTTGGTAAAGATGTTATGCTTGCTCATATTTAACGCCCATTATCTTACAAGTACATTTATCATGTATATACATTTGATGTGTATATTTCAGTGTGTCATTGTATATACATTTGTGTATATTTCAGTGTGCCCAAAGGACTACTATGGGGCTAACTGCACAGTTCACTGTATAGCACAGGATGACTGCCAGGGTCATTTCAATTGTCATTGTATATACATTTGTGTATATTTCAGTGTGCCCAAAGGACTACTATGGGCCTAACTGCACAGTTCACTGTATAGCACAGGATGACTGCCAGGGTCATTTCAATTGTCATTGTATATACATTTGTGTATATTTCAGTGTGCCCAAAGGACTACTATGGGCCTAACTGCACAGTTCACTGTATAGCACAGGATGACTGCCAGGGTCATTTTAATTGTCATTGTATATACATTTGTTTATATTTCAGTGTGCCCAAAGAACTACTATGGGCCTAACTGCACAGTTCACTGGATAGCGCAGGATGACTGCCAGGGTCATTTCAATTGTCATTGTATATACATTTGTGTATATTTCAGTGTGCCCAAAGGACTACTATGGGCCTAACTGCACAGTTCACTGTATAGCACAGGATGACTGCCAGGGTCATTTCAATTGTCATTGTATATACATTCGTGTATATTTCAGTGTGCCCAAAGGACTACTATGGGCCTAACTGCACAGTTTACTGTATAGCACAGGATGACTGCCAGGGTAATTTCAATTGTCATTGTATATACATTTGTGTATATTTCAGTGTGCCCAAAGGACTACTATGGGCCTAACTGCACAGTTCACTGTATAGCACAGGATGACTGCCAGGGTCACTACAAATGCCACTGGGCAGATGGATCAAAGGTAAAGCCTTGGCTGCTCTTAGGCAAACCAATTAATTGTAACATATTAGGAAATGCATGAAACAAAAAATGTTCATGCTCATTATTTCAAAATTGGCCAAGTTGCAGCTTAGTCAAAAACACAATATACGCCTTGCAAAGGCAAAAGCAGCAATTCTGTGATTTCATTCTTTAAACAAAATAATGAAGACTGATCACTGGTCAGTATCAAGCGAAGGTAATGGCCATCAACTTTGCATCAAAGATGACGGACGAGAAGTGTCGATTTCGATATTTTTCGATTTTTTCATCGAATTAGACTTCTTTATAGTTGGCGTAATGCTCATGATGAGTATGATCATCTGTTTATATATCATGCGTGAAAAACGCTGTTCAATGGTATCTTCCACCGCTTAAGGGAAGGTAACTAGGATTTTGGTTTCACAGATGATAAGATAACTAATATGCAGTGATGCGGTAATGTTATGAGAGTTTATAATAGAGAGCTAAGATGTACCGCATATTGAAAACATGACCTTTACCGTATCTTACATTTCCAGTTACCTTCCCTTAAGCGGTGGAAGATATCATTGAACTATGCACCTACCCATGATATTCGAACAAATTATCATACTCTGTAGTTCCCATGTCATATAAGTTAGATTTAGTTCAAATATCAAAGCATAACTTCAACTCTAAAGTAGTTTAATTAGATGAAAATATCAAAATGGACATTTCCTGTCCGCCATCTTTGATTCGAAGGTGACAGTTGTTACCTTCACTTGTTACTGACCAGTGACAGATGACATGACTAAAATAAATGATTATGATTAAAATGAAACCAAAGAAATAATACTAAGTACTGAATTGGTTGTAATGACTGAAATGCACGGCACAATCGGGCAATTAAGTCATTGTTCAGTGGATTTGATATCCTTATAGCATTATACCATCGTTTGGCTAGAATGATCATGACCACAGTGTGCTATAACATAATATGATAATTATTGTAGGTGTGTTTATCTGGCTGGGGAGGAGAGGAGTGTGATGTGTTCACTGGCAATGATAGCTGCCCTGTAGTGATGAGACATGGGGAGGATTTAGCAGGTAAATAGTCTAGCTTTCATTATAAGCTGTTCAGTAATGATGAGACATATGGAGAGGATTTAGCAGGTAACCAGTCTAGCTTTCATTATAAGCTGTTCAGTAATGATGAGACATGGGAAGGATTTAGCAGGTAACCAGTCTAGCTTCCATTATAAGCTGTTCAGTAATGATGAGACATGGGGAGGATTTAGCAGGTAACCAGTCTAGCTTTCATTATAAGCTGTTCAGTAATGATGAGACATGAGGAGTATTTAGCAGGTAACCAGTCTAGCTTTCATTATAAGCTGTTCAGTAATGATGAGACATGGGGAGGATTTAGCAGGTAACCAGTCTAGCTTTCATTATAAGCTGTTCAGTAATGATGAGACATGTACATGAGGAGGATTTAGCAGGTAACCAGTCTAGCTTTCATTATAAGCTGTTCAGTAATGCTGAGACATGGGGAGGATTTAGCAGGTAACCAGTCTAGCTTTCATTATAAGCTGTTCAGTAATGATGAGAAATGGGGAGGATTTATCATGTCTAGCTTTCATTATAAGCTGTTCAGTAATGATGAGACATGGGAAGGATTTAGCAGGTAACCAGTCTAGCTTCCATTATAAGCTGTTCAGTAATGATGAGACATGGGGAGGATTTAGCAGGTAACCAGTCTAGCTTTCATTATAAGCTGTTCAGTAATGATGAGACATGAGGAGTATTTAGCAGGTAACCAGTCTAGCTTTCATTATAAGCTGTTCAGTAATGATGAGACATGGGGAGGATTTAGCAGGTAACCAGTCTAGCTTTCATTATAAGCTGTTCAGTAATGATGAGACATGTACATGAGGAGGATTTAGCAGGTAACCAGTCTAGCTTTCATTATAAGCTGTTCAGTAATGCTGAGACATGGGGAGGATTTAGCAGGTAACCAGTCTAGCTTTCATTATAAGATGTTCAGTAATGATGAGACATGGGGAGGATTTAGCATGTCTAGCTTTCATTATAAGCTGTTCAGTAATGATGAGACATGGGGAGGATTTAGCAGGTAGCCAGTCTAGCTTTCATTATAAGATGTTCAGTAATGATGAGACATGGGGAGGATTTAGCAGGTGGTTAGCCTATCTTTCATAATTAGCTGCCTAGTAGTGATGAGCCATGGGGAGGATTATATATTCTTACATGCCTTTAGTTTTAAGGTCTCAATATTTTCATGAAATCTATCTTGGTAGATTTTGTAAATAAAAGTAGTTTATATAAATAGTAGTACATCTATTGAAGTATTTGCCATCTATTGCCATTCCTTTAGGCTACTGAATATGATATAATTAATCTTCTATACCATGAAGTTTAGTAATGGACTCCTTGAAAAGTAAATAGACCATAACTTTGATTTCAGGCATTGCCTCTTCTCTGCTGAATGGTGATGATCCAGTTCCTGACAGTGCATTCACAGCCTCATCGTATGATACGTCAAACAGGAAAGGAAGACCAGAATATGCCAGACTGGATAGAGCAGCCACATGGAATACACAGGGAGGCTGGGTTGCAGCTTCAACACATGGAAGTCAGTGGGTACAGGTAATAAAACACACAATGGGGTTGGATTGCACCTTAAACAAATGGCAGTCAGTGGGTAGAGGTAATCTAACACAATGGGGTCGGGTCACAGCTTCAACATATGGGAATCAGTGGGTACAGTTTATCTAACACACAATGTGGTTGGGTCACAGCTTTGACATATGGGAGTCAGTTGGTACAGGTAACATAACACATAGTGGGGTTGGGTTGCAGCTTAACACATGGCAGTCAGTGGGTACAGGTAATATAACACATAGTGGGGTTGGGTTGCAGCTTAACACATGGCAGTCAGTGGGTACAGGTAATATAACACATAGTGGGGTTGGATTGCAGCTTAAACAAATGGCAGTCAGTGGGTAGAGGTAATCTAACACACAATGGGGTTAGGTCGCAGCTTAAAACATGGCAGTCAGTGGGTACAGGTAATCTAACACACAATAGTGTTTCAACCAATGGCAGTTGATGGTTTCAGTAAATCTGACACACATTGGAATGGGTGAAAGCTAATATAGTGTTTAATATGCATCAATAATAAAATGTACCAGGAAGGTTTTGGAGAAAGGAAAGGTAAATTGATCTGTTGGCAGTTGTTGGTTTCAGTAAATCTGACACACATTGGAATGGGTGAAAGCTTAATATAGTGTTTAATATGCATCAATAATAAAATGTACCAGGAAAGGTAAATTGATCTGTTGATTGAATGAAGAAACTTTACAAACATATAATTTAATTGAAGGTTGATTTGAACATGCTGAGTAGTGTACATGGGGTAGTGACACAAGGGGTAGATAGCTCAGCACCCCCTATCACGATGACCTCATACTATGTGGGTTACCACGCACAACTGGGGGCCTCAGCTGATGACATCAAGATATACTCAGACACTGCAGGAGAGCCAACTGTGAGTGAAATTCAAGTTGACATCCGAAAAAAGTTTATATAAAAGTTCAGATCTTAGAGAGATATAAAAATCTTAGACATTGTTTCTGCATTAGACATAGTTCCTTTATATGAGCCAGGGCACAGGAAAGGCCTCTTACATGTATCATAGATGTTTTCAATATTTTGATTATTTGTTTTTCTTAAAAGCACAAAGAGACCTTTCGAATGAGCCATGGAATATGACTTATGTCAACAAATTTTGCTTGCAGATATAGACCAAAAACAAAAAGATGTATTTGAATTTAGCCCATTTTCCCCTTAATCTATGGCACATTTTTGGCTCTGTAGCACAATTTTAATTTCTGTGATAAGACCAGTTTTCCTGTGTTGAGGCTCATATGTAAATGTATTTTGTTTGTGTTCTAAGATACAGTATTTATGTTAATATGCGTTGTAGGTGTTTCAGGGGACAGCTGATACAAGCAGTAAGACAACTCACAACTTCAGGTTTCCATTTGTGGCAAGGATCATTAGGATCACAAGCAGAGTATTCCTCAACAAACCTGGACTTAGATTTGATGTCATTGGAGCGCCATTAGGTTTGGGTTTTTTGGTTTGAAAATTATAGTAACTTCACTCCATAAGTTTTTCCAATTATCAGAATGCCTTTTAAATCATAGAAACATGTTTTATGTAAAGTTATTGTGATGGTCTGAACTCATTAGAGTGTGAAGTGAAGTCAAACCTTAATTTGGTGTAATCTTTTATGAATGTATGCTCTTCAGGTCTATCAGGCAATTGGCTGGGTGAGATAACATGTGATGGGGTCACCAATGTGGTTCAACTACCAATAGAACACAACACAGAAGGTTAGGGGCAAGACTTAATAGCCCACATTTATATAATCTTGTCATCCCCAACCTCCTGTCCAAATTCTCCTTATGCGAGTCATTGATTGAAGTGAGTTTACTTATGAACAAAAATCCCTGGATCACTAGTAAGAGTGACAATAATAATACAAACCAGTGAACTTGGATTTTATCCTTGTGTCTTCAAAAGAGTTTAATCATTTTAGATTAACATTCTCACTCCTACTACTTTGCTTTCTTTAAGAACCACTTTTACATTGATTTATCAAAGGACCTCTGTACTACATATTTCAGGGTTCTACCACTCGAAGCCTTTCTTGTTCCATTTCACCAAGAAGACTACAGGCTACAAAGAGGAACTTTTTGGTTACCTTGAAATCCTGGCACCAACTACACTCACTCTACCCACTAAAGGTATGTCACCTCAAGATCATGGCACACACAGTCTACCCTCAAAAGGTATGTGACCTTAAGATTTGGGCATACGCCACATACACTCTACATACTAAAGGTATGTCACCTCAAGATCATGGCACACACAGTCTACCCTCAAAAGGTATGTGACCTTAAGATTTGGGCATACGCCACATACACTCTACATACTAAAGGTATGTCACCTCAAGATCATGGCACACACAGTCTACCCTCAAAAGGTATGTGACCTTAAGATTTGGGCATACGCCACATACACTCTACATACTAAAGGTATGTCACCTCAAGATCATGGCACACACAGTCTACCCTCAAAAGGTATGTGACCTTAAGATTTGGGCATACGCCACATACACTCTACATACTAAAGGTATGTCACCTTGAGATCATGGCACACAGTCTAACCTCAAAAGGTATGTGACCTTAAGATTTGGGCATACGCCACATACACTCTACATACTAAAGGTATGTCACCTTGAGATCATGGCACACACAGTCTAACCTCAAAAGGGATGTGACCTCAAGATTTGGGCATATGCCACATACACTCTACATACTAAAGGTATGTCACCTTGAGATCATGGCACACACAGTCTAACCTCAAAAGGTATGTGACCTTAAGATTTGGGCATACGCCACATACACTCTACATACTACAGGTATGTCACCTTGAGATCACAGCACTGACCACCAAACATTTCAGTTTATTAACAAATAGATTCTCTGCTATAGTGAGGTGAGGTGAGGATTACTTCATATTTAATAGACTCAAGCATATTTTCTGATTGAAATGTATCTTTGTTTTTCAGGAAGCCTCCAAGCAAATGGTGAGCTTGAATATGCATTCAATCTTGAACTGTCTCAAGACCAGCAAGGCCTGATTGTCACCAGCAGCATGTGTGACACAGCCACTTTAGACAGGCATATAGGTAAATATGACACATCCTAGGCAGACACGTAGGTAAATATGACACACTTAAGATAGACACATGGGTAAATATGACATACTTTAGATAAACACATGAGTAAATATGACACATCCTAGACAAACACATGGGTAAATATGACACATCCTAGACAGACACTTTGGTAAATATGACAAATCCAAGACAGACACTTGGGTAAATATAACACATCCTAGACAGACACTTGGGTAAATATGACACATCCAAGACAGACACTTGGGTAAATATAACACATCCTAGACAGACACTTGGGTAAATATGACACATCCTAGATAGACACATGGATATGTATGACACATCCTAGACAGACGCATGGATAAATCATCCTAGATAAACAAAGAGGTAAATATGACACACCCTTGGCAGACATAAAATTGAATATGACACATCCAAGACAAACATTGAGGTAGATATAAAAAATTCAAATCCTCTTCAAATTACCAGAGGATCAACATCAGACATTGTGCTTCAGATATAATCTTTTATTGATGTTTAGTGTTTTGTGACAGATAGCAGGATCAGTTCACTTCATCCCCAACAAATGTTCAACTTGAGCTTCAGCTTCAGATAAGAGTTAATATCTGACATTGGACTTGATATTTGATCAATTCTAAATCCTTGAAAAAGCCTACAGAGCCTTTATAAGATCACACCAAATTTCCCCTTCAGGGGCTTAGTAGTGATGTCACTGAATATGAACTGGCTTTATTTGTATTTGCAGAATTAGGAGGACCCTGTCTGAACAAAGGAAAATGTATAACTACAGGGGATATGTTGACAAACTGGTACTGCTGCTGCATTAATGGTTTCCAAGGTAACCATTGTGAAACATCCCAAACAAACTGAGGAGGTCAATGAGACTATAAAAAGCTAACCCGAGGACTTCTAATTTGAGCAAATGTTAAATTCTTTATTTTACAATGGTAATCATATAGACTCATATTTTAGTCTTTAAGGGTCTAATCATGCTTCTGTATAATAGTGGTCAAATGCATACTGAAACTCATATATTGGCTACCAAGAATTGATGGTGCAACATGTAAACTCAAAGTGGGAAATGTCTATATGAGTGATATAAAGAACTAACAACATGACAAATGCAATTACAAAAGTGTTACAAATGCCAATGTCCAAGTCAAGTCAGAAAAAACTGGCTATAACAATGTCACCATCATCATATCACTTTAATTAAAGGTCATTATCTATTACAAGGACCCTGGTGTCCAAACTAGTATACTATGGGGTATAACTTTGGCATAAACTGCTTTATTTCATACTTAAGTGGGTTTCGGGTAGATATCACTCGGGAATATATATCATATCTGAGGAGCGGGCAGGATATATTGTATATGTCCCGCTCCAGGCCAAATGCGGTCAGGTATAATGTATCCATCCCGCTCCCGGGAAAGTTTAAAAAAGTTTAAAAAAGTATGAGATACACCAGTTATGCACAGTCGGTTTGGATACAGGGAATATCCCTTGGGATATACAATACATCTTCCCTCAGTCCCTCGGGAAGATATATTGTATATCCCTCGGGATATTCCCTGTATCCAAAACCTCCCAGTGCATAACCCTTATTTATCCTATGCCAAGTAGAGTTTTGGGGAGATAAGTTGGTAAGATATATCCCATATCCTGATTTTGAGGTTTCCATATCCAGAACCTCCATATCTCCCGCCATATCTCCCGCTTCGGTGCATATCTTCCCGCTTCCGGTGCATATCTTCCCGCTTCGGGTAATGCAATAAAATGACTTTACATATGAATGATTTGTTTATTTTTACACCTTGTACTATTGAAATGGCCATATGCCCCTGAAAACTCTACTTGGTATAGCATAAAGCAGTTATGTATGGTCGGTTTGGATATTGGGTTCATCCCCCGTGAGATATGCACATCTACCTTCGGTCCCTACGGTCCCTCAGGTAGATATGCATATCTCCCTCTGATAAACCCCATATCCAAAACCTCCCAGTACATAACCCTTATTTATTTTGCTTGTTAGCTGGGAAGATGAGCAAGTTCTGATTTTAGCTCTGATCTCATTTCTTAACCTTTCCCATATTAGTCAATACAACATCATTAAATTATCCATGATTATGGCAGACATAATGTATTGAACACAAGACATTTTTAAATAAAGTTAGCAATCATACTCTTTGTAATTAGCTCATTGAATAGAAAGATATTTTCAACAAGTGGCAGCCGATTTAAAATTTGGTAAAATTAACCTAAAAGTGGTGACTAAAATTTTGGGGACCTATAAACTAAGCTACATCTGCATTTTCAACCAAATCATGCAAGACATTTGAGAATAAAATTGGTGACGAATTTGTATTTCTGCAACATATATTGAAACTTAGACATTGAGCTTCTTGTAAAACATCAAGCAAGTATTGATATTATGGACTACATTTGAAGTAAAGGCTAAAAATAACCAAAAATCTTTCAACAATGATAACAAGAAAACAGCAACTCCACGGAGTAGCAAATCCCACCGAACAAAACATGTTTTGATAAATAGTGGCCAGCTTGAAAATTTCTTCTTGAACAGAGCTCCTTTGTACCTGGGTATCAGCATATAAAATTTGAACCAACCCAGTCTGCTTGTATTTGATTGATCGAAGATTTTTTTTATGAAAAATGACGGCTATTTTGAAATCCAGCCACCAACTTAAAAATTTCTTCTTGACCAGAGCTCCTTTGTCTCTAGGCATCAGCATATAAAATTTAAACCAAATCTGTCTACTATTTAGTAGGTATTTAGTTCTCAAATATTACGTTTTAGCGAAAAATGGTGGGCATTTTGAAAGAATTTGAGTTTTGAGATTCCACATATTGACAAAATGACATATGTGCACGTGTACTTACATATACAATTTGGAAGTGAAACTATTTTCAACCGACAAACAGATGAATGGATGGTTGGTTGGATGGATGGTTGGTTGGTTTTATGGTTGGTTGTTTGGTTAGATGGATGGTTCGTTGGATGGTCATTTGGTTAGTTGGATGGTTGGTTGGTCAGATGGAGGGTTTGTTGGTTTGATGGTTGGTTGGATGGATGGTTGGTAGTTTAGTTGGATGGATGGGATGGGATGGGACGGGGGATGGGTGGATGGATGGTTCTTTAGTTGGATATGGATGGATGGATGGCGTCTCATTTACTCATTTATATATATATATACACCTTAAAGGTAAACTTTGTAAAATTCCAATCAAATTCTCTACATATGAATTTGAAATTACAGTCTACTTACTTGCAATATCTGTCAATGATATTCTGAAACTGCCTCTTATCAATGCCTCCTTTAGGACTCTTCATCATGAAGAGATTGTCAGACTGGTGCTCCACTCCCCCATACTCTGGCACAAGGTTAGACTTCTCAACACCAAAATTAATACGCAACCTTGACTGTCTCAACCAAAAGGAATCTGTTGATTGACCATTGTCTGTGAGGTATGAAGTATGGGTTAGTTGTTCTTCTACATGGAGGTCTTCCATGAATGTGTTGGAAGAGCCACTTAGAGAGAGGCCTCTGGAACCTGCAAGTACACAATTAAAAATATTTTTCATTAAGTAATAAGTAAGGATGTCACGGGACAAAAATGTTTCGGGATGGGAATCATCCATTTCGGGACGGGACGGGACATAATCAATAAAATAATCAATTAGTTTAAAACAGTTCAACAACTTATATTTTCTGTCTACTTCCGGTTATCCTTATGCAGCGCGGATCTTTTGAACGTCGTAAGAGGGCTGTGCATGTGGCACGAAAACTTGTAATCTGAGATTAATTTTAAGTTGTTACCTTTCTTGCCGATGAAGTTCTTTGTTATTATTTAAATTAAAGCATATTTCAAAGGGAAACACTGTTATCAATAAAACTGCATGTTCTGTTCTGAATTTTTGTTTATCATAATCACATATAGCAATTGCCACTAGATGGCATTTACGCATGAATATAATCCGGCAGATAAGTTGTAAAAACGAAAGAAAATTCTAGTTTAGATCATATTTATTGTGCATTTGGGATGTTTTAGGGTCATATACAGGAAGAATATTATATCCTGAACATGGACCGAAATCTTCGGTCCATGCGGGTTGTCCCATCCCATCCGAGACCAAAGTCCCGAGGGACGGGACAATATCGGAAAACCGTAACATCCCTAGTAATAAGTTTGCATGTGTGTTTTTTGGGATATCTTTCGAACCTGAGCAATAGAAACTAGAAAAATAGCAACTCCACAGAGTAGTCGATCCCACCAAACAAACAATATTTTATCAAATCAATCATCAATTTGAACATAACAAGATAGAAATAAGTCCCAGTTCCAGTTGGAAGCCATTTAGAATTTAGTAGCCATCTTGAAAATTCCTTCTTGAGTAAAGTCCTATGTACATAAGGCAAAGCTCATGAAATTTGAACCAATTTGTCAACTGCTATTTGACTTATCAAAGATTACATTTTTAGAAAAAAAGGCAGCCATTTTGAATAAAGAACCCTTCTCAAAAATTCCATCTTGTGCAAATCCTATGTTCTCAGGGCTTTGGCATACTAAATTTGAACCAAATCTGTCAACTACATGTAGTTGACTGGTATTTAAGCTATCATAGATTACAGGTTTATAGAGGTTTATTTCTCGAAGGTTTGTACAGTTGCGAATTAGTAAGTCCATTGTTATTTGTAAAAACCTAACTTGCATTTCTCAAAAGTTAATAACTTTGCAAAAATTTGGCATTTTTTTCGCAAGTTAGCAAATAAAGATGTCATGTGCAATATGTCATAATATAAGCCAATAATATTTGATAACTGAATCCATGGGCTTTCATGAAACCCCATACTGAATCTAATAAGTGCTAGGGATTCTTAGTTATCACAGATGGCATCATTTGATGAACACAATTCACATAGTGATTCCCTATTATACTTATTATTGTGACATGACGGCAAAAAACAAGTACAAAGCAAGAGTCAGGATTAATTACTAAATTTTTAGTATTGCCTCACAAAAAATGGACATGAGCTTCATTCAGACTATAGTCAGTTTTCATACATTTGAAAATTGTTAATAGATGGACATACATGCTAGCCGTTTAAGTTCAATTTTGAGTTGCCATATTGGAAATGAATTTGAGTAAATGTCCTGACAACTCATATTTAAGTTAACAAAAATTACACTTTGTGAAAAATGGCTGCCATTTTGTATTAAGCATCAACGAATTTTCAATATTTATGAAATCCCTTTGTATAATCATCAAACAAGTGCATCAAAAGCAAAAAAGACTAACATCTTCACAAAGTTAGATAATTTCCTTTGCAATAACATTTGTGACATCAATAATCTCAATCGCTTGGGGTATAAATGCCTAAAAGAGATCTCCCACAGACACCCAAAAACTAAAATATTCTAATAAAAGCAAGCAAAGAAAACAAGACAGGAAATTATTTCAGTTGGGATCAATAGGGGATAATGTTCTACTTGAAACACAACAAATCAAAGTTGGCCATCACAGCTGTAATTATTTCAGGCAACCACAAATCCTTAAAGATTACAATCAAGATTTTCTAGCCTCCTCCCTGGAGAGTTCTCCTCTCTTCAAAGAAATAATATAATCATCCATTATTTATTCACACAACTTTAATACTTTGATTAAAGGATCAACAAAAATGTACAATTCACATAATATATAACCTAAATGCTTAACAACAAGCATATAGATTCTCACACATGGTGGAAAAATAATATTGAAATTAGAAAACATAATTGGAGATTGTGAGGGTAAGAGAGAAATATTGTCTCTGGATTACAGTAAATCTTCTACCACAGTGAATACAAACTCCTTCAGCCAATCTTAGTAAACATTTATCATTTCTAAAATGAGCAATTTCACATACAATGAGACAAGGTGCCTATGCCCCACAAACTTATCATGGCATCCTGAGAAATAAATGTCAGGGTTGTGATTCTCTAGTCAGGTAGCATGGAAATGGGAGATTAATTAATGAGAGCTTTATTGAACAAGTGAAGAATTGAGACTTCAAATTTAGGTATATCAATCAGAAAAGGGCTTATCTTATATCATGAAGGGCTGAATTTTAACATTGGGATGAGTATTCTTTCTACTTACATATTATAGAAATGTGCTGCCAAATGTTTTATATTATATTACTATATATAATTTAGGGTAATAGAGACTTCCAATTAACTGCCAAAACTTCACATATATTCTCATCAAATAACTTAGTATTGTAAGATTTCTTGTTCATGAAGCAAACAATGTACCATAGTTTCTAATTGAATGTGTCTAGTTGCTCAGAGTTTTATTTTTTATTGATGTCACTAGATTTTTATTGATGTGCTTTTGGGTTATTTATTATTTCATTTTTGTTGTTTTGTAGACTGCAATTTAGATAGGATTACAGAGGGGATCTTGGTCTCCAGAATTTCTTATTATTTTATCTTATTGCATACAAATCACATAAATTAAACATATCTAAGAAAGTAGTCAGACATTTATGGATAGTTAATTAATATTTTCCGATCTAGATATGATGTTTCAGCAAGTGGGAATAACTTAAGTTGATACCGGTGTCATAGCAAGTATGAATATCTCATGTGATACTAGAATTATAGCTGTGAATATCTCATGTGATACTAGAATTATAGCTGTGAATATCTTATGTGATACTAGAATTATAGCAAGTGTGAATATTTCATGTGATACTAGAATTATAGCAAGTGTTAATATCTCATGTGATACTAGCATTATATCAAGTGTTAATATCTCATGTGATACTAGCATTATAGCAAGTGTTAATATCTCATGTGATACTAGAATTATAGCAAGTGTGAATATCTCATGTGATACTTGAATTATAGCAAGTGTTAATATCTCATGTGATACTAGAATTATAGCAAGTGTTAATATCTCATGTGATACTAGCATTATAGCAAGTGTTAATATCTCATGTGATACTAGAATTATAGCAAGTGTGAATATCTCATGTGATACTAGAATTATAGCAAGTGTGAATATCTCATGTGATACTAGCATTATAGCAAGTGTTAATATCTCATGTGATACTAGAATTATAGCAAGTGTGAATATTTCATGTGATACTAGAATTATAGCAAGTGTGAATATTTCATGTGATACTAGAATTATAGCAAGTGTGAATATTTCATGTGATACTAGAATTATAGCTGTGAATATTTCATGTGATACTAGCATTATAGCAAGTGTGAATATTTCATGTGATACTTAAGGAATAAAGACTGAGATTTTATGATTTATGGCGTAATACATGACTGAAACTTTAATTCTGTTCATTGTTGAAAGACCGAAATTGTGTAGCGATTGAGGTCTTTGGCAATGGCCAGAATAAAATTTGAGGTCATATATTTGACATGAATCATAAAATCGAGGTTTTTGTTACAATTCCAATATGATAAACAGACAAGAAACACAACTATTTGTATTTATGAATTTAAGCGGTCATACTACCATAACATGCAGCATGAGATATTCACACTTGCTCTGATGGTAGAGCAAGTGTGAATATCTCATGCTGCATGTGATGGTAGAACAAGTGTGAATATCTCATGCTGCATGTGATGGTAGAGCAAGTGTGAATATCTCATGCTGCATGTGATGGTAGAGCAAATGTGAATATCTCATGCTGCATGTAATGGTAGAGCAAGTGTGAATATCTCATGCTGCATGTGATGGTAGAACAAGTGTGAATATCTCATGCTGCATGTGATGGTAGAGCAAGTGGGAATATCTCATGCTGCATGTGATGGTAGAGCAAGTGTGAATATCTCGTGCTGCATGTGATGGTTGAGCAAATGTGAATATCTCATGCTGCATGTAATGGTAGAGCAAGTGTGAATATCTCATGCTGCATGTGATGGTAGAACAAGTGTGAATATCTCATGCTGCATGTGATGGTAGAGCAAGTGTGAATATCTCATGCTGCATGTGATGGTTGAGCAAATGTGAATATCTCATGCTGCATGTAATGGTTGAGCAAATGTGAATATCTCATGCTGCATGTGATGGTAAAGCAAGTGTGAATACTCATGCTGCATGTGATGGTAGAGCAAGTGTGAATATCTCATGCTGCATGTGATGGTAGAACAAGTGTGAATATCTCATGATGCATGTGATGGTAGAGCAAATGTGAATATCTCATGCTGCATGTAATGGTAGAGCAAATGTGAATATCTCATGCTGCATGTGATGGTAGAGCAAATGTGAATATGTCATGCTGCATGTAATGGTAGAACAAGTGTGAATATCTCATGCTGCATGTGATGGTAGAGCAAATGTGAATATCTCATGCTGCATGTAATGGTAGAGCAAATGTGAATATCTCATGCTGTATGTGATGGTAGAGCAAGTGTGAATATCTCATGCTGCATGTGATGGTAGAGCAAATGTGAATATGTCATGCTGCATGTAATGGTAGAACAAATGTGAATATCTCATGCTGCATGTAATGGTAGAGCAAGTGTGAATATCTCATGCTGCATGTGAT